GGTCCGGTTTTTTCCGGACATATATATTTAACCCCGAGCCCGATGTTTTTCAGGGCCGGGCCAAACTAGTCCGTGGGCTTTAGCCCTAATTGACATGCCTAATAAGAAGTCGAGGTGTCAGAGAAAGAGAACTGAAGTAGGAAAGCCTGTAAAGAATTGTCTTAGCTGTCATGGTTAAGCCCACATTCGGCCCATTTGTTAGTTATATCGGCTCATCGTAACACAATTATTTTTTCACAGGGTCAAATGGTAAAATAATAAGAAATAAATCCAGAATATACTTTATTGGTCTACCCTAATAGTAGATTAGAACAAACCTGATTACCGTTGACCTTAGTAAGAGATTATTGACTATGTAACATTTACATAGTCAAAGTAAAGAACGATATGGTTCCAATATAGTGAAGAGAAGGTTAACAGCTATCAGTAGAGGTTGATATAATAGTCAGTAAAGTAAATCAACACACGAATTACATACCACACAGACACAAACACACAACAAGATGGAAAAAGAAGTGTATGTTGGTGATGATGAATAGTGATGAATCATCACTGATGATGATGACATTGACGATGATGCCATCGCCGGCAATGAGTGAATCATCTTGTGAAGTAAAGTGCCTTCATTCGTGCCACGTCGGAGTAGATCAAATGCCACCACAAGCCACCTCGGTATGTATAATAATGTTTATGTCTAATGTATTTGCTTTACTAGCTTGGTAATGTAATGTGTGGCCTTCTAGTGGCAATGTTTTCGCAGGAAGGCGGCTAAAGGGATGTTTCAGTAAACCAATGCTTAAAAAAAGAAAGATATAAGTTGTCCAAACAACGATATTTTTATGTTTTAGCAGCTTCTTCATTTTTTTTTTGTCTGTTTCTCATTTTATATGATTTGAGTAATAGAGATTCAAAATCATATTATCGTCAACAACTCAACATAAGTACTTCATATTATATATTTTCACCCGTTCTCTTGGTCTTGGTACAATAGATCTCGGTTATCGCGCGTGGCTGATGAGTCTAGATTTATATAATGGTATGAGACCTTCCTAGCTAGCTAACGCTGTGGTATGTGAGTATCTCCTCTCATCAAATTTTAGGTTATAAAAGATGGTGAAAACTATAACATATCTAAATTAATTCTACCTTTATCCAAAAAACATAGACATCTAAATTCAAGCAAAATTTATCCGTATTTTATGCAGCCCTCTAACTCATATTGGGAATCTGTCGATTTTAAAATCTGACCCCATGTATTACTTTTTTATCTGATTAAAATCTTTCTAGAGGAGAAAGCTTTTGTTACTTAGTAATTAAAAACATTTACAAATTTTAAACAAAATCAGATATTCAAAATTAATGATTGCATACAAGGTAATTACATTAGTGATCAGTTCTTCATAATAATTGTAAACTAAACATATTGTAATTAAATATTAATCAATGCAAAATCTGGCTTATATAATTGAGTATATGGTTAACCTTTAGTATCAAAATGTATGTAGCTAACTTTTGGGGTAGTTTATCCCTCTTGCTTGATCTAATGGTTTTCTTAAAGAAGTATAAAATTTAACGATCCAACAAAACAACACAAGATTTCATATTTTGTTAACTGTAACTTTCTAACACGAATTATATAATAATCTGAGTATGTTCTGTTATTAAGATCTCCGAAGGAGCTGGCGCCAAAATCTGATCTTCTCAAACCCTCTTAGAAAATTCGTTTTTTTAACTCTTCTTTTTTTTTTTTGTATTATAATGAATTCGTTTAATGACTTTTCATACATAAATATATATATAAATGAATCATTAACATCCCCTTACAATAAAAGAAAATTTGCTCGTGTCAATACATACTTAAATCAAATAGTCGTGGAAAAATCAAACCCTAGGAAAGCAAAAATGAAAATAAAAATAAAGAAAATGTCCTTCTCTGCACGATTTTCCAAAATCTCTATATTAACACAGAGATTAATGCATTTGTAATCTTTTAGTTAATTGTTTTGTTTAGAAGATTTTGATGAATGAGTTCCAATAAAGATAGCGACTCAGAGAACAGCCTCCGAAGCGAGAAGAAGAAGAAGGTTCTCTCTCTCCCCTCTCAATCCTTTGTTCAATTATTGTTATTATTCTTTTTAAAACAAATATTTTGATTCTCTCTTAGAAAATGTCACGACGTGAAACCCATTAAAATTCTCAAATTAATTAAATTTTACAACTTTTTCTTGTTATAGTCGATTCTTCCTAAGATCTTCGGATCAAAACGATGTGGTAAAGAAGGAGAAGAAGAAGATGCATCTAATAATAATATGAACTACAGAGAAGTTAACGATGACCAACACGACAACAATAATGGTAATAAATCTCTCCTTCAACCCGATTTTACGTATATCACAAGAAAACCAAAATCATATATTTTTTTGGATCATGCCTCCTTTGATAGATTTGGAGCGACCAATGGCTTCACGTAGGAAATCGGTTCTTGACAACACTTCTCCAATGATTTGGAAAACTGTTTCTGGTAATTTTGATTCTTTTCCTTTTTTTTTCAATGTGTGGTTAGGAATAATTTGATTTTTTTTGGGTAACCTACCAGGAAAATCTTGACATTTTTCACATGATTACGAAAGCGATGTTAAAATCGTACTACATTGTCAAAGATTTTTTTTTATTTTTTTGGATATGGACTCGTCTCTTCGTTAGGTCTTATAATCAAATTTAGGGTTTTCTTGATCCTATGTTTGATTGCTAAGCAATGTAAAGTGTTGATTTGTATTTCCTGGTAAATTTTGTTAGAGAGAAAGTCAAGTCCTGGAATTGAAGGCTTGAATCTGTCGAGTTTCGATAGGCCTATGGCTCCTACAACAGAGATTCGTGAACTCAGGTTTCATATTCAATCTCTGTCTCTCTCTGTTATTTTTTAAAAAAATTTTGGGTTTCAGATTCAAACTCTCTGTTTTTGGAATATCTCTCAGGGTGTTTCTAGCTACGTGGAACGTAGGAGGTAGAACACCAAACAATGATCTTAACCTAGAAGACTTCTTACTCGTTGAAGGCACAGCAGATTTATATATCTGTGGGTATGATATTGATTTGAGTGAAAATAATTAGGTTCATGGTTCTTGATAAAGTTTCAATCATTATTACGTTTCTTGTATTGATTTTTCATTTTGTTGGTTGTATTATATCAGGTTTCAAGAGATTGTTCCTCTAAGTGCAGGAAACGTTTTAGTGGTTGAAGATAACGAGCCTGCAGCTAAATGGTTAGCTTTAATAAGCCAAGCTTTGAACAAACCTAGACAAGACTCTGTTTATTCTAATGCAGCATTCTCTGCTTCAAGAACAACTGCTTGTAGTACTAGTTGTGGTGTTAGTGAAGAATCAAGAACACCAAGTAGTCTAAGTTTCTTCCAAAGACCCAATCTTAAAGTCTTGAGCAGAAACTTTCGAGTTGATTCCAGTCTTTTGAAGACTTGTAATTGTCCGGTTATCGATACCTCGGTTGCTTGGGAAGCTAGGAGATCGAAAAAGTTTAGTGATCCTATGACAGATAATATTAACAATGTGGAGGCTGAGAACTTTAGGGTTCATGAGAATTTCTTGTTTGATGATGTTCCTCCGACTAGGAAGATGCCAGGGCAAATGAGTTATCGATTGATTGCGAGTAAACAAATGGTTGGTTTGTTTTTGTCTGTTTGGGCTAGAAAAGAGTTGATTCCACATATATCTCATCTTAGACTTGATTCTGTTGGAAGAGGAATCATGGGTCGCTTAGGGAACAAGGTAAAACAACTTTTTACCTAATATATATCAAAGATTCTGACATAAGCAAGAGAATCTGAATGTTTGTGTTTTATTTTCTCAGGGATGTATTGCTATAAGCATGTCATTGCACCAAACGAGCTTTTGCTTTGTGTGTAGCCATTTGGCCTCTGGTGAGAAAGAAGGTGATGAGCTGAGAAGAAACGCAGATGTAGCTGAGATTCTGAAACATACTCAATTCCCTAAACTTACTAAGAGCCCTAATTGTCGTGCACCCGAGAGAATCGTTGATCATGAGTATGTTTCCTTGAAGTCATTATCATTTTCTTTCTGTACAAGCTACTAAAACCCTGCTAAGAGAGTATGTTTTGGAAATTGTAGCCGAGTACTTTGGCTTGGAGATTTGAACTACAGAGTTGCTTTAACCTATGAAGAGACAAGAGTATTACTAGAAGACAATGATTGGGACACTCTTCTTGAGAGAGACCAGGTTTTGTTCTATAAAAATGTTCTTGTAGTCTTTTGAATTCTTAATTATTTTCCCGCTTTACTAACACTTCTCTGATCTTGAAATGATCCAGCTAAACATGGAAAGAGGAGCAGGAAGAGTCTTCTCAGGATTTCAAGAAGGTCAAATATTTTTTGCACCAACCTATAAGTACTCTCAGAACTCAGATGCTTACGCCGGTGAAATGACCAAGTCTAAGAAAAAACGCCGTACTCCTGCTTGGTACTATCCAAAGTTCTAAACTTCTAATCCTAAACACAAACCATGTCTTTTTGTGGTTCTTTTGATTTGTTAAGATATCTGTTTTTGTGCGTGGTTTGAATTTGGAACGTTTGCAGGTGTGATCGGATTCTGTGGAAAGGTGAAGGTATAGAACAGCTTTCATATATTCGTGGCGAATCGCGGTTTTCGGATCATAGACCGGTTTGCGCGATCTTTGCAGTAGAAGTTGATGTGAAGAGTCTGAACAAAGGTAGATTCAGGAAAGGTTATTCGTGTGCGGCTTCAAGATTGGTTGAAGATTGCATTCCACAAAGGCATAGTTTTTATGACTAAGATTGTTACAATTCTTTTTGAAAAAGATGACAAGAAAAAAAAAAGATTTATTTCTTTGATTGTATAGTTTTGGATGATCAACAAACAACAACAAAATTTTCTCTGTTTCTTCTCTTAATTCTCTTTTTAATACATTATAACTAGAGAATATATATATTCCAAAGTTGAGATGATTTCAATCTTGAGACATATAAATATCTTTGTCTTCACAACCCATGTCCCATAACGAGAAAACTTCCTCGTTCATGGTCTGTTTCGAATCAGAATGATCTGGTAATTGGTTCAAATCTACTGTGTTTGTGTGATCTTCAAATCCTTGATCAGAACAATTTAAGTCATGTAACCTCTCGAACCAGAGATAGTCTAGCCAGTTTCCATCTTGATAATGATATTCTCTTGTGTCCTCTGCTCTCGAACTCGCGCTGTAATCATCGTCACTCGTAGTCATCGACCTAACAAACCCGTCAGAGCCACCGCTACTATGGTTCATTGGTTCTTGATTTCCGTAGAGACACTCGATCTCGTGACCTGTCCTCAAGTTTTTGTCCACGAATCCTAAACTCACATCACTCGAAGGACAACTCACGTTTTGGCAAGTGTATACCTTAGATAACATTGCCTCTTGTTCCACAAACTCACCTTTTCTCTTGTTACCGAACGGTTCTTGATCGACAAGAAAACAAGCATTTGGCGACCACTCTTGATCAGCCCTTTTTTCTTTCCTCCGTTCTTGATCTTGCACTGCAAGAAAACAGTCGTCCTGGGAAGATTCTTGATCAACCCTTTTGTCTTTCCTCATTGATCCCGCCAGTTCTTGATCTTGCGCTACAAGAAAACAGGTATTTAGTGAGGATTCTTGATCAAAAGAAGTGAATCTTGCCGGTTCTTGATCTGGATCCTCGTCCTCGCCATCTGAGATCTTGAGGCGATTGAGACGAGCTTCTTCTTGGTTCAACACACGAGACCAAGTATCAGTCTCTTTCGCCATCATCTTATCTTGCAAACACTTGGACTGTCTGGCGAGCCGTCTCACTCTCTCCAAATTGGGCGACATGTGTTTAATCACAGCCGCTAAGACACTCACTTTCCAAGCTTTTCTAAGATCGTGCGGTTTCCGATACGGTGGGGGACCGTGCTCAAACGCCGCTGCTCCTTGCTCTCCCCACCATAACTCCGTCCCGTTCGGCCACCACGGTGGAGCCAAACCTTTTTCTAATGGAAACCGCCGTTGCGGGGGCACGCAATGTTGCATCAAAGCTGATAACAACGAGCCTAACGTCGTGTCTTGTAGCTCGTGAAGCATGTGGATATACGAATTCGGATCTAGAGACTCGTTTGACGAGATTAACTGCGCGGCCGCTAATGTCAAATAATCAGAAACAGCGTTTGGAGCGGTTTGATCGAATTGAACGTTTTCTTTCCACCAACGTCTTAAACTGTCCGATGAACCAGTTACCGGTTTACCTTTCTCCGGTACGATTCCGTAAACGAAACCTTGAGCTTTACAAACTTCCATAATCTTCATCATGTACTTCAACACCGAATCTTGAGAACGAGCCATTTTCTTGCGGCGTGAAGCTTCTGCTCGGCGCACGATAGCAGAGGAGGAGGAGGAGGATGCTGACGTGGAAGATGACGGCGAAGAGATGACGGAGTTATGATTATCTCTTTTTTGCTGTTTGAGCTTACACATGAGGTTTCGATCTTTCCACATGCGTTTCTTGAGATCGTCGTAGCTGATATCTTCACCAAAACGGTCAAATTCGTCCTCGCCTTCTTCGACGAAATCATCGTCATCTTCGTCTTGAATTGGACTAAGTGGTTCTAAATCTTGGACCTCCACCATTTTTTTTTGTAGTGTATAGTTTTTCAGTACTATAATTATCTATATATTTATATATGATTTGTAAAAACAAATGATCCCTTGCGATTGCTCGAATTCATCTTATATACATGATTGAAATTTTGACTTTATTGGCGGTTAAGTTACATGGATGGTTCATGATCTTGTGTTTTGATATTTTGAATTAATTAAAAGAAGGGAAGAGGTGTGCATGTTGGGAGAGGGACGTGTCGAGATCTGCTCGTCCTGTGTCTGAACTAAAATTGCATGTCCTAAGAAAGCAAAATGAAATAAAGTAATGTTTTGGTTTCGGCTCAAAATAAAATATAATGTGTTCATATGGCAAGAGTTACCTTGGGGAATTAACAATTGGGTTGTAACCTAAAATTCCGCTAGTGATAAAACTTTTTTACATCATTAGGAATGTCATCCGACACAATTTGACATTTATTTAAAAGAGCAAAATGATGTCAGGTTGAAAATTTTCTGATCTTAAAAGGATGGTTTTGATTGATGACACTTCTGGAGCTTTGGATGTATGTGAGGGATTTGAGGGATCATATGACCTCTGCAATTTACACACCTCCATCCACGTTTTACCCACGCCTTTTTATATCAAAGTCGGTGTAAATCATCGATATCTTTGGTTGATATGAACTATGTGCTTATGTAAATCATCAAATCATCGATTTCATAAAGTAGTACGCTAGGTTTCTGTCTATGTGCTTATCACAAATATTATCCCAAATTCATAAAAAAAATGCTTTTCTGACAATATTATTACTTTTGTTTTTTGTGGTTGTGTTCTACAGTGGAAACAACAAAAACAATTGCAAAGACACATACAAAGAGCTGCGGATCTTTTCTACCCCGTGTAAATTGTTTGCCTTCTTTGCTTGGAATCAAAAGATCATTGTCTCACTTTTTTAGAATCCAACTACTTGAGTGTACTGTGAATAAGCATCGGACTGCATCGCAATTGGTGCTCGAGTAACATGATCAGGTAGCTCGAACGCATCCACTAATTCCTTTGCAACGTTCCTTACTTGGAAACACAAATACTCTGTCAGTTTATGAATTGCCTGCAAACAAGAACAAGATTTTTGTTTAGAACCATTTTAATCGAGAAACAAGTCACTTGTGGATTAATATCATACAACAAAACAAACCTTAGCTTTGTTAGGCGCCACATAATCCACGTTACGGTACGTTCCTATATCTTTCCAAATTCGGTCCAATGCGTAAAGATCACATGCTAGTTTCAGAGCAGCTCTTGCACTCGGTTCCGGACAGCTGAAGAAAGTAACAGATTTGTAATAAGAGATTTACAAACTTGATTTCTGAAGTTTGTAAGGAAAGGTTTTGGTGTGATCCTTACTTTTTAACAGCTTCGATGAACTTGGCGAGAATGACTGTTTCAATGTGAGATTCTGCAAGTGTCAAGAGATGATTCAAGCATCTGTTCCAAGCACCGAAACCACCGAGAGTCTTTGAGTGCTTCTGCAATCTCGCTGCCACATTTTGTAGCAATCGCGATGTTCGATACTGAGGAGACAAATGTAAAGTAAACAATTGTAATCAATGAAGACAAAGAGAATCATAGAGATTGATTATGTAGAACAAAACACTAACTCACCCGGAAAGCATCTAACTGGAATTTCGGATCTCTTAGATGATCTTCACCTTCCCAACGTGCTGTAACGGGATTTGGCTGAGACAAATAAGTGTTCATTGATTCTCTCAAGTAGCTCCATGTAACTGTCAACGTCCCGCCTTGGAACTTTTCTTTATAGCGCTTCAATAAATCAGCAGCCACCTGAAAGAAAAATAAACAAAACTATGAGCGTGATTGTTCTCAAGAGAAAGTGAAAGTTTCTAAAAAGAGTGAAGGACCTGTTGCAGAAGCACTGTGTTGTCTCCTTCAAATGTCTGGAAAATGTCATGATCATTTCTCAAGCTTCCAAATCGATTAACAGCTGCGTAACCATGCCCTCCACAAGCTTCTCTGCAAACAGAGAGCGACTTGGCGGTGTAAGACGTTACATAGGATTTGAGCCCAGCAGAGAGTGCATGGACATCAGCAACCAATTGCTCATCATGAGTCTTCTTCATCTCTGAATATTTCTCCACAAGGTATACAGTTGCAAAGTGGTATGCATAGGTGGAGGCTAACATCGGCATGAGCTTGTGTTGTTGAGACTGGTAATCGAGAATACTGACCTCAGGTTGCTTTGGAGGACCGAATTGTTGTCTTAGAAGCGAATAACGAATAGCAATCGTTGCAGAGATTTTAAGGACGCCAACAGATGCATATGCAAGGCCAACTCTACCACCAACAAGCTCACCGAGTGTTGCCCCAAATCTTTTATTGATTGTTGGCAAACTACTTGTATACTTCCCATCTCGGGAGACATCTCCAAAACGATTGAGAAGATTGTCGCGAGGTATTCTCACAGAACGGAATCTCAATGCACCGTTATCCACTCCATTAAGTCCCACCTTATGTCCACAGTCTTGGATCTCAACACCAGGGAGAGTCTGGTGTGTTTTCATATCCCTTATGGGAACAATGAAGGCGTGAACACCCATATCCGAGACTCCTTTGGAATCATGAGTTGGAAGGATAAGCCTGGCAAAAACAGTGGCAAACTTCCCATGAACTGCAGCATTTCCAATCCACCATTTAATAGCTCCATCATGAGGTGTATCAATTACAAACTCGTCTTTAAGTGGATCAAATGTGGCCGTGGTCTGAAGACCTTGAACATTTGACCCTTGAGGAAACAAAGAAAGATAAGTACTTAGTACAGAGCATGAACTGAGACAGAGTATTAGATGCTGAGAGAGTATTAGTCATCACTCACCATGGTGGAGTTCAGTCATGGCAAAGCAACCGGTATAGTCGAGATTGTCAATGCCATCAAAATACTTGTCTCTATGCTTCTTGGTTCCTAAATTGATCACAGAGCCTCCCCAAAGACTGCATATATACGTGTAAACAATTGAATGCACACTATGAATACTACATAGCTGAATCTATCAAAATTTCTGTAAAATCAGCTAAATTCTCACCAATACTAACATAATCACTTATTCCTTACTCAAAAGTCAAAACACAAGACAAGACCAAACTATTCCAATCAACACCACAAAACCAAAAGGTCAAATCTTGAAATCTCTAAAATCTAATGTGGGAAAAGGTAGAAACCTTTAAAGATTTTCAATTTGAACTACTAACCTGTATTGAACTCCCATCTTGATCCCAAGAGACATATCAACACTTCCAACAGCTTCCATAATCGCGAAATACTTCTCCGGATCATCAGCGACATACTTAAACGGCCTTATCCCAGCTTCTCTAACAAGCCCTAGCAGCTGATTCATACACAGTTCCCGATGATCGTCCTTGGAGATCTCGATCGGCGTCTGCAAATCGGGTCGGGAATTGAAAAACTCGTAAACTTTCTCCTGTATATCCATGTGTTTCCCTTTCATGTACAGCGACAACGCTTGGCCGTTGACCTCCAACTTCTTCGCCCTCGATGAACACGTCTCCGCCTGCACCAACGGTAGCGACGGCGGCGCAGTCATGGCGGGAGAAATATGTGAAGACAATCTTTGGATCCGCCTCATCGCAGCTAGCTCGGAAGATTCCTCCTCCGTCATCGGATTCATCCCTCGCCGCGATTCCATGAATACAAAAGTTTCAACGAATTCTGATGAAAGTTTTCTCCTTTCTCTTTGGAGTATGAACTAAAATTGTCAAAATTAGAAAATCGTCTGAATTGTTTTATGAAAAGGTGGATGCTTTTACGGCAAGGAAGATGACGTGGACACGTAGTAATCAAATGACGTGTAGATATGTAAGTGGATAAAATCTTGGCTCGTTTTGGTGTGCTTTTCGAGGTGATCCTTTCCTGTTCTGTCTGATAAGATTTTGACCTGACGTGGCAAAAGAAGGTTTTTGGATAGATAATGGGCTTCGTTATGATAGGCCCAATGGGTTTAGATGGATGATCAGTTGTGGCCCGTTAAAGAGTGCGGAAGCGGGACCGCGTGACTCTCCGCTAAATCCGACGCCAAATGGTAAATTCGAAACGCAAAATCTAGATCGGGGAAATCTAAAGGATTTGTTCCCGCCTCAACCTCCTCAAAAATAAACCCTAATTCTCTCTACTCACACGCCTGTGTGAGTTTCTTCTTCTTCCGATTTAAACCAAGATTTCCCAGTCAACGACGGATGTTATCAGTCTATTGGTTAGTACCCCCAAACACAATTGATTTGTTCTTTGTTGATTTTAGGGTTCTTCATTTCTGAAATGTACGAATCGTTTCGTTTTCTTGCGTCCTCTCAGTTTACGAATTCGAATTTAACAGGGTTTTGTTCGATTTCGTAGTTTTGGTGTTAATTCTACACTTTAGGGTTTTGTTGATTTTTTTTTTTTGTATCTTCGTTTAAAATGTTAGATTTTTGGAGTGTTGTGCTGTGCTGCATTTCTAGTTTGAAAATGGAAAGTTTTTCTCATTTTTGCTGTGGGTTTATTTTATAAAGATGACTGGAGAAAGCTGCAGCTTAGTAGTGCCCAAGGAAACACGTCTTGCATTGTGTGATATGACTAATCTTCCTAGCAAGAGAGGGCTTTCGTCGCTTCTTGGTGAGTTGCTTCTGAAATCTGGAGATGATTCTGGTAAGACCCTTGTTGCCCGCGAAGGCTCCGGGGTTAAGTTTTCCAAGAGGTTGTGTTTAGTTGTAGACGACTTGGTCAAGGAGAGTACTAGGACTAGTGATACAGTTGAAGGTTCTTCTTCTGATGATAATAAGATTAGTTTTGCTGGGGATTCTGAAAACTTCGATGTAAAAGAATCCCAGGGTGAGACCAATGCGGTTGATATGGCTGTTGAACCTTCGAAAGGTGTTAATGATAGTGATGCTGTTAAGGACATGTCTGAGAAGGACTCGGACATGACTGTTTGTGCCAGTCAAACTGATGCTGTTACTGGTGAAGACTTAGCCATGACTGTGTTTAGTAGCAGCAGCAATAACCAAGAGGCGGGTTTGTTGTTTTCTAATTCTCAGACTATCAAATCGTTTAGTATGAACAGATGTTCGAATGTTGACGGTATGGGGATTGTTTGTCATAATATGGAAGCTGACGACGAGCTTAAATCTTGCTCTTGTTCTTTTTGCCTCAAAGGTTTGCCTGATTCTTTAGTGTGTTGTTTTTTTGTTAGTACTGACTCTTTTGTTACCAATAAGATGATCTAACTTAGTTTTCTGGATGTAATGAATGTCTTCAGCTGCATACATCTGGTCAGATCTTCACTACCAGGATATCAAAGGTCGATTATCAGGTAAGTGTTCAAATTACACTGCAAAACTCAGCTTCGGATAATATTGGTTAGTTATATGTATGGTCATATGAAATCTGTGTTGGATGCAGTGTTGAAGAAGAGCCAGAAAGAAGCTAGTAATTTGATCCGTAGGAATGGTAAAGGAAAGCCAACAAATAATTATGGATCCGAAAACTCCAATAACTCTGCAGATACAGAAACTGTCATGGGTCAATGGACATCTCTGTTTCTTAACATGGAAGGTATCTTGGCTCGTGAAAGCAAACACCTTGTAAGTTCCTCAGAGCTCTATTGGATTCGCAGAACTAAAATTCCAAAAGTGTCTAATTGAGTAAAACTTGGTTCTGAGTTTTGATGTCCATTGTAATTGATAATCTGCAGCAGAATAGCTTTGTAGCCATGAAAGATTTGAGAGAGGATTGCAAGATTGATCTGGAGAGAGCGTCGAAAGCACCTCAACACAACAACATTTAGGTAGTGATTGTTCTTTACTGGTTTGGATGCTGTAAGACTCTCTGTAACCTTCTTCCTTATATTTAAAGCAACTCATGTATGTATTTATAACTTCTATTGTCATCATCTGTTGTTGCATCAATGTTTAGTGTTATACTTGATTCTTCTAGCAAATTGTATCTGTCCTTTGAGAATAGGTGCCATATTGATCTCTGTGTTTGCATGTATGTATCTATTTGAATTTATCATCCTTTTTGTTACTACTAGTGTCCCTTACAAACACTAATTAGGGTTTAAAAAATCAAAAGTTTCATTTAAGTATTGTTGGAATTCTAAGTAAAGTAAGAGGTAGCAATTACAATAGGTACTGATTAAATCAATAGAGAGGTCCACGGAATCATGATAACTATTGATTAGCTACCTAATCATGTCTATTAGATTAGCAATGGAGTAATTAAGAATAGGGGATATTGATTTGTTTCTGCTTTGACATGCAAAAGTCAACTATTTTATATTATTTTGAAAAAGGTTGGCTTCTATAGTCAACGGATTAGCGGTTTCACCTCTACTTCTTTTTATTTTGTTATTTCTGTTTAGAATTCTCTTATGCATGTTTATCAACTTTAAATTTAGGTCGATTTTACGATTTAAGAAAAAAATCTCACACCATTAAATTTGGTGTGTATACGTACTTTGGTTTTTCAAATTTGTGAAAAGAGTCTTGTAATTTAAAACGTTTGCAATAATAGTCAACATATGATATTTAGCGCTGGAAATACACAAAAAAGTCTTTTACTAAATATAAAATTAAGGGGTTTATTTACTATCAATCTTTAGTTGAGGGGTTTTAATACTAAATTTTCATAAAAAAACTAAAATCTTTTACTCTTTTTTTTTTTGGTTAAAAAATCTTTAACTCTGTTCCGAAGGGATCTCAAACAAATTGATTAATGTTTGTATTCACATATATAGTCGTGTCTCTGTTTAGTTCCAAAAGCTTCAAGCTTTGTGATTAGCCTTACAGACTCGTGTTTGTAAAATGCTACTAATACTAAATAGAAATTGGTATATAAATATCTTCAAAATCCATTAGAGAAAAACAAAAAAAAAAAAAGCAGAGAAGATTCACGAGAAGCAACCTATAAGTCTCATGCTTTTCCTGAAGAAAAAAAAAGCTCATAAAAAAAACTCAAAATCTAAAGTTATACTTTATATTATAGACATTGACCACTTTTTTCTTAAATGTGTATTATAGTTTGACATTGAGCCATATTTCCTTAGTTAATATTGAGAGCCTCATTTCTTTTATACTATGTTATCTTATAATTAAAATTTTCAATGTATTTTAAAATATGAAATGTCTAAAATTCTGAACAAATGAATCATCATTGTCGGTTTCTAAATACTAACAAAAAAAAAAAGGGAGGAAACTGAAATAAATTGTTGTGCTAAAATGAGAGTGAAGAAGGTGCCTTGCGTAGTTTACAAGTCTTAGTCCACGTAGGACACAACGTGTGAACACGTCTATGTTGGTACTTTTTGATCACATACTCATTGCTGATTGGCTTCAATTCTTTTTCGTTTCTTTTCATGATTTATCCCCTACTTTACACATATAAATCACTCCCTTCGGATAATTACTTAATTTGGATTAAAAATATAATCTAAAAAATACTAGATATTCAATAATCCGGTAAGATTATTACAGTCATATTCCCAAAATTTCATTTATGTCCACTTGTGTAAAAAGATTACATATACTTTTGCACTCGATAATGTTTTATGCTATAGTTGTAACATGGATTTTTCTTTTAGTTCTACTAGTAGGTTGCTGCTGATTTGAATTGAATATGCAATAGACTTAACACTTACATTGTAAAATTTCATAACTTTGCCCTGAGTAATTGAGACACCAAATAAAAGATAAACGAATTAAGTAGACATTAACGATTGTCAACGCGTTTTAATTTCATACTAATATAATTATTTAAATGCATTTGATTTTACACATGACGTCATCGACATCATTGGCTTCACCACAGAAAAACCCCATGGCAGAAACGGCCACACATATATAAGCCAAAGTTTATGGCGAAACTATCAAACCCAAGAAGATCGTGAATACTTCAAATACAAAACAAAAAAACACATAAAATCTTCGTTTTCTCTTTTTTAGTGAGTGTGTGTTTGTGTAAGTGTAAGTGTGCTTTTCTCTTTTTTCTTAACAGAGCTCTTCGTCTTCCTTCTCTTTTCTCCAGAAGCACCACTACTCTTTGTTTCTCACATTTCTTGTTTTTTCGTTTATTGTATACAAATGGCAATAGCTTTAAACATGAATGGTTACATGGACGAGTTCACGAAAGCTCTTGAACCATTCATGAAGGTAAGTTCACCTTCTTCTCCCTCCTCTTCATCAACCCCAAAAACCTTCACTCCTCCTTTTGACTTCATCCCCAATAATAACCAAGCCTTGCTGGTATCTAACCAACCCGGTCCGATTGGGCTAAACCAGCTCACTTCAGCTCAAATCCTCCAAATTCAGACCGAGTTACATCTCCGACACAACCACCAATCTCGTCGTCGAAGTGGTCATCTTCTCACCGCTAAACCAACCCCAATGAAGAAAACCGACGTCGTAACCAAACCGGTTAAGCTATACAGAGGCGTGAGGCAAAGGCAATGGGGCAAATGGGTTGCTGAGATTCGTCTACCTAAAAACCGAACCCGGTTATGGCTCGGTACGTTCGAAACTGCTGAACAAGCTGCATTAGCTTACGATCAAGCTGCTCATAAGATCAGAGGAGACAACGCTCGTCTCAACTTCCCCATCGTTGCTCTTCGAGGAGACTACAAACAGACGTTGTCTCCGTCTATCAGCGCAAAGATCGAAACAGTCTGCAAGAGCTCTGATCTTACTCTGCCTCAGCTTCAGAAACAGGCCAAAACAGAGGACGTGTTCTCTGGTTTCCATTACACGGGTTATAAACCGGAGCAAGAACCGGATTTTGTATCCGGGTGCTCGGGAACTTCTCCTGAGTCGGATGTAACGTTGTTGGATTTCTCAAGCGAGTATATGAAAGAGGGTGAGAGTTTCTTGATGGGTTTGAACAAGTATCCTTCTTTGGAGATTGATTGGGACGCTCTAGAGAAACTCTTCTGAATCCATTTGATCTACTAGTCTTGTTTTAATGGGCCGTTTATTGGGCTATGTTTATTTTAAGAGCCCAATATCTGTAAATTAAAATCAGATCCAATAATTTTTGGACTTCTTTTTTTTTTAAATGGACTTACATTATTTGGAAAACATTCAACACTTTCATAGTTATTATTAGGGAATTTAATGAAAAAAACCCTCAACATTGGTTGGATCCATTTTTAAACCCTCAACTATTTTTTTAATAAATCAAACCCTGAACTAAAAAACATTAACAAATTTAACCCTCCGTCTATAAAAGCATACATTTATACCGTTAACAATTTCGTATACTCTAGCTGAACAGTAAAACGAAAACCACTAGGCATATTTTTAAACATATTACGATCACAACACAATTTTTCGATTATAGTATTCTGCAATTCCTGATGGAAAATATAAAATTTCTCATATTTTATGCAAAATGCTTATTCTGAAACATATTTACAACAACAAACAAAAAAATTTGACTTACCATAATATTTTACAAAATTCAAACCATATGTAATAAACATATGTTCTCTCAATACCTCACACCATAATGGAGACTCGATGAGTTAATGTCATCCATCATTAAATTTAATTATGCGTCTCACCCTCGATTAACTCTGTGTCAATCGCCTATTAAACCTACTTTATTTTCTTTTTCACTAACCGTTCAACATTTGGAATTTTGAGGTTTTAGGATTTCATGATTTGAGAGTTTTTTTTGTGATTTATTATTCGACGTGTGAACGTTTATGGAAAACGAAGGTTCTTAAGAGAAGGTTTGTTGTTAATTTTTGTATTTAAAAACTAATGCTTAGTCTTTTTTTGTTTCAGTTAAACAAACGTTGATTGCGTAGAAGAGATTATTACGGGTGTTTAGGTTTTTATAGGTGGAGGGTTAAATTTGTTAATGTTTTTAGTTCAGGGTTTTATTTACTAAAAAAATAGTTGAGGGTTTAAAAATTGATTTCACCAATGTTGAGGGTTTTTTTCATTAAATTCCCTTATTATTATTTTTTTTTCTTTCTTATTGTTAAGAAAAAGCATGAACCAGAGAAGTCCAGACTAATGACTTATATTAAAAAATATATATATAATTCCAAATTCCCAGTGGAATTGTCAATTATTTAGTGAACTAATTAACCATCTTGGTTAGTTGAGAATGTCAGAGAAATGGTAAAAACATGGATACGTGTCCATGGAATGTGGCTCCCCATCGTTAAGGCATTCTCCTTCACATGCATCACCATGTGCACATTTATTCATATACTACTACTACTAACATAAGTTCATTCATGATCCCTTATTATATATAAAAAAAAGGTGAACATTAGATATGAATGGTTGATTTCGAAGCGTGGACCGACATTTCCAACGTCGACACGTGTTAAGGATCTACGAGAAGTCCAACATGCATATATGCATGGTGAGATATGGACATGAAGTGGAACACGTACTTAACATGTAGGTTCTCATGCGGTGCAAGTTAACGGACGAACGTTTTTGTCCTTTAGTTATTTCTCTTTTGTAAAGCGAAATTGTACTTTTAATTCAGAAGAAAACAAAAACAAAAACAAAAACAAGAATTGGAAGTTGGAGAATTTGTCATGTCTCGGTCATTGTTCGCACAAGTACTCTGTATCTTTTCATGTCGTGATAAATAAAGTTACGGACCTACCAAGGATATGTGTCCAAGTCTCACTAGTCGACAATCTACATCTTAATTATTAAATCTCGCGTTCTTGAATTATTTGTAGTTATATGTTTTTTTCTTTTCTAACTATGAAGACAAGTACAAGATATAAAAGAACTGAATATATATTCCATAAAAGAACTGAATATATAATCATATTATATATTCCATAAAATGATACATATTTTGCATTGTAATTTTACAAAAGGTATCACCAATATTATATATACCCCCTTCCCATACAATAAGCCTAACTTGAAAAGTGAAAAAAATTGCCTTCAAACAATAAAGATAGAAGGCTATATATATATATCCCCAAGTCCCCGTATTAATTGTTCATATAACCTCTTTTTCTAAAAGAAAAGAGTTATGATGAACAAAATCAACCTATATATGAGGATCTTGTACCATCTTTAGTCCATCATAGGTTAGGGATATATGGACATATTATCTATACATATATTATATATATGCACTTATGGTTATGATTATCATTATTATTTCATTAAAGAGACTACTAAATGTACTTCAATGCCTCTTCGATGTTTATTGCTGCATTTGTTTCCATTCCACCAGCCGTTTCAAGAAATCCATCACCTGTAAATATACGTTACCAGAAGGTCATTATAACTGCGTAACTCGTATAAACATACGGTTTCATACATGTATAATGGTATAAGTACTTGCCTGGGGTGGGTCTTGCAAAGAATACGACGCACTCGTGTCTTTGGGGAACTTGGAGACAAGAATTCCAAAGCCTTGTCCTCTCTCTCGTAGCACCTACATTTAGATTTAAACGCAATTAACTAGTGTGTGAAATTTAATTGGTTATAAATATGAGATTTGGAGTATTATTTTGTTGATAGCAATATTAATTTTTGATATTTTTTTTTGCACATATTTAAAAGCTCTTTTATATTCACAATAATTTCGAATACTTACAACAACAAAAAATGAAATAAAATATTTTACAATTTTCATTTGAACTGAATTGTATACCTTAAATGCATCTTCATCGGTTTTATCATCGCCAATGTAAATCGGGAATACTTCATTACTGTTCTCAAATCCTGCGACATCCAAGATACTAGATTTAGAATCTAATTATTTTTAATTTTATTTATAAAAGGCACATTTATGAGGCATATTAATTTGTTGATGAAAGAGTCAAACAATTAAGAGAGAGAGTCTCACCGAGTGACTCCAACAAAAACTCAAGAGCCTTGCCTTTGTCCCATTTAACCATAGGTCGGATTTCAAAAACCTGTTTAAAAGTACAAAAAATCACTTCGTTTATGGCTCGGTACTTATGCAAGACAAAGATACGTTAATCCAACATTCACCAACAAGAAGATACGTCACGTCATACCTTTCGACCTTGAGACAGTTTCAACGTCGGGTACTTCTTTACCACCGACCGAACGTTTAAAGCTAGTTCGCTCCATTTCTAATAATTTTCAAAAAAACACAAAAAGGCAATTAATTATACATCAATCGGGAAATTTTGTTATTTTTACACTGTATCATGTTGTGTATTTTCCTTACCTTCTCGTCGACACAACGGAAGTGAACAGAAAGACAGAACTTGTTGTTCTCCACTTTGGCTCCCGCTGTTGATTTGGTTTTCTCCACTAACTGCTTATACACCTGAAGAAAAAAAAAATTTAAATAAAAACTTTCGTTAAAAATTAAATTCTAGAAATTAAATACAGAAAAGATAAACCAAAAAAAGTAGTAATAATACAAATTTAATTTACCTCATCGATCATGGGAAGAAAGTCGCCGGCTGGTTGGTATAAAATAGATGGTTTATCCTAAAATCCAAAAGTTAATTTTGATCAAAATACGCACACACAAACACACCAAAAAAGGAAAATCAGAATTAAAATTTTGTATTCATCTCTGTGTTTAGGGAATCTATCTACCTTATTGTATCTTGAGAAACCTTTAGTTGGGCCTTTAATATCCATTCCATGGCTTCCAGCATAATACAGTTCTGCTAGCTTCACAAAGCTATAAACCTATTAAACAAAACAAAAAAACACATATCAAATTGTGATTAGTTCATTAACAGATTTTGTTAAGAAAATGTGAAATAAAACTATTTAACAAAAATGTACCTTGTCAATGCATCTACCAGTCACTATGGAAGTTGGAAAAGACTTAGCCATTTTTTTCACCGTTCTTCTCATCTGTGAAACACACCGGAATTTTAATATAAACGACAGTAGAGATTTTGAAAGAAAAAAAAAGATCTTGATTAATTTATAAGAACCTTGCTAGACATGAAAGCTCTGTCAGGATCATCGACGATCGGAGAAAGAGTACCGTCATAATCAAGAAACATGACGATTTGCTTTCCACTGGCAGCTTCGATGATACGTTCGAACATGTCGAGTGCTGATGGATGTCGTTTCTAGTGGGAATCAAAAGACAAAGAAAATTTAGCAATCTATGCGAGAAACAGACTTCTTTGTTTTAATTTAGCTGGAAAGAAAGTGTTGTAATGGATGGAGCTTACGATCCAAGAATTGAGTTCTTCCTGAGCGGAGAGAGATGGAAGTGACTTGAGATGGGTAGGAGAAGAAGCTCTCATGGAGTCAACCCAAGAGGTAAGTCTTTGGCTTTGAGCTCCATTGATCTCGAGGTTTTTGAGGAGTTTTTTATTGGAAATTGAGATGTAACCAGGAGCAGTCGGTGGTTTTTGAGCGGAAGGAGTAAAGACCGACGAGTTAGAGACTGTAGAGACAGTTATGATCCCGGTCTTTGCATCTGCTACGACGACGTTTTGGCTCACCATTTTTTACTATTATGAAACAGAGAAGTAGGAAAGAAAACAGGGGATTTCCAGAAAACAGAGAAGGTGAAGTGAGATTTAGAGATCTTCTCGACAAGAAAATCGAGAATTTTGAAACTTCCCCCAGTAAGAAAATCAGAGATTGAAGATGTAGAGAAAACGAGAGTTGTTGAGAGAACAAAGGAAAGAAGAAGAAGTGAAGTTGCTCTGTGTTTTTTTTTAGGAATCTGGTTTAGTGTTTCTTGAAGTGTTCGAAGAGACGAGAGAGAGATAGTGTGGGAAAGATGCGATGACCCAAAGGTGGCTTTTATAGAAGCACCAAGCCATCACAGAGTTAGAGAGAGAGAGAGAGAGAGAGAGAGAGAGAGAGAGAGAGAGAGAGAGAGAGAGAGAGAGAGAGTCACTTGTTACTTGTAACAAGTGGGAGCCATGGGACCGAGGATTCTTATGTGGGGCACCTACAAGAGCCGGCCCAGCTTTTGAGCCTTGAGGCCTGAGGAGGAGGAGGTGGTGTGACTCTTCTCTTCGTATTGATGGTTCCTTTATGTTGCCGCGTGTCCCCAATGCAAAGGAAGCAGAAGCACCCCTACCTTCCTTCACCCTCTCTCTAATGTCTTATTCGTCTAGGTCGTATTCGTATATATGTTTTTTTATATGATCGAATCATATAATATAACTAAGTAATTGAGTTCTTTTTATATATATTTTCACTAACCAATTAATGTCCACATCTACTTAGATATCAACCGTTTCTTTTGTTTAATCAGAATTTTTGTAACACCCATAATATACAAACCCAAAAACTTTCACGATCGGAACAAATACTCTATATTATTCCGAAAACAATTAAAAATAATGCATCGTTTAAAATTAATAATATAGTTTTTTATTTACTTTTGCCATGCTAAAGTATATATAGGTGTATCCGAATATTAAATTATCCAACATATTGAGTTGCCTTGGCAATTACAAAGACATCACCGATTTCATAAACAATCTAAAATGACTGTATGAGCCCGACCCTTTGTGAATTGTGATGCATACAGCAACACGTACGATACTTAACAATGACATTACATTTTATTAAGATAAATCATCATATTGTAATAAAACCAATATTGCTCTCGAACTTTCTTATATACCTAACTTTTGTTCATGAATTGACAGATCTATAGTTTATGGAGAAAATTTTCAGAAAGATACAAACATTTTAAATTATGAAAAATTATATACACAATGGATGGATCAACACAGCCTTATAATTTATCCTAGTTATTTAATATTTCAAGCAAACAAAATAAAAATTCTGAGGTATATAGGATAAATCGTTCAACAGTTACTAAACCTAATTTATAATAAGAAATACAAATCATCAAATATACAGTACGTTGTTTCTTTAAAGGCTGGAATTAAGAAGGCTCATACCATACGTAAATAAGATTGACCCTTGAAGAAAGTTTCAGTCGATCCCGGCTTCAACATTGGTCTTAGAAGAATTTGAATTTGATTTGTAAGTGGTAACGCTTCTGGTTTCTTTGCACGTGGATATTGGTTTTTGGACCGTTTTCTTTTCATTGGATTTATCTCCCGATCGACCCCATTTGGGTTTTCGTACTTATCAAATTATGTTGTCTCTAGTGATAAGTTTTTAGGTTTTTATTATAACATATCACATTCACAATATTTGTGACGAAACGGTGTCAATCTAGTGAAATATACATGTGTCATTGCGTTTGCATGCATGTATATATGCGCATTCGCACCTACAAAGATGTTACAAAATAAGCTTTATGAGATTTTAGTAAATTATTTGTTTACTTAATTTTTAAAAAGTGTAACTCGAAGACGCCCCTTGTCTTTGAAAAACAAAAGCACCCATTTTTGTCAAAACCAGCTGCGGCTGCAACGCATATTACATATATATATCACCATTTAATAGTGCTATATTGTAAAGTTTTCCATTATAATCTCCACATATTCAAATTAATGTGATAGTATGACTTTTATTTCATTGCGTTTAATTTGTTGATGACAGCTAAATATGGACTATATGTTTATATACGTATATATTTTCTTTTTGGAAACACAACTATATATAGATATAATTTCCCTCATACGAAAATACTAAATTTGTACTATAACTATTTCGGTATATACAGTATAAAGTATAACTGGAAAACGAAGAAAAAATTATACTACTAGTAGTCTTATATAATTTTTTTTTTTTTTTTTTTGAAACACAAATAAATTTATCTTAAAATATATCAGATACGGGGTGTGTTTGTTGAACCTGTGGACTATATGTACTACTAATACGTATGTAATCAAATCGAACCTGTGGATCGCGTGGGAATATGCTCTTACTACATTCCCTATTGTTAGATATACAAAATTCATAGTAGTTTGGTACTTGGTCAAAAGAACAAACTCGAATACTTTTTTTAATATTAATACTAGGAACTCGGAGAGAAATATAAATATAAGTTTTAATGAGAGTAAAAATTACTTTGGGGGAGGAGGGAGAGTTGGTACGGTAGGTCAAGAATTCAATTTTCTTACGAGGAATCTGTTTTGTGTTATTCAAGGCAAAGTTTCAGTCTTCTGTTTGATCACGTTTAGTCGTTTATGGTTTAAACTTTAAACTTTGAAGTAGCTGGTCAATGTGCACGAAGCCAATAGACTTACATTATTTTGGTTTGACTATAAGGTCATCATCAATGCAAGGTTCTTACACTTAAGATTTACACATGAGAGGATCTTATATCTTACATTGATGATGCTCTAAACTACCGAATAAGATTCTTGGAGATGTGGAAGGAACGTTTGACTTTCTGACCAACAACACCTAAGCTAAGAACATTTAAAGATTCATCAAAACCATAACTATTAGTTTCAACTGAGTGATGGATCTCTTTATAACCCTCTCTTTTTATCTTGGGGATTAAGAAAAAACGATTTTTATCTAATAAATGCTTACCAAACACGGATTCATAATTCAACACAGCTAACCAACTTTTAAATAAAAGCTTATTGTTCGTATGAAAACTCCTTTTCAAATAAGCTATACGAACAAAAGAAGTAAAGAACACATTTTTTTGTTTGTATTTTCATCTGTGAACTTAAGATTCCGTAATATATTCCTGATACAATGTTGACCAAAAAAGAGTACAGTAATTCTTTATCAAGTAAATTATATGATGCATTATGAACAAATTAATAAACATTCAAACCATCGGGAAATACTACTAGATGATGGACACATTGGACAGTCTCTTAAGGAATCATTTAACAAGATTAATAAATATATACATTCTTGATTTCTTTAGGATCTTATTCGTTTTGCCATGTGCTTCCAATTTTTTTTTTCCCGATTCGATGTATATTGAAAAAATTACTCGAGCTCTCTGATGTGAACGCCATCAATGCTGCAAAAAAAATATATATATTTGTACCATAATTTCCTTACGGTTTCTCTTTAAAGCTAAACATTCATAGGAAGTTTCTGTTTTTTTTTTTTTTTTTTTTTCTTACGAAGGCTTAAAATAGCTAAAATTTTAATGTGAAAAGAGGGGTATAGTATTGTTGATTATTTGAGTTACTTGCCATATAAGATAATTCGGACATATCTAGTTAACGATGACGTAAGGAACTATGTAATGCTTGAAGAAACAGGCTTCACGGGTGATCCCATAGATTCTTTCGATCCTTTGTTTCAAATTTAGCCATGGAATTTAGACCTTTACATTTATTATTAATTAATAAAGCTGCAAATCATTCTTTTTTTTTGTTAGGAAATCAAACATTTTTTTATATAAGGTTCTTGACTGGTACCCAATTTTTAAAGTTATATAAACTGAAAAGCAAACCCGTGTTTTCCGGCTGAATCAACGCCTTTGAACATCTTCTTCTATTGTTATTTGTGTAAGTAAGTTAAGCTTTAATTGTTTTCATTTAACATCTAAACATTTCTTTTGGCGACGATTCAACATATAACTAATGTCTCAAAAATTTTGATTGTGAATTAGTTAGCTACACGTGCATGCACATCCGCGAAGTTTACGATACTTCTCTTGACCTTATACAGATCGTCAATTAATTAACGTGATGTTTTCCTCAACAGTCATTTATTTTATTTTTTTCTCATTTGACGAAAATTGTTTATTTATGATGGGGTTAGAACATCTTTTTCAATTTTACTTTCATTTTTTTCTCACTGAACAAAATAAAAACTTTCATTTTTGTTTTTTCAACTTTCATATTCGGCGATTGTTTCAATTATTATAACTATGTACGTTGTTGTGGAAGTCAATCGAAGTGTCAGGCTTAATCGCCGGCCATGGACCGGACCAAGTCCTAGTCCTAAAAGTTTCAAAAAGGTTCATAACGTGTCAGGAGTTTGTCCCTCGCTGCCCAAACCATATGACTCGTCTGAATCTATCCTTCTTTCTTAACCGACACCACACGTGTGGTCTACTTCGGTACGTGTCCCTCTTGGAACACAAAGCCCTCTCTAGTGGTCGGCAGATTCATCTTCACACAAGATTAAAGAAAAAAAAACACATAGCAAGTTAAGTAAAAAAAGTAATACTAAGACATGCATTCATCGTACGTACGTGCACGCACCCAAATCCACATGTTTGGTCTCTTCCCGACTGATCCCATCAATAGGTTAAGAAGGACTTTGTTGATAATTTTCCGGAGTTATAGTATTAGGTCCTTTTTTGTATTTTTAATTATGCTGTTTTAGTTGAAATTCCTACTAGTGCTCTTTTGTTTTAAAGTCAAAATAGCCTAATGTTTTGAGTCGATATCATAGAACTATTGTTTTCAGCAAAGAAGAAATTATTTTAAATAAGTTATATAAATTACATATACTATTCAATTCCGTGTACGCACCATACCGAAACAGACGTATATATAGCCTAATGATTATGGTACATATTGTTGCGATAAGTGGCCCAAAATAGTATTTTGTGAATGTATATAACGAAGAAATATAGCTACTAGTTAAATGCCAACATTTTACACTGCCTGAAACTAATTTGAATGGGAAGCTTAAACTTGGTGGCAATAATAGAAGGTCAATATCAGTTGGGGACATTTAACGTGTCTAAACTGACATGAGGTTTTTGGCATATTGGCCAAGTTATTGATATTTCATTTTCTATATATTAAAAGAAGAAGAAAAAGTTGACGTGATTTTTTTGTTTGTTTGGGGGAAGAAAGAATTTAAATGTAGTTGATGTGATATTTGGGGGGGGGGGGGGAAATAATTTAAAAGAAATAAAAGTAGTAGCAAATGCGGTGTAAAGAGTAGTGATGAAGTGAGGTATGAGAGTGTGATTACATGTAAAGAAGCTAATTCGATGTCGTTGGGTTTAGTGTGTTTCTCATCACTGCTCCTATCTTTTCTTTTTCTCTGTCGAAGCATTATGGAGCTACCACGTTTCGATCTTTTGTTTCCCATGAAACTTATGAGTTTTATTATAGGAAACCAGAAACTATTGAGATTGTGATTTTACTACAAAATCTGTAGGAACAACTACTACAAAACTATCAAACACTCCATAAAGTTTATATAAGTATTATAAAACATGCACACAAATAACATAAAAAAAAGAAATATCGAAAATCATAGCTTAGCAGACGTCGCAAGAAAAAAAAAAGAAATACAAATATTCTTAACGTAAATATTCTTGTTGAAATAAAAATATGCTTTGGACCACAACATCACGTGGAATAGGAAAATAAAGAATCGTATTCCATCTATACCGAAAACCCTATTACGCTATATATTCACTCTAATAATTGGTATCAAATTTCGATTTTAAAAGTCTGTGTAAAAATAGATTTTTGAAGAATTGTAATTATGTTTTACATAAATATATATATATATATATATATATATATATATATATATACACACGTATCTCTTGAGCTTTTTTTTTTTGGGTATATAAAAACGCTCGTTGTGTAATTAATAAATCAAGATTTATTTCTAAATATCAGCGAATGATGATGTGAAATAGAAAAAAGTAGAAAGGTAAAGAAACGGAAGCCAACTGCCAAAGCCTAACGGTATCGCTGCCTTTTTTACACAAAACCAAAAAAAAAAACGGTTACTTTCGGTCGTGGATATGGGCCCACTTTGTCATCCCCCCACGGCTTTCCTACGCTTTCTGAATCCTTCCTGGCCCACTACTGGCCCATTACCTTATTATCTATTTATGTTATTTGTTTCCTAAACATCATTTGAATTTCTTTTAGTACAATCAAAACAGTGTTGGATTTATTTTTTATTAGTGGACTGAACTAAAAGACAAACTAACTTTAAGTATACAATCATCATATTTATTTTAAGAAGTCTAATACCTAATTTTAATACACAATCTATATATATATATATATATATATATATATATATATTTTAACTATGTTTTTTTAAGATTGTTATTATAATTCCCCACTTATTAATTCTGTAAATTTTTGCAAAGTGAAAGAGAGGATGGGAAATGAATTGCCACTTATTTGTCGACCCACACATACACTGCTAATGAGAGAGAGAAAAAAAGTATATTGAAATACAAAAGGTGTGATGATTCTTTTGTCACTGTACGAGTTGCTTTTTCTTGTCATTTGTTTTTTTCAGTCAAAATATTTATATCACATATGAAATTCAGCTAACCAAAACAGAGAGCCCAATGATTTGAACACATAGGTGAAAATGTGAAAATTTATAACCCATATACACTAGTAGTCATTAACCCCTTATCCCTTTGGGTATGAGAGAAAGAAACAAAAAAAACTTTATGGATTACTTAATACTAATTAGTGATGATAACAAATCAAAACTTAATGATAAAAAATCGACACATCCCCGCATTATTAATCAAATACTTTTACATAGTGGCCTTATCCTATGATAAAAAAAAAATGCATACTTCCACACACACACACACAATGTTATTACTATTCTTGTTGTTATTCATAATTTTGTCTTTTTCATTTTATCCCCTATATACCAAAAAGGAAAATTATCGGCTTATCGTATATACTTTTTTGTTATCGACTTATCGTGGGTGATGAACTGATGAGGCAGCATCTCTCTAGTCCTCTCTATAATAATAAAGGCTATATCTATCTTTCTTTTCTTTTCTTTTTTTTTGGCAACAAGCTCTCATATATTCAAAGAACACTATTAAACTAAACATCTCAGAACTAATTAACATTTATAACCACAGTAGTTAAAAAAAGAATGAGGTTTGGATATAATTAATTATATTTTTAAGTAGAGACAATGTCTTTAACTAAGGTAAGAAAATTAAGAATAATCGGTGCTTGATTAATAAATTGGAAAACAAATAGAACCAACTTACCTTTAAGAATCTGAAGACGGCGAGATAGATCACAAATAAGTGAAATACTGTATTGAAATAAAAGAGACAAATCTAACATTCTCACGCCTAAATCCGCATGGTTTGCAAAAGTAATTAAAAATAGCTAGCATCTAATTTTCTTTAGAAAATCAGAATATTCCACGAAAATCATAAAAGTAAATTAATTGAAAAAGAAAACAAGAAGATCTTTGGTTTTGATTAAGAGTAGAACATTATCATTTTTTTTTTTTTTCTGTCTTCCAACATTATAAATTATTCCAAGGTCGTCGTTGTATAATTAACAAGTGGGTGTCTTGAAAATGATATCAGATTCTGATTTGATGGAATCCTCAACGGTTCACAAATCACCTCTTCGAAGTTTTCTATATATATTATTTTTTTCATAAAGAAAACATTGCAAAAAGCATTCGAATAAAAATAATCAAATGTGATGTGCTTTGGGACTCTTTGGGACAAATTAATCTAGGCCCTGTAATTTGGTGGATGCACACAGTTGCACACCCCAACTTGGTTTCAATTGGAATATCAACGAATATATGTGACAATGAGGCCATATAAAATTTCGAAATAAGAAACTCGTTTGGTAAATAAACTAATGTTTTATGTTGACAAACAATTACTAATATCTTAAGAGCATCTTGTGAGTGCAAATCATACAGGAGCATATGCTTTGACAAATATTGGCATATGCTGCTATGTTTATATAGCTGATAATATTTTTGGGGAAAATATTATATTTATAAATGATTTTTTTTAAATGGACTAATTAGTAATTTAAAAGACATTACATTTACCAAAAATACAAAATAAGACACAACACTATGCTCGTAAAGTCCAAAACAAAACCCACTCTGATATGGGTTTATATAAGCCCAATATCAATTGAGAAGCCCAATAATATTTGAGGATTGGGATGCAGTTGACAAAATAGAATAAAATAAAAACATCAGTTGGAAAAAATCAAACAAGTCATTGGTACTTGCAACTGAATATAGCTAATCCACCGGAATATCCACAGTTCCACATAAACTATTAATAAACTGTATTATTGTACAATCTCTCAAGCCACACAGTGACACAGGTAAAGGATTTACCATAAATTTCAAAGCTTTTCAACATTTCTCAATTTCATACAATTTTAGCTTTACGAACCAAAAAGAGATATAAAAGACCATGATGTCACGCGGCAGCTCCACCCTCCTCATCAGTCTCCTCCTCCTCACCGCCGTCGCAATCGCCGTAAGTCACTTCCTTGGAACATGCAAGTACGCACACAAATCGTATAATCGTTACATTTGAATGATATTAATGTGTTATTTTAATTAGTTGGACAATGATGAAGACATGTGCGTGTTCACGGTTTACATACGAACCGGTACGGCATGGAAAGCCGGTACAGACTCCGTGATGAGCCTCCGTCTTTACGACAGTTACGGTCAAGACGCAGTTATCTCCGATTTGGTGTCATGGGGAGGTCTAATGGGTCCATTTCATGACTACTTCGAGAGGGGCAATCTCGATATTTTCAGCGGTCTAGGTTCTTGTCTCTCGGGTCCGGTTTGTGCGATGAATCTGACATCCGATGGCTCGGGTGATCATCACGGTTGGTATTGCAATTACGTGGAAGTGACGATGAGTGAGAGCCGTCGGAAAAGTTGTTCTCAGGAGAAGTTTACAGTGGAACAATGGCTGGCTCGTGATGCTTCGCCGTATGAGCTGTCGGCGATTAGAAACCATTGTTCGGACTTGGTCAAGAATCAGCGAGTCGTTATGACCACGTTGATGTAATGCGAGATTGTTATTTATTCATTACTTTGGGGTCAAAATGTAACGTTTCCGTGTGCGATTTGAGAATTTGTGGGTGTTTATTTTCTCTAATAAAGAAAATGAAAATAGATGTGTTATTTTGTATTGCAATGCTTGACATTTTGAGTGATCAATGTATATAATATGAGAATATGGAGAGCAAGTTAAATAAAAGTTTTTTTTTTAATATATGTGAAATGTGTTTTAAGAAATAATAGTGAAAATATGATAGTGTTCTTCACTCTGTCGGAAACTTTTTTGATTTGAAATTTTTTTATAGTTACCATGGACAAATTTTTGTTTCTTTTGTAAAGCTAAATACAGTATCCCCACAATCTCATTCCTATACAAACAGTTTTGATCATCCAAGCCCAAAAATATGAAATTAAATAATTCACACAATTTTGTCATTTAGTTGTCGCTCGCCGGCCCAAAAAATATAAAATCGAACGAAGAATATTCCGGCCGTGTTTTTCTCAGTCCTGCATATAAAAAATCACCGGAAAATTCTCAAGAGTCTTGTCCACGGCGTTTCATGAGTTGTTGTTGAGCCTCTGATAGTCCTCTAGTAACTTGCTCATCCTCCGGCGTCTCTTTTCTCAATATCTCATAATCTCCCACCGCCAATTCCCACTTCCCGATCTGCACCCGCAATTACTTATAATTACGATAGAGTCCCAAATTTTCTTATTCATTATCAATTGACCCCACTATTTTTTATTTGTTACCTTCGAGTTACAATCGGCTCTTCTGAGCCGAGCCTTGCCGTATCCCGGACGTACGGATAGAGCCGCCGTGCAATCCTCAACAGATTTATCGAATTGACCCAATTTTGACCGGCAAGCCGCGCGGTTGCAGAGCAAAACGGAGTTTCGTGGATCGTGGTCTAATCCTTCGCCGTAGGCGGCGCAAGCCTCTTCGAACCGCCCGGCTTTAAACAGCTCGTTTCCTCTGAACCTAGCTTCCGTCACCGCCTGTGCCCTCCGTGAAACCATGATCACCTCTCGGTTGTTCCCGTCCAGCTTGCCGGCGCGTTGAATCGCCTCCACCGCCTCGTCGAACCTGATAAAATCAAAAATTAAACCGGTATTTTTAAATTGAAGACCCGCACATAACTTCGAACCGGGATTTTAAAATGAAAGTTATATAAATACAGTATAACTCTAGATATATATCTGGTTATAACAAGAAAACCAAAACGTGTAACAGTAAACCGATCCTTTAAATGTGATATCGGTACTTTATTTATGATATGAAACTTGGAATTTGACCGGGTCAAAACAAGCAAAAATACAAAAAACCGGAATTATAAAATTTAAGAGCGGTTAGTAGATAATAAACCAATACTGGAAAGAAGAAAACAAACAAACCTGCCAGAGGCTAAATGAACCTGAGCACGGACGACCAAGAAACCAGCATAACCAATGGGTCCATAGTACCTAGTACTGGTGTCCACATCAAAAATAGGACATCTAGACAAAGCTTCATCGGCTTCTTGATGTCTATGCGTCTTCAACAAAGCCTCTGCTTGCAATGCATATACTTGTGGTGCTGCATCAGCTCCTGAAGAGATTGTGTTTGTTGTTGTTGTAATCAAACCATTCCAATCTCGTAATCTCTTAGCTTCTGTGCACTTGTTGAGATGGGTCTGTACGGTTTTCGCCTTTGCAATGTCTTCAGGGTCAGCCTCTGGACCCGAATGCTTGAAATGATATATTGATTTCTCCACCTCTCCTAACCTATAAGAAATTTGTAAGATATTTATATAGTTTTGATATAAGAAACTAAGAAAGGGTTATGATTTTTGAGGGTTTTCGATTACCTGAGGTACAAGTTACCCAGCCGATGATGTGCTCTATGGTAATGAGGCTCAATTCTGATTGCTTCTCTGCATTCGAAAACCGCATCAAGGATTCTCCCGAGTGCTGTCAAAGCTGCGCTCTTGTTGCTACGGTAAGCAGCTTTGTTGGGATCAATCGCAATGGCTGCATCATACAATGCTAACGCCTCTGCGAAATTACCGTTCTTGTAATCCTCATTCCCCATGATCTTCAACGTTTCTGGATCCATTCTTGTTGAGATTGCTCTACACAAAGATCCTGATTGATCTTGACTTTTTGTTGTAGTCACCGATGCCGCAGCCATCGTAGTCCTCTTGACGCCATATCCATTGTTATTACCGTAATTTACACCCGCCGTAACTGGTCCTGTCTGATTCAAATTGCCAAGATTTCCAAATAACATTACATTGCTAGAAGATGCACGAACCAATCCATTGGCTCCTCTTGCTTTCTGATGATCGGTGATCATGCTCTCAAGCTCACCCGATAAACCAATGGCTTCTCTTGGCACTTTCCTCTGTCCCCCTCCTCGATATGGATCAACGCTATTACTATTGTTGTTATAACTACTTCGTTGTTGACTCTCGTAGCTCCCTAATTGATGATTATTAGGGTATTGATTTGACGAGGGTTTTGACGGAACCACGGATCTCTGGTTCTGATTTTGTCGGTTCTGGATCTTGTTATTCTGGACTGGCTCTGCGGAAACCTTCTGATCATCGCGAGGCTTCTTCAACTCGGTGCCAGAAGATTTAGTGAATTGAATGTTGCTTGTGGCGGTTGCAGCCGTAGATGTGCTTTTCTGGCTACCGTTATCGGCTGCAGTAGATTTCTTGGTCCACAAGCCACGTCTACCAAACATTACACTCAATAAACCACAACCCGATCGTCTCTCGGCCGCCGCCGCCGTGTTCTCCTCCATCTCAAGAACCGGCCTTAGAATTGGAAACCCCTCTCCCTCCCAAAGAACAAATCACAAGAAGAAGAAGATGATGATGATGGTGAGATTTGAAACACAGAGATCAATGGAGATGAGAAGAAAGAGATCTCATGTTTAAAAAGAGGAATAGAGAAGAAAGATGTGATTAGGCTTTTCTCGGCCGGACGGTAAAGAAGAACGAAGATTCTTCCGTTTCGTGTTTTGTGTTGGTGTCATTAATTTTATAATATGTGTCATTATGTTTTTTTTTTGGTTTTACTAGGGAAATATAAAAATAAGGGACTAATTAATAATTAGGTGAAAAAAAGAAAAGAAAAAGTAACGACTGGAAATATATGTCTGTGCATTTTTGTTATTCGATGTCAAAATGAGTTGGTGGTGAGTTTGAAAATTGAGAGGCCGATTCATTATTGGTTAGTTCATCACCTCTCTCCTCTTTTCTGTTTTTTCATCTTTTATTTTCTTCTCTGTCAGCTCTTACTCTTTTTGTTATTTGATTTTTTTTTTTTTATAATTATTATGATTGTTGCCTGCTGACTCGGTCTTGTAAGAGAAAGAGAATATTTAGAAAGAAAGTGGGAGATTTGTCCGTAAACTAATCCGTGTTTTTCTCAGTAGATTCTATATTTAGATTATATGATTATTATGGAGAGCACGTCTTTTCCTTTCATGTAACAAACGTGTTCGATGATCTTTTCTAAAGAGTTATACTGTATCAATAAAAGGAATAGAGCTAGAGAGACACGTATTAAAACATTTAACTCTTATTACAATGACAATCCTAAGAGAAAGTACATTGAGCCATTGTCCGATCCGCATCATGAATTTAGTCTAAACACTCTCGGTTCTATCGACCGGATCGGCGAACAAATGCCTAGACTTCATTTTCAAAATGGCACTAGCTGGGTTAAGTCCTTTAGGACAAGTGGCCGTACAGTTCTTGATTGCTCTGCATCTATAAACTTTTGTCTCGTTCTCTGTTATCGCTTGAAGTCTCTCTTGTCTAAACTCATCGCGGCTGCGTTAATCAAAGAAAAACGAAAAACGATGTTTATGGACCCGGATTTAACTTAAAACCGTTTTAACTTCAACTTTTATACCTGTCGCTGATCCAACGGTACGCTTGTAGTAAAGCCGCGGGTCCTGGAAACTCTTCGGGGTTCCACCAATAAGAAGGACATGATGTGGTACAACATGCGCACAATATGCATTCGTATAGCCCATCTAGTTTCTTCCGGTCATTTGGTGACTGCCTGTGTTCGCGTCCGTCTTTTGGCGGCTTCCTCGTCTTTAACCACGGCTCCATTGATCTTTAATTTCAAAGACACAACACAACACAGTATATATAGTCCCAGCAATGTAAAGTATATAACCACTAAGCGACTCCCTCATACAAATCATGAGACATTATAATTCGTATATGTTATTAAATTTGTCTCTCATTTTCCAGAAATTTGCGTCAACATATCCATAGACTGATGCAAAAAAAAACATGGAGAGAGAAAGGGAGAGAGAGATCGATAAGAGATTCAAGAAGGTAGCTTAACTTACTTGTATTGTTGGTAAAAGTTAGTGAGGTCGACGACTAGGTCTTTGATGACGTACATGTGAGGCAATGGAGTAATTATGGTGGGCTTCGACGTGTTGGGGTTTATGGGTTTAAGACACGCGACAGTATTAGTACCATCGATATTCATGGAGCAAGATCCACATATCCCTTCTCTACATGATCTTCTGTAACTCAAACTCGCATCTTCCTCTGCTTTTATCTTCTGTAACACGTCCAAAACCTATATATAGCAAGTAGTACAATATATAACACATCCAAATTAATTAATACTAATATTTAATCCTGTGGAACTACTTGATCAACAGTTTTGAGTTAATTAATTACCATGGGACCACAAGTGGACAGATCAACGAAGAAAGATTGAAGAAATGGTTTGGAGGTAGGCTTGTCAGGATTCCATCTGTAAATCTTGAACTCCTTCTTAACTTCTTCGTGTTGGTCTGTTTGTAAATCAGACGGATATATGTAATTCGATGAATAATCACTGCTTTAAAAAAAAAAACAAGTTTGTAAGTAGTTGTGACTATTATATAACTTGATTCATACCTTGTTTATGTTTTGTTATTTCATGGGATATTAGAGTATCTTTGGACAAATCTTGAGCCGCTTTATGGCCTTTTAAGATGGGAAAATCTCCACCGCCGCTTAGGCTACTGCTCAAACGTACTTTCTCCGTCGCTGGAGTGCAGATCCTCTGCCGCAGCATCCGCAAGACAGTAGACATTCTCTGTTTGCTATGATCAAAAGCCGTTGAAATCGTTCGGAATTCGTTTTCAATAAAACCTCTTTGGTGAGAAAGGAAAAGAGAGACCCAACTACAGTGCATGGAGGTGACACGTGGACAGCCTAAAGGATGTACTAATGTAGTCCAGTGGTACGTGTGCGCCAACGTGTTCGTGTATACAAAATCTTTGAAAAACGTCATTAAAGCCCATATTAAAGCCCAGTATTTATCGTGATTAAGGCTTTCGGATCGGGTCGATAATAAAGAGTACTAAATAAGGTCTTTTGGAGTTTGGTGTGTAATGTGTTAGTTTGAAAAAGAGGAGCATTGGATCGTGAGCTTTCTTCTTCGTATAAACAACAAAACCAGACAAACATATTGCAACAGAAAAGTCAACGATCCATATTGATCTTGCAAGAGATATGACACGTGGCATGTCTCTTTGTCTGCAGCAGGACCACCTTTGACCAATCCACGCACATCCTTCTTCTCCATTGGAAAATTCTCACTTCTTGTTTGAATCTGCTCATGTTTAGTTGTTTGAATCATGACTGTATACTATATGATATTGGTGTTATTAATATTCTGCCGTACATGTAGTTTTTTTTTGTTTAACCTATTAGTAGATATTGTTTACTACATTGGGAATCAAATCTAACACTGTAGATCTTTGTTTTTTTGGAGGGTGGAATTAATATATGGGTTTATATGAAGTATAATAGATAATTATTAACTGTTTAAAAAAATATAATTAGTTAAATTGGTGGTCTCACGAGTCACGTGTATGGTGTTATCAGCTAAATCACTAACAGTAACATACATACTATTTAACCTTGATGTTGTAATGATAAAACTATACTAAAAAAAACTAGTATTACAAATAATTCGCATCGTCTCCAAATTCTTTAATTAGCAGCGTGGTACTCGCAAGTCGCAAAAAATAAAGTTAATTATAAGAGACGATGCGAATTATGTAAATTTAGATATATTTTATGATGCATTCCAAGCGAGTTGATTGGATGTTAAAGAATAAAAACCAGTGAGGAAACCAACAAAACCTAACGGACAAAACAAAAAAAAATACTCTTATAAGTGGAAAGGCATATAATATATATATATTGTGTTTGAATAAAATATAATTATAATTGCTTGATTAACTGTGGGTAACAGCTTACAAAATTCTCTTGAAAAGGAAAATAAAAAAATATAGTCTTATATACGTTAAATAATTATTAATGCTCGAATAATAATATTAGAAAGAAAAAAAACACATAGCACATCAAACATCTTAATATATTTAAATAAGCTTTTCCATTTCTTGTACTGATATACAGTTTGACTTATTTACATTATATTGAGCACTCTATATTAATATTTCAATAGTAATACATTTATGGTTAATCCTGGTTAAAAGGTTGAATAAATTAAAGATTGAGAAATGTGTAAGTCCGGTCAATAGCAACTAACTTCGTATTAATTAATAATATTTAGGGGGCCATAAAAAGATAACATGTAACAGTGTCAAAGGTTATCAAATCAAATTGTGTTATTAGGGAGTGGAAGGTGTAATCAAATCTAATATCTTCTAACATGTCACGATATCTTTTTATGAAAACTATCTTACATCTACCGTTTTTTTTTTCTTTTTTTTTTTTCTTTTTGTATTTATTAGGTATGTATATTGCTTCCGTATATAGGTATATTATTTTCGGTCTCTATCATAGGTATTTATCATCATTCCAACTCCCAAACATTTTTGTTGTTAACTCTTTTTTTTTTAATAGCATATAATATACTTTGTGTAATAAAATTTCATGGATTACTATATAGGGATATCTAGTTTAATTAGGTAAAGTAATCCAATAAACGGGATATATATAATTATAAGGTGAGTGATTTGATAGCGCTCTAGCGCCAGAAAAGTTAAAAAGTTTAAGGTCCGATTCAGATGTAACCTAACATTTTATGTTAAAACATGTGTATTTGATGTTGCCTCTAATCTTATATTGATTTAGCATATCAAAACACATTCTATAACGTAACTTATTAACTTACAAAACACTAGGATGTGTTTCACCCATGATTTCTCAATCTCTACATGCTGGTCATCCAACTGACTATTACTATAATTTGTAGTTGAGATGTCATCTACATGGTTTTTTCTTGTTCTTTTTTTTTTGTTGTTGCTTACACACGTTTAAAGTAATGGTATCACCGGAAAAAGATATATATACTCGAAACTAATTAATGACTCAAAACAACATGTTTTTGTATGTTGACAGACAATATTCGTCGATATGTTTTTAAGTTCAACCCTTATTTTTTTTAAAAAGATTAAAAAAAAAGTTATGCACAAATAAGTAATAAATAAACTTTTTAAAAAATAACTAAAAGATAGAGAGGTGCTAGATCTCGGGATTTCACTAGAAGATATGGTCTTTTAAAAAGGCAAATATAGGCAAAGTAGACAACAGCTATGAAATAGTACGACAATGACCTCAACAACAAGTACACAGTCACCTCTAATTTATCTCGCTAGCTAGTAGTATAAATCAACATAATACTGTAATAACTAATAAGTAATCAAATCAGTGATAAAATGAAAAGCAATTAAAATAAAAATGCTGTTTCTCGGAATCCTTGAGGAAAAAAGCAAAGTAATGACCGGATATTTGTAAAATATATAAAAAAGAAAACAGAAAAGTGGAAACTTATTAAAAGTACAAAAAAAAAGGCTTCTTTGATTATTTTTCTTTTGGTAACGTAAGAGGAAAATGTTTTGCACCTCTGAACTGTATATAGTTCGTTCGTAGGTGTGCGCGGTTTTGAATTATCTATCCGCTTTGTTTAAAACTGTGGGTCCGAATGGTAACTGCGGTTTTTTCTGCGGGAGAAGTGCGGTGCGTTTCAAATAGTAGCGAAAATATATAGATATATATGTATATGTAGATATTTTGACATTGTTACAGCACTGTTGCGGTGCGGTTTTGTAGTGCGGTATGGTTACCATTCGGAGCCTGTATGTCGCATACAATCATAATAATATACAAGGACCTACCATTCGAAAACGATTAATTAAATTACGATTTGAAAGATATTATTATCATCAATTGATTTTGAAAATTATATTTAAACCACCCTTTTCCCATATAACAAAAACCGACTAATTTTTCAACAGCAAACTAATTAGTATTTGACCAAGATTAAATTATTAATGTCATAAAAGGGTGAAAAACAAAAGTTATAAAAAAAAGTACTCCAAGTTATTTGTTTTTCTTTTTCAACATGTGTTACATTTTGGTAAAAATAGGGGTACTTATAAATAAAGACAATATGCTTTTTGCGGTAACTATTTAAGAAAGGCTATGAAAAATTTGTGTTGACGTATGTAATATAGTTTGGTTTCAGAATAGCAACTTCTATTTTTCAGATTACACACATTTTAGTATGTGTTTTCTAGTGCGTTTGTAGAGAAGAAAAAACCTTATACATTATATAATCTCTTGTATAAGATAGAAGAAACGTACAAGAATACGATTGAATCAGGAGGAGTGGAGGACAAAAAATAAATAAGAGGAAACATAAAATTCAAAATGTAGACTGGGTCAAAGGCTGTGCTCCATTTGACAACTTCTGTTACATGTCTCTGTTAAACATAACCAAAATGTTGCTATTTCACATGTAATTTACGCATCTACGTATATATAGTAACACTCACATAGTCACATAGACGTCGACTCTTGAATATTAGCCTCTCATTAAAATTCTACTTTACGAACAAATCATTCTCTTACATCTTAAAACATATAATCGCTTAATCTGAAATTTATCAGATATTAAAAAGAAAGTATGAGAAGAAAAAGAAAGGAGTGATAGTTTCAACTATATTACCATTTGATTGTGTATACTATATAGAAAATTTAAATACTTTTTTTGTTTGTATAAACGTTCTAATCTGTAAAACCTAACTAAATAAATAAATTAATCATTTTCCCTAGAAGTCAATATATGTAAAACCCGTCTACAATTCCTCTTATTCCATTCACATATAGGGAAACAACATTTCGAAGCACTCATTAAAAAGATAGCGCAATGATAATGATCAAACTCATTTTATTAGTTAATAGAATAATCTTCTTTTTTTTGTTGATGCTTTTAAAAATTGGTTCTAGTCGCAAGGCGAATCACTTATGTTTTGAAAGAAATTTTTGATAGACGATTGCCATTCGAACAAACCATTTATGGAAAAAGGTAATGCAGATGTAAATTATGTGGCTAATATAAAAAACTATGAAATTTTTTGTTGTAAATTAAAAACTACTGTACCCTAAGTTTAGTGGGCTGCTACGAAAACTCTTGTGAACGATCAATATCTTAATTCTATCAAGTATCAAACCTTCTCTCTCTTTTAATTCACCAAAATGTAATTAACCCTAGTTTCACGTTTCAAAGTTTCAAGTTTCAAGTAAAGAAAAAAGTGGAACAAAAGGTAAAATAGTGAGAAAAAAAGTTGTAGAGTTATATATAAAGATTATGATTTTTCAAAATATAAAATAAGCTGTCAACTTTTTATTGGCTTTTTCTCTCCCACACAACCATCAATTCCTTTCACACTCTCCTCCTATTTTGAGTTTCTTCTCTCTACAACCCCCCCCCAAAACAAAATCATCATAACCTCTTCCTTCATCCCCATTCTTCTTCTTCTCTCTGTCTGTCTCTCTCTCTCAAGTCACACAACCATCACCTTTCTCTATTCCTGCCATGGATTCCGGCAACAGTAGTAGCATGCAATCATCCAGCGGCGGTGGTGGTGGAGGAGATCAAGAAGAGTACGACTCACGCGCCGATCAATCAATCTCTGCTTTACTCAACCACAACTCAACCACCGTCTGCTCCAACATCGCCGTCCCAACGCAGCTTGACTCTCTCATAGCTAACTACTTCAACACAGCTTGGTCAACGGATAATCCTCTTTGGTCAACAACGGCTACAAAACCCACCGATGGCCCTAGAGCAGTACCTCCTCCACCGATCTCATCAGAACCAGTCTTCTTCACAAACCCACTTCAACAAAATCTGAGAACAGTTCCAAACACAACTAGTCCCAGTTGTTCCGTCCCAACCGACAAGAAAAACGGTCTTGCGACAACACGGAATCCAAAGAAGAGATCTCGAGTCTCGAGACGAGCGCCTACGACTGTTTTGACCACCGACACATCCAACTTCAGAGCCATGGTTCAAGAATTCACCGGTAACCCTTCAACTCCTTTCACCGGATTATCATCCTCTTCTCCTTTTCCAAGATCAAGATTTGATCTCTTCGGTTCTTCTTCTTCATCCTCACGACCCTTGAAGCCCTTTCCTCACAAACTCATCTCTCCGTCGACGGTGAATCATCATCACTACCTTCCTCCTTCAGAGTATCATCATCATCAGCAGCATCTTCTCCTTAACATGAACGCGCAAAACATCGCAAACCCTTTTCTCCACAACCAATCTCCCAACAACCTTTTACGGGATCAACCCCTTCTATGTGAAAAGTCGAAACCTTCGAGCTCGAGAACGACGAGTAATGGTTTTGGACACGTGGACGTTGGAACAAACTTTGAGGGGCTTCATAACATCATGGTCTCGTCGTCATCGATGACACAGCCAACCCTAAATAATATTCGTGGATCAGACAAGAGTACTGAAGCCGAGAATGATAACGACCTGTTAAGATCGATCAATGGTGATGATGATCAGTCCATGGTCCAAAGATCGGATGGTTACACACCACATGTTGCTTCTGGATCGGAGAATATTTAGCGGCTGTGAGAAATGAAGGTATGGTGGAGTTATCGTGGATCTCTTCTTCTGATTAGATTCATTCATCTAACATTTTTACATTATGGTCGTATTTTTATTATTACTTACCATAAAAATACAAATATTAGAAATCTTAGAAAAAAACATATGATGAATGGAAACATTAATTAATGATTTTGGAATCTATGTTCTAAAAAGCTTCTCTAATTAACAATGACTTTTAACATATTCGAACATTGTTTTTTTTCTTTTCTTTTAATGATATATTCCTTTTTTATCCGTCGCTTCTGGATGTGTATATATATGATTTTGAACATCTGATCTTAGAGCAACATTATTGCAAGAATTTTAAACCCCAAAATGGGTATCTTGCAACAGTGTTTTGTATCTAATATTAGATACAAAACACTGTTGCAAGATACCCATTTTGGGGTTTAAGAGTCTTGCAATAATGTTGGTCTTAGTGCCATGAGATATCAATGGCTTCGTAAGTATTAATTTATATATATATTTGAAATTGGAATTTTTTATATATATATAAAGAAAGCATGTGCCTATAGAGCATAATTAAACTTATAAGGGACCCAAAAAAGATGGCATGCATCTACTTTTGGCAAAGAAAAATGTTGAGAGTTTCTTGTAACTAGGGTTCATACGTAACCCTAAAACAGAAGCTTGGGCACTGCTACTAGAGAAACATGAAACTGCACAAATAACACAAACATCTATTAATTTATTTTGCCTGTAATATAAAAAATGTAGATTATGTAGCGAGAGAGTGATTGGTGCCGAGATCTAGGGAATCGTTAGCCGCCGCTTACCCTAAATTCATTCATATTATTTATTTGAAAACTCACATGACACTTCACGATATATATTCATCTTTTAAAAATTTTAATTTTGTTTTTTTGTAGGTAGTACATAAGCTAATTTTTAACGTAATATATATATATATATCAAAAAATTTTAAAGTAATATAAATGCGTCGTCATTATAATCTGATACGTCATTTATCCCTTTCGGAAACAATCCTAAGGAAAACATACGTCATTCAACACGTCAGATCGTCATGTCTCGTAATTATTTTTAATTATAAGTTGTCACCATTATATAATGATAATTCATCAAACCAAACTTCGATGGTTACATCGATTGTGAGAGATTTCACGTTTACTAACCAAATTATTTCATACAAAAAACATATATACAAACTGTTTAATTGATTATGACTTCAGCTTCTTCTCCTTTTGTTTTTTTTTGGTTTTGTTTCTGTGTTCTTACAGAAATTGGTTAATTACTTTTAATTCAAATATTGTTTTTGAACTCAACATCAACATTCTCTAATCTATTGATGTTGTAAAATTAAGTTTACAATATATATATATATATATATTCTTCGTCATCATGGTTGAAAATCAATACTCATTTTCTCGCCAATATCTTTTGCCATTTCTTTTATTTTTCAGTGAAATTATGTCAGTTAGATTTGCTCTTGATCTCTCCACTAAGACGAGAAACACATATTAATATATTTGTTCTCCTATTGTTTTAATTTGTAGCTTGAGGGGAAAAAATAAAATAAATGAGTTATATTTTTCGCTTCAACTAATTCAGAATATCTCTGTCTCCACTTAGTGAAAATTTTACACAAATGCTTTCTGAAAAGAGAAAAAAATAAAGAACCAACTCAGGAAAAGGGAAAAACCTTTTTGATGTATCTATCAATGTATGAATTATGTATACAAATTTAATGATATATAATAAACAAACATGGATTTTTATGAAATTAAAAAACTCTCATACATATTATCTTCGGTTGTGGAGATTGGAATATCCAAATGATTAGGCAAAGGATTTTTAGAAGATTTAGGGGGCAAAACAAGAGATACAGAGAGAGAGAGAGAGAGAAAACAAAAGCAGTTTTGTTGTTTTGCAATGATGTTTCCACGTTGATAATGCATATACATGTATGTCGTATGAGTTTTTGAATCATCATATCGAAATTGTGTCTTTTTTATTCAAGAAGTTATAATTCTATTTTCGATGAAAACTTTTTTTTTCATAATTTACAGAATAATAATTTTAAAATCAGAATAATAATATTCTGTATACAAGATCCACTAGTCGAGAAAAATAAATAAAAGAAGGGTATATAATGAGTTTTCCATATAGGCAAGACAGGACAGGCCTTTTTAGCAGTAGCTATGCGCCCACTGTTTTTATACTTTACTGATTTTGCAAAGGTGAAAACCTTTTTATTCATTATCACCATCGATCACACACTATATTTTACACAAATGCTTTCTGAAAACGTTTACTAGATCAACTTTACTTTGGACCCTAACAACGTTTTAAACTTTTTAAATAAAGAGATTTTAGGATAGTTTTAGAATTTAGAGATTAAGGGATAGCCATAAAGTCCATAAAGTAGGTTAAATCAAACTCCAACCACTTAAATTTTGCACTTTGAAAATAGTTTCCAAACTCTAATCAGCTATATCTATCATTAAACTCTAATGTTCGTTTCGTAATCGCGCAGACTGCAAAACTGTAAATTAAGGCAATAATACGATTACGAAATGAACATTCTGCTAATCTTTTATATTTTCAAATTTAGTGGTGAATGTAAGTATTTTGAAATATTTGACATGGTTTATGTGTACTTAACTAGGTTCGGACCCGCGCTACAGCGCGGGGAAAATAATTACAATATATAATTTTTGAAGGATTAGAATGTTACATTTTAATGTTGTTAGAGTGCAGTCGATTATGATAAATCATATATTTGTATAATAAGTTTAAATAAAATAATAAAGGAAAAAGCGAGTAAATAATCATATACTAAGTTTTGATACAATTAAAAAAACAGTGAAAATTTAACAGCACGAAATAATATTTTTCGATAAATTATTCATTTTGACCATTTTTGTAGTAAAAGTAGTAATATACGTAAAAATTACATATTTACAATATATTTTTTTAAAGTCCGACCCGTAACAGAATTCATTTCGTAAAAAACATTATTCGTAACTTGTTTTATCATTATAATTGTGATTTTAGCAAACTACCCGTGAATTATCTAAAATTTACATAGTTTGATATATAATATATTTTATCAATAAAAATATTTCAATATTTTAAATTCTAATAGTTTTATATATTTGAACCTTTTATTTATAATATTTTGAAACTATTTGAAATTTTAAATATGCTCATGTAACAATGGTTTTAATATTGGTCATACTTATATTGATTTTAAACCATTGTCTAAAATATTTAACCGAGTGTAGTTGAGTATTATATGTCCGTTTTGAAAAATTCAAATTGCAACATATGCAAAAAAAAAGTTAAATTTTTATTAAATATTTATATTATATAGTATAATATCATAAATTAAAAATAATATCAAATAAAAGTGAAAGAAGAATAATATTTTTTAAATAGATTGTATTAAATTAGTTAGAGAAATATTAGTAAATCATATAATTAGTTATGGAAATATTATGGAAATAATACAATACTAAAAATTAGATTTGGAAAGTGTATGAATCCAAACCCATTAGTCTATCCAACTTTAAAAGATCCAATTACAAATTTCGGATAATTTTTTGAAATTGACTCGACCCGGAAGTGTATGAATCCAAACCCATTAGTCTATCCAACTTTAAAAGATCCAATTACAAATTTCAGATAATTTTTTGAAATTGACTCGACCCGGAAGTATTTTTTGTACTTCTCTTTTACTAATATAGGGATAATCTCATTAGTTGCCTAATTATGTTTTTTTGGATTTGGGCACTACTTTAATTTTGCTGTACCGACTGGCACAATTTTCTTGCAACGTTCTCATTAATTAGTTGCCATTTTCTTGCAACGCTCTCTTTAGAAGCAATCTGCGAGAATAGTTATTTATATAAATAGAAGTAATTTTGTATCCAAAGATTCTATCTATCTAATCTATCTAATCAATTGTAAATTTGGATTATAAGATTCCTAAACATAATTTTTGAATTGGATGACTATTTACAATTCAATAAGTGTTATAACCATGGATAAAGCTAGAATAGACATAATTCGTGCAAAGTAAAAATGAAAACTTTCGTAATATTTATATATCTATCCATAACTAGTGATCTTGGGAAATAATATCCATCAAAAAATAAAATGGCGATAACCTACAAGATCTTAAATCATAACAAAAAGAGACTAGAGAGAGTACAAAAATTTTACCGTGAAATAAAGTGGCGATACATCAGGACTAGTCAGTCATAGCTGGAAAAAATTCCTCCGGCACAAGCACCACTTAGTGTTAGCTGACTAAACGTATCCGCGACAGTGACATGTTTTCTTTGTTCATTGTCATCTGCTCCGTGTAATTGCTACATTTATATATCAAAAAGATTTCAAAGATCAACCATCTGTTTCTTCATTTTCAAACGCATTTAAAAAAAAACCGGACATAAAAGAAGCTTCTTACCAAAACCTTAAAAGCAGACTCTGAAATCACCTCTGGTTCTTGATTACGATGCAGACATATATATATATGTCACGAGCCCTCCCACTTCTGGTTTTTCCTCATAGAGCAGAGAGGAAATGAGTTAACAAATATGATGTAGAATCGAGACTGACATTGTTTAAGCAGGAAGAAGAAATGAACACATTTAAATATTAAATATAAACAAAATAAACAGAACATAAAAAAATGCTTCGAGATTATGATTATATTATTACATGGTTCATAAAAAAAGAATTAGAGAAACATCCTAATAACAAATTCTTACCAATCTTAAAAGCAGAGTTTGGCTACGAGTAAACTTCAACGACGAAACTTTGCTCTCTCAATCTCCCACTCTATTTTTCTAAACAATAAAAAAGAGACGAAACTTTTGCTTTCTAAAACTACGAGAATGGTAAATCTATAAAGAGATAAGTATAGTAGAGAACAAGAAGAGATAATTTTGTGAAGTAGGATTGTGGGCAAAGGGTCGCTTTATATAGCCAAGCTTCTAACGTCTATATTTTCTTACCGTTGTAAAATTTTGAGTCTCAAATATATTACCGTTTCTCAGTGAGTCGACACCTACAGTAAAAATGAATATATTATTACACAATTATTACACAACAGTTCATCTTAACGTTCGCCTGGCCTAGAGACTAGGGAGACCCAAACGGCTATAATTTTTAACGTCTATATTTTCTTACCGTTGTAAACTTTTGAGTCACTCCCTAAGTTTGTGAATGAGTTTGACACGACAACAAAAACCGTTCACATTTAGGCCCACTATGATGTTAAGCCCATCTCAAGAAGCTTCACAGCCGAGAACATATTTGATGAAAAGGCAGACTACAGAATAAGCTCATTAGATCATACTGAGGCCCAATATATTCATAGCTCATCACATTGTTTTTTTTTTTAAACATCGGATTAATGTAAAAATAAATTTAACCCGTCTCGTTTTAACTTTTAATCCTCATCTTCCTCTTTTTTTTTTTTTTTAATCATGAACCAAAATAGAGATAATTTTGTGAAGTAGGATTGTGGGCAAAGGGTCGCTTTATATAGCCAAGCTTCTAACTTCTATATTTTCTTACCGTTGTAAAATTTTGAGTCTCAAATATATTACCGTTTCTCAGTGAGTCGACACCTACAGTAAAAATGAATATATTATTACACAATTATTACACAACAGTTCATCTTACCGTCTATATTTTCTTACCGTCATGAACCAAAGTAGAGAACAAGAAGAGATAATTTTGTGAAGTAGGATTGTGGGCAAAGGGTCGCTTTATATAGCCAAGCTTCTAACGTCTATATTTTCTTACCGTTGTAAAATTTTGAGTCTCAAATATATTACCGTTTCTCAGTGAGTCGACACCTACAGTAAAAATGAATATATTATTACACAATTATTACACAACAGTTCATCTTAACGTTCGCCTGGCCTAGAGACTAGGGAGACCCAAACGGCTATAATTTTTAACGTCTATATTTTCTTACCGTTGTAAACTTTTGAGTCACTCCCTAAGTTTGTGAATGAGTTTGACACGACAACAAAAACCGTTCACATTTAGGCCCACTATGATGTTAAGCCCATCTCAAGAAGCTTCACAGCCGAGAACATATTTGATGAAAAGGCAGACTACAGAATAAGCTCATTAGATCATACTGAGGCCCAATATATTCATAGCTCATCACATTGTTTTTTTTTTTAAACATCGGATTAATGTAAAAATAAATTTAACCCGTCTCGTTTTAACTTTTAATCCTCATCTTCCTCTTTTTTTTTTTTTTTAATCATGAACCAAAATAGAAAATAGTGAAAAATTGAGTGGGAAAAATGAAAAAATGAGATCGAGAAAAAAGGAAATTGCCAAAATGAAAAAATGAGTGGCAGACGGCGTTAGGACAAAGAGAACGTCTTTCTAGGTTTTTGGTTTACGCTCCGCCGTAAAGATTTGCTCTCCGCCGCCGCGTTCTCCCTTTGGCTAATTAAAAAAAAGGTTTTTGCTTTCGCCAAGCTTGTATCAATTATTCATTTGATTATCCATCTAATTCGTGTAAAAACCATCCAGAGTTTCAGCTTCGTCCTCTTTTTTCTCTCTAGGGTTTTGATTTTGATATTGGGTTGGGGATGAGTAGTCCATTCAGTGAAGAGATACTGATTGACAAGCTCGCTAAGCTCAACAGCACTCAGCAATCTATCGAAAGTATCCTTTTTTTTGAAATTCCAATTCATTGCCTTAATTTCAATATTGCTGGTTGATTACTACATCTCTGTGTTTAGTATATTGCTATTCTGATTGTTTGGTTCTTGAGCCTTTTCGGATTAGCTCATTCACATTCCAATTTTGTTTACTCAAGTCTTTTTGTTGTTTGGTTATATCTGATTGTTTGGTCCTTAACCATTTTTTTTTCTCTGGGATAAGCTCTGTCACAGTGGTGCATTGTCCATCGTAGTGAAGCTGAGTTGGTGGTTACTACATGGGAGAAACAGTTTCACAGTACAGAGATATCTCAGAAAGTGCCTCTCCTGTACCTTGCTAACGATATACTTCAGAACAGCAAGCGTCAGGGTAATGAGTTTGTGCAAGAGTTCTGGAAAGTTCTCCCTGGTGCTCTTAAAGATCTTCTTTCCTTGGGAGATGACCATGGTAAAAGCGTGGTCTCGCGATTGGTAATGATTTGTATGGAATTGGCCTTGTTGTTCTGTCGTGCTTAACTAGAATCTCGAATTGTGTTAAACCATAAACTGAGGGAGAAACATGTTTTCTGCAAATGGGTTAATAAAGTCGGATGTTTATGTTTTTTTTTTGGTGCAGGTACTTTTCTTGTGGCTTTTATGGTTGTGATTCTCTGAATCATTAATACTCAATAGCTGACTTAGTCATGAATCTTATTTTTCATTTTTAGTATACTGTTTTATTGTTGGATATTGATATTACTCAGTGGAGTTGATTGCTTTTAAGTTTTTATCTTAACAAGTGTCTTTTCCTTTGTTTTCTGATGCTGCTATATGCGTGATTCTCTTATCTCTCAAGATGAAGAGTCTGTAGTTGATTTTAGAGTAAATTGATACTGATTGGGACTTAACAAATAAAGGGTTTTTGTTCATCGATATTTTATTTTTATAATTAATAGGTTACTATATGGGAAGAGAGAAGAGTTTTTGGGTCTCGTTCAAAGAGTCTTAAAGATGTAATGCTCTCAGAAGAAGCTCCTCCACCGCTTGATGTCAATAAAAAACGATCACGGGGATCCAAATCTTCGAAACGGGATTCAAAATCTGCCAAAACAGTAACAATCTTTCTTTCCTTATTTCTCTAATCAATCCGTCCTGATTTGTTCAGTTTTTTTTTTCCTGAGTCTTAATCAGATTCATTAGCTCCCCATTTGCTCTTTTTCGCTACCAGAAATTATCTAGTGGAGGTGTGACGGAGAAGATAGTGTCTGCATTTAATCTGGTTCGTACAGAGAACTTAAACGAAGAGACAGAGACAAACAAATGCAAGTCTACAGTTAAACGTATCAGAACGATGCAGAAAGATGTTGAGGACGCCTGCTCCACTGGTAAACATATTTAGCAAATATTCTTTGTCTTCTTAAACCCTACATTTTGATTTTTGACGCTATCACATTTTTCACCCGGGGTTATTAAACACACACTGGTTCTCAATGTTGATTGTCTTCAGCAAAAGACCCAAGGAGAAAAACACTGGCAAAAGAACTGGAAGAAGAAGAAATCACTCTGAGACAATCTGTTGAGAAACTTAGATCTATTGAAGAAAATAGAACATCCCTAGTAAAACATCTTAAGGAAGCCCTACGCGAACAGGTAAAGGGGCTTTCATTCCTGTAAGCTAAATAGTTTGTTTAGACATTTTGATTTCTTACTGAGTTTTGTGTGTCAGGAATCTGAACTGGAGAATCTTCAATCTCAGATACAGGTAATGATTGATTTATATTACTTATTTCTAGAAGTTTCCAGTCTAAATTCGGATGGTTCAATCTCCTTATGCGGTTATATGCCTGAGAACTACTTATAAAAATGGAATCTTGGTTAAAAAAAGTGGTATTTTTTCTTGCATCAAATTTTTAATGGTGTTTTGTCTTAAATCATCAGGTAGCACAAGTGCAAACAGAAGAAGCCCAAAACATGCAGAAACGGCTCAATAATGAAATACCGGTTAACAGTAACAACGGAACATCTGGCCAATCAGCAAAAGTTACTCCTGCCTCAATAGCTGCAATGGCAGAAATGCTAACTTCGTCATCAAATTCATCAATGATTATGCATTCTGTTCTGTCTTCCTTTGCTGCTGAAGCTACGCAGACCTCTGGTTTAACCAAATCGAATAGTGCAGACACAAATGCATTTGCTCCTCCAAATCCTCCTCCAAACCCCCAGTATCACATGATCCCAAATCCAGCTGCATCGCAGCAGTTTATACCATATGGATTTGGTAACATTCCGCTAATGCCGCCTGGTCAATTGCCGCCACCCCCTGGATCAATGCCGCCTCATATGATGAATAATCAACCAAACACAGCTCAGCAACAATCGCAACAAGGTCCGAGTTTTCAGCCCCCGAGTATGATGTATTTTGGACCTCCACACCATTCATAAGGTTAGTAAAATCAAACCAAAATTTTTTTAGTTTTAGCTGTAGATTAATTTCTGACTTAGTCTCTTTATTTTTATTTGATGATGCATTGTAGAAAGTAGAAACTCAGATCTTTTGTCTTGCAAATCTTTGTACCTTAAGCTGTTTAGGCAAGTTTACTTATTTGTAACATAATTAGACTTCTGTTGTGTATGCAGTAGTTTCAAATGGGTTCACAATCTTGAGAATTTTATACAAAGTATTTAACATCAGTCATGTTCATTGCAATTATTTAGAAGTCAAAGTTACAAAAATTGTCAATCATACATTTTCAATGTCTATACAAACAACAAATGGAATGCCACTCTTAGAAGCCAGATGAGTTCTGAGTGAACATTCTATTTCGACCACCAACTCGGAACCTAGACCGAATTGAACCATTTGAGTCGATAACTCGGTCCCAGTCAACTGATCCTTCGCCGTCTTCATCCTCATCCTCCGGCACTCTCTCTCTCATCAACTGTAGAATCTTCTTTGCTTTCTCTCTCGCTCTCTCCGTTCCTCTCTCCTCCACTTCCTTCAACACATCCACAGCTCTTGCCTCCTTCGCTAGTCCCTTGAATCGAAGACTCTCATGGCTTAACGCAAACAATGCTGCCACACAGTTCTCACGCGCCGAAGAAGAAGATCGAGCCTCTGTAGCCTCCTCCGTTCTCTCTTCCCATAGCTTCCCCACAAGAATCGCAACCGCATTCGCATCAAGCATAGCCGATCGCCCTTCGCTACAACAAGCTAAATTACAAATCACCAGCAACGCTCGGCTCGCTGATTCACCGGACCTAACCATGGAGAAAAGAGCGGGAACAGCTCCAAGCCTAACGAGCTTCAACCGATTCGTCTGGTTCAAGGACAAATGGTAAAGCGCAAGGGCCGAATCGTGCCGTGTCCTATCACTATCAGCAGCTCGTAACGCGTGAAGCAATGGCTGGAGCGCTCCTAAAACACCAATGGGCATTTTATTATCATCTTCAAGAGAGAGACTAAAAATTGTACCAGCAGCATGTTCTTGAGCTTCTCTTGATCCCGATTTCAAAACATCGATCAAAATGGGAACAAATCCCAAACGAACAATGGTCAATTTGTTCTTCTTCTCCAAAGAAAGATTCACAAGCGAAGCTAAAGAGTTTGTCTGCACTAGAGAGTATCTGGAAACAATCATAGTCTTCAATAAAGAAAGAATCCGAGAAGAACAAAGTGATACCCTAGCTTCATCGCTAGTACGAGTCATCTTCCTCATCATAATCAAACCTTGTTCTTGATCAAAAATATCATTACTCTTAAGCTTGTCGTAAATCACTTCGTCTTCTTCTGGACTGTGCAGCGTTAGGGTTTCAATTTCGGAGGAACAGGATGATGGGGACGGAGAGAAGCAAGCGGGTCTGGTCGTTAGAGGAAGAGGAATGAATGGACTCTGCTGAGCGACGATTACAGATTCATCAGAAGAGCTCGTGGAGTTGAAGTCTCTCCTTCCCATGAGTTCAGAATCAGCGTGGTGAATTATCATCGGAGCACGGTGAGCTACAGCTCTGAGAAGCTCCTGCTCGGAGACACGAATCTCAACGTCCGGTAGAGGCATCAGTTGCCGTAGATTTCGCTCGACGGTGGAGTAATCAGGTGGCTGAGGACGTGAGACGCCAACGCTGTAGCACCAAGTGTCGATTGTTGATTTCATGTTTAGGTTAGGGATGACGTTGGAGAAATCGGGTTGAGAGTCGTCGTCGTCGTCGTCGTTGTCGTCGTCGTTGTCGTTGAGTTTGGGGATAAAGTTTAGGTCACGGCAGACTTGAACACAGACACGTTCGAAGGTTTGACCGGAAGACACAACAACAGGGTCAGACATTATTGATTTCGAAATCGGACAGAGGAATTCGACAGGAGGTTGTTGTCGTTGTTGTTGTCGGGAAGATGTTGAGGAGGAAGAAGAAGACGATTTGTGGCTGAAAGGGTTCCATCTGAGCCGTCCGTTTTTACCCATCTGCAAAAATCAACGGTTTACAAGAAATTGGTGGTGGTGAGTAGTGTGATTTTATCTGAAAAGGGTTTTGGGAGAAATTTAGGGATTTGAATTCATTTTCATGCCTTGGGAGATTTTCTGAGACGAAGATGGAGAGTCGTCTTCTTCCTCCTGAACTGAAGGATTTTGTGGCCTACTGACTTTTTTTTTTTCTTTACTTTTGATTTTTATTTTGTTTTCAAGAAGTGATGATGATTAAATATTTTTTAACTTTGGACGTATTAATTTTTTTCGAATATGTTGACTGTATTTTATTATAGGTGGACCCAAATGAATAGGCTTGAAAATTACTTTCCTTTTCAGGTCAAGTGTGTCAAACACCTACAAAAAAAACCACATTTATATCCTAAAACATATGTACTAATGAACTTGGAATGTAATTAATCGTTTTGGAGTATAATCTAGTAATATGTTTTAGAAAGGTGGGAATTCACTTCACTGAGATATATTTGCATCTCTAAATAAATGATATGGATTTATCACTAAACATGATGGACATCCATACCGTTCTTAGCTTTAGGAAAAAAGAAAAGGTTTCATAACTTTTTTGTACTTCTCACCACTTTCTCTTTTTATCTTCTGATGATGCATTGTTGGATTGCACCAAAGCTAAACTGATAATTGCCATACAAACGTTCGTACCAAAGTATAAGGTACGATATAAACATGGTTAGTCAACATATTCATTTCTGGGATACATTTAGACAGTTTTTCTTAACCAAGAACACTACTACTTAGGTTTTGCTTCCTTTTTTCATAAAGCTCTTAGTCAATAAAAAATCTTTGATGAAAATCGGCATATGGTGCATGATCGCCATGACGGTCGATAACCTTCCTGTAGAGAACCAAGCCGGCGGATTTTTCCTCAGCACCACGGAAACGGTCTGTTTGGCAAATTCCTCAGTGGGTATTGGCTTTATGTTTTGCGACAGAAACACTCTCTCACGGATAGCTTCCTCGAACGGTTTGTATAGTTTCAATTCAGGTAAATTGTTGAAACTTGTTAACCCTGAGTTAGCTATGTTTGATTGAATACCTCCTGGAACAATGTTGATTACATCGATCCCAAATGGCTTAAGCTCCAACCTAGAAAGGAGACAAACACAAAACAAATTAGTGTTTCAGATAATATGAGTCAAAAGCTGAAGAAAGAAGATTTGCTGAAATCGAAAAACCTTAACGTATCGGTAAGAGCATGAAGAGCAGCTTTTGATGCGGTATAAACCCCAGCCCATGGTCCTGGTGCCATTATGCTAATACTTCCTATGTTGACAATCTTTCCCTTTTTCTTAGACGCCATGTGAGGTACAACAGCTTGAGTCATCCTCATGGAACCTGCAAAATTCTTTTAAGAGTTGAGTTCTTGTAGAGGTTACTCTCACATCCCAAACCACCAAACAAATCACTTAAGAGTTAAGTCAATCAATGGAATAACATATACCAGAAGACATGAAAGAGTTGAGTCAGGAATTTTAACAAACATATGGTGAGCATAAAACACGAAGAAAATTCGAAAATGTATGAATTCACCGAAGACATTGGTGTTGAAGGTGTTATCCATGGCTGAGATCGGAATCTCGGCGAGAGGTCCGATACACTGAACTCCGGCGTTATTAACCAAAACATCGATCTGACCAAATTTGTCGATAACTTTGGACACAACTTTACTCACGCTCTGCTCCGATTGAACATCGAGCTCCTCCACAAAAAACTTGAGATCTTTCTCCAAATCGATCATCGTGCTCTGCGATCGACTCGTCGCCACTACGCGACAACCATGAGCCGAGAACTCACGCGCCAGAGCGTGGCCGATTCCTCCCTGAGAACATCCCGTGATGAGCACCACTGGTGTACCACCGCTGCTTCCCATCCTCTCGCTCAAGCAACTACCAAATCTTATAAACTCTCTACTAAACAACTTGTTTTAAGAGAAAGGGAGAATTAAAAGGGTCGAGTTGCAAAAATCACGCCTGAAGTTCCTCAACACAGTATAAGGATGACGATGATGATGATGATAGTTTTAAAATTTTAGAATTCTTCTCCCCAGAAGTTTGTTCCACGTATGCAACTAAGTCCCTGAGATTTGTTTTCACTTTTTACTTTTGACTCTCAGTGATTCGCCGGAGAAGACAAAGTCATTTTTTTTTTGGTAAATAGAGAAGACAAAGTCATTATATGAACACATAATTTGATTAATACATTTACACATACTTTAAGTTATTTTACATAAAACTTCACAAAGCAAAAAAAAAGAAAAGAAAAGAAAGCATAGGTTAAGGAAAACAAATTAGCTATGAACAAAAACGAAACTATGGGAATCAAGGAGAGAAGACGCCATGAGAGACGGCGATTGCAAACTCAGATTTAGGTTCGGAGATGTTCTTCAAACTCTGAAAATTCAACTTGTCAATTGCGACAGTCATCTTCGCCGAAACTATTTTCCTCCAATCGAATTCCGCCGGGGCCGCAGATGTGGAAACCGCCGTATGCCGGCTCATGCTCATCCTCCTCTCGTACTCCTCCGCAACCAAAATCGCTATGTCCGCCATTATATCGGTTATCTCCGGTTTATCTGATCACTGATGCTTGTTCGGTTCTCTCTGGTTTAAAATATATCTGAGATTCTTCAACGAGTTGTATTATATATATATAGTGCATAATTTACGTGCTGTAGCGGGGTAATGGATAAGGTTGGGTCAATAGTTTCTCTAAGTTTATGATTTTGTAATTAATATAAAACTTTTGGTTAATGGTTTTATTTTATAAAAAATGGGTGCCGAATCTGTTGGTACAGGTAGTTTTCGTGAGAAGGTTGGCTCGGTCGGTTTTATAAAATAATAATGGTTTTGTGTGGAAAGCTTTTTGTTGAGTGGGTCTCAAGGTCCGTGTCATCTACGTATGGTTCTTATCACTAATTCATTTTTAAAAAAATTATGATTATAGGTTTGTCAAATGAATAATTTCCTAGTATTTTTTTCAATTTTTTTAATATATAATAGATTGCAGTTATAGACTAAGAGTAAAGGGATTATCTAATTATTGAACAATTGTTTTTTTTTATATACATTATAAATGAATATCTAACAAAATTTACTTTGGCCTACCAAAAAAACAAAGTTAATTTGGGATTTAAAACTAAAAAACTGCAGTTAATTAAACTCCCAAAGTAAGTGTAGTTTAAAGTTGTTGAAGTTTGTGATCCAACCTAAGTTGCATCAAGCCCACTATCAAGATTAAGTCCAATAATTCTTATTATCTATTTTTGTTTGGAGTTTTATATTATGGGCCTATTAAAAGGAAGACCCATTACATTCTTTAAAACCAAATATGTAAACCCATTATATTTGCTTGTGTGTAAACCCATACGGATTAAACTATATATGATCATTTTTACAAAGATTAAAAAGCTAACTTGCATGATCATTGATCTTTTTACTACATTCATTTGACCAGTTATAACTTATATCACTAAATTGTATAGTGTCTGATAGCGATTGGTATACGTATATCATTATTTTAAAAATTGCTATAATCAATATACCAATATATATATTTTTTTTTCTGATCACATCTTCTGATTTTGTTTACTCAAATTTCTTCTTTCAGGAAATAAATTTGTTTCCTACTACTGGTAATTTGTATTGGTCGGTGATGTTATTGTTTTCTAAATCGGGGTTAAACATACATTGTGACATTGTGTCGTATAGATACAACAGTGTCCAATTGAACTACAAAAAAAAAGAAAAAAAAAAGAGAGAGAGGATAAGATAAAGGTTTATTTCCTAAAGTAAGAAGATAAGGATAAAGGAAACTATAAACGCAGAGAAGAAAATGAAGTAAACCTTAAAACGTGTGAAAGTTTCCAATTTCTTTGGTGTGTACTTCTTCTCTCTCTTTTTTTTTTGTTCCTGCAGGCTGCAGCAAAGCTTCTCTTTTGTTGTTTTTGACTATTAGTATGAAGATAAAATACTTTACAGAATAAGAAAAACAAAAATTTGAAATTAGTAATGCTGAAAAGTAGAACTGTACTATAAATTTATTTATTCTCTTTTTCCAACCCACCTTTTCTTGTCAATTTGTTTCTCCAATTTTCTTGAATTCTTAGCGCCTTTAGAAGAAAAAAGAAAGAGGAGAAAACGATCTTTCAGAATTATCCGAACATATACTTTTTGTATAATGATCGCGTACGAGTTATTTATTATCTGAATACTCGTAAATATTTTTCTTTAAAAAAAAGATCCAAAAATACTTAGTCGATTTTTTTTTTTTTAACTTGGACAGGTCAAAGGCTGAGGCGATTAAGGAGTCTTATATTTGTTTTGTCGACAATTAGGAGTCGAATCTCTATTGGCAAACAAGTACACACAGTAGCTCATATTATTTATTTAAAACACAGCTAAAAAAACTATATATTCACTGTTAAATCCAACTTATTAAAGCACGACACCTTTACACCTAAGTGGATATATATGTGGGATCGACTTCTTTTATACCCTATGAAAATGAACTTGTATGAAGTCTTTCCGAGCCTCGTAGGGGCATGGATCCCTTGTGTTTATTTATTCTTAATCCCCTTTTTTAATGTACACTAATTAGTATTCTAATTTGCTGTGTAATCTTTCTTTTCTCTATCGAGAATCTCTTCTCGAATAATTCTTAAAGCACTCCATTTTTTTAACACAAGAATCAGATCTCTACAAAATGTGTTTATACGATTTGGTTGTTTTGTTTGCCCAATACAAAACAATACCAGTCCTGGGCAATACATATCGCAATATTTACTTTTTACGCAATAGACTAATAAGCTTTAAGGAAAAATTAAAGTACTCTTTAAGAATGTATATAAAAGTGGCTAATTAACAAGATACATGGTCGTATGACGCAAACAATGACCCAAAACGTCTTCTCAATCACCAATCACTAATCACAAATGTGAATATACATGAGCACACATATATATATATATATATATCACAATCATCCATTATATTATACTATCATATTATAATAATGAATCAGATATGGTCTAATGATGGGGGCCAAAGGTTGCTTTACTTCTAAGTTCTAATAACGTCCCTAAACAATTTTTTAAAGAAAATTTGGTATGATTTTCACTTATAATATTTCATTAATCATCCCATTAGTAAAGTTTGCATCTCCTTTTAAGCGCATGCACGTGCCACTGCATGAATCCAATTCTATCAACATGTACTACTCACAAAACTACTCAAAAACTACAGTTTTTTGTGATATAAACTCGATAGTCACTTACTCATTTCTGGACAAATATATATATATACATATATATATATATGTGCTGTAAGTATAATTGTTAAATATCATGATTAGTACAAAAAATATATCGACCAATCAATTACGTCAACGAGTTTCCTGTATTTTGAAAATTTTTAAAAGCTATTAGTTTCATTCCACGATTGGTTTAGTTACACTAAATTTGTTTTAATTTTATATACATTTTATATATATGTCTTATGATACGACCAATCTTTGTATATATAGTACTGCTCCATTATTTTTTTGGTTAGAAGAATAAAATTATTAGTATACATATAAATAATTATTTTACAAGGATGGGAAATCATCGTTTATGCCAATAATATGAATTAAAAAAAACTGAAAATCCAAACACCAGGTAGCCACTCGTGGTGGCAAACCACTTTATAAGATAGCACTCGAGAATAATTCTACAAATAGGCAAAAGCTAAGTGTTTATGCATGACGTCTCTTTTTCTATCTTATCGATTTTATAATTTATATATATAGAGTATTTGTATTTTTTTCAAATTTGAAGTTAATAATATTGCTATATTATAATATGTGGATAGAGTGTGAAATAGATTTTTTTTAATATAATATTGTGATATAAACTCGATAATCATTTATTTATTTTCAGGCAAAAGAAAGAAAAAAATATATGCAATCATGTAAGTATAATTGTTAAATATCATAATTAGTACGAAAATTATATCGATTAGCAGTTTCATCTGAGTAAGTCAAGAACCAAAAAGTTTTGGAAGCTGCTCAGCTGATTCGGGAAAGATGTTTTGCGCAGAAAAAAACTATAGAAAGTTTGCAGATGGTATTTATGCATGATGTTTATCTATCGATTTCATAATTTATATATAGTATCTATATTTTTCAAATTCTAAACTAATAATATTGCTATTTTATAATATGTGGATAGAGTGTGAAATGGAATTTAACCAATGTCAATCATTCACAATGGATCATAGGGATAAAAAAGCAACCATCACTTGAGTTGTGTAACTTTATACACACATCATTTGCACCATCGAATAGGTTTCACAAAAACAACAAAAAAATCAGTTATTAAAATTGTTTATTTACTTATTAAACTTATCCTGTTGTAGTTAGTTTCCTCCTACTAGACAATCCAATATTAGATAATGCATCTCTTTATAAATATTTTTGTTTTTTTAATTCATCTTTATTGTGTACCTAATATGTGGAGCTTATCTTCTCTCTTTCTCTATGTATTTTTATATGCATGTCCATGAACATCTTACGTCATATAATGATCGTAACCCTTAAATGATATATCAGTTATTTTGATAAAATAATGCTACATGCATAAAGACGGCAAAGCATATACATACAAGAAGTGAATAAATGAGAAATAAAACAAAAAAACAAATGTAACAGTTAGTCATCTTTGACACATCCTCTAGCTAAAATCTCATTCGATTAGTTTTATTTGTAAGTTAAATCCTATTTATGAGTAATGATGGGGTTTATGGTCTAAATCGATATGTAGGAATCAAAGAAGACATGTACAACTTTTTCATTATTTCCACACCAATACGATTATTAATTAATGTTATATAGTATAATCATAATCAAAGATGCACAAATGTCTCCTATGGAGCTTGAAGAGCCAAATTTGTTTTATTTAAAAATTGAATCACTTAAAAAGGCTGCAATATTAATTAGGTGATTCCTTCACCTAAATAACTCTACTAATCTAGCCTGTTTGAGCTCCCAAAGGCTATATAATCATTTGTTTTAAAAAATATAATCGTATTTCTACAGTTATGGTTTTTATTATTAACACGAAGAATGTATGTTAAACTAATGCTATCATCTTTGTTTGAAATACTAATTACATTCCACTAATTTAATGCAAAATGGGTTCGCTATATACAAATTGACCAAATACCTTCTTGAATTTTTAAAATAAAATAAATGTTGCTTGTTTGAACTGTTCATCTGGGTCGGTCGTGCTTAACCAATATTATATCAGCATGTAATAGATTATATATAGCTAGTTGCTAAAAATAAAGATTATAATAAGTAGTTATTATAATTATTTTAAAATAATTTCTTAATAGTCAGTCTGAACCTATTCAATGAGACAGCTATGATATATGGATAAACATCAATTTTTTTTGAGTTTATAAAATGTTAATATAAACTAGCTTGTTGGGATAAAATAAAAAGGTTTTGATTACAGAGATTAGTAGTTAATTACTTAATTAGTAAATATTAGAAGTAGCCGTTAATAATATGTCATCAGAATCGAAGCAGACTCTGGAGTTGTCCATATTCCTAATTGCAACACCGTGAGTAATCAAACACGCGCTCATGTCTTCTCTGGTTGAGTGACTGAGTGTTACATACTTTGACACGCGCTAGATTCTGTCGCGTGTATTTAAGTTATCGCCGACGAATGCGTAGGTTAGAGAAGCATACATGCGCAAGGTAATAAAACTAGAAGAAGAAAAAAAAAAAAAGTAAAAGGAAAAAATACATATATAAGTAAAAAGGAAGAATTTAGAAGAGAATAAAAAAATGGATCTACCTGGTGCGCACATCAGCGTGCGAGGTAGTGGAGAGACATGACAATTGAATATATATATATATATTTTTTTTCGTAAAACGAATAATTAAGTTAAATAATCAAAGTTATTATCTTAAGAAAATATTAAGATTCGATTGCGTATCAGTGGTTCATACCTATTAATTCGCTGCTATTCACAAACAATTAATTTTGCACCATCAAACAAAACTTGATATGTGAAAAAACCGTATCGTTTTTATTTCCACAAACAGATTACTCTGGTCCTGTGTTTTGATATATAAAATTGAGAAAATTTAGAATAGAAAAAAATGTAATAATTAGGTTTTGACTCACTGTAGCTTGAGTTATGCTTGAAGACAAAAATCACCGAGAAAGAAACCATTATATAACAAAAAAAAAAAAGAGTTAAAAGAAAGATATATAAATAAAAAAATAACAGCGTCGTCAAAGCCAAAGGTCTCCTCATTTAAGTTGTCGTGATTATTCATCCTTCTTCTTCTTCTTCTACTTGAAGATGATGAGACCTGAGTTTCTTCTCAGACAGAAGGAAGAGTTTTTAAAGTGCCTTCTGTTTACGGTCGGATTCCAACTCCACTCTTCTTGGCTTTACGTCCGATCTTGTCGCTGAAAGCCTGAAACCTTCTTCCTTCCTTTTTTCTCTTTTCATATGGTTTTCGCGACAAAACTTTGCCTTTCCTTTTAAAAGTTTGACGCCAGATTACATCACAAGGTTCGGCCTTCAGATCTTTCTCTCTTCTTAGACAACATCTCTACTTTGGCTTTTTACTCTGTTTGTATCCTAATCTTGCTAGTTTATATCACTTAAAAAGCTTAAAGTCTTGTTTGCTCTTATTGGTTTTGTTCTGGTTCCTTTTTTTTTTTCTTCTCTCGATCGATTCGTCTTCAATGATTTTTTTTTCTTGGTTGCTTGGAAATGAAGCTGGAAAGAACTGATTCGAATATTTCCCAAAATTGTAGTATTGCAATAATAAGATTTACAACCTTTTCAATCTTCAATTCTAGATAGGTGTGGTTTGACTTCATGATTGGTTTTTCCTTTTTTTCTTTTCTTGATGTTATCTCTTTACTAGCTAGTTGCGTACAAGAATTTAATAAAGCAAATGAATGGAAATTTCCTATTTTTTTGGGGGAGTCGTTTAACTGTTAAACTATGTTTAGTTGGTCCACTATTAGTGCTGAAATATAAAAGTGACATTCCAATTAGTGGAAACTTGTCTTCCCAAGGCTTTTTTTTTTTCTTTTTCTGCTTAACAAAAATTCTATGGTATATTATCTATTTTGACACCCTCCAAACACTGTTGGATGGGATATGGTTTCTTTTTATCGCTGTAGGTTATATAGATTTGTAGGCGGATGATTATATGACCTAAAGTTAAAATCATTTATGTTCACTTGGCTGTCATTACAATATAAGTGATCTTCTTTGTGTTCTCCAAGGTCTTAGAGAATCTATTGAAATGCCCTCTCAGATTTCTTTCTTTGTATAATATCTTTGGAGGTGAATTTGTTGTTCTTTTCATTGAAGACTTTACAAGTTCTACTATTTGCTTTACTTGCTACGTTTGTTTGACTTTTGTGTGATCTAACTTTTGGTTGAGACCTAATATGCTTATCCTTTCCGATTATGTTCTTTGGAATTTCTTCGTTTTCTTGGTTTGGGATGCTTTTACACATTGTTTAAAAAGTTTATATTTTCTTAATCTCTTCAGTTGCGGAAAAAATGAATTCGACATCGACACATTTTGTGCCACCGAGAAGAGTTGGCATATATGAACCTGTCCATCAATTCGGTATGTGGGGGGATAGTTTCAAGAGCAATATTGGCAATGGGAATATGAACACACCAACCCACATTATTATACCCAATAATCAGAAACTAGACAACAACTTGGTACTTTTTTTTTTGCTTCATTGGTCTTTCAGTCTCTTGATGATAATTTTTCTTGGTTTGTTTTCAAAATTCTGAAAAAGTTTCATTTATTGATATTTTGATTTTGTATTTTAGTCAGAGGATACTTCCCATGGGACAGCAGGAACTCCTCACATGTTTGATCAAGAAGCTTCCACGTCTAGACATCCTGATAAGGTTAATAACTATTCACAAATGCTCGTCTATCGGTTTCTTAATCATATTTTTCTCCGCGGGTTGTATAGACTGAATCTTTATATCGTCACAGATACAGAGACGGCTTGCGCAAAACCGCGAGGCTGCTAGGAAAAGTCGCTTGCGCAAGAAGGTATGATGACATTATTCTCCCTCCTTTAGTAATAAAGTTTCTGTTTGTTTATTCAGTAGGGAGGTTTTGATCGTGTGTTTACTTGCAGGCTTATGTTCAGCAGTTGGAAACAAGCCGTTTGAAGCTAATTCAGTTAGAGCAAGAACTCGATCGTGCTAGACAGCAGGTTAATGAAATGAAATCTAAACATGTACATATTAGCTTTCTTTTGATTTCCAAAACATATTGCAGTTTCTTATAGATATTGTATGTTCTCAGGGATTCTATGTGGGGAACGGAATAGAGACTAACTCCCTCGGTTTTTCGGAAACCATGAATCCAGGTTTGTATCAAGAACAATGAGTCTATTTCTATACATATCAAGAATCATGATTTTGATTGGTGAAACTTATATGATTTGCAGGGATTGCTGCATTTGAAATGGAATATGGACATTGGGTTGAAGAACAGAACAGACAGATATGTGAACTAAGAACGGTTTTACATGGACACATTAACGATGTCGAGCTTTGTTTGCTAGTTGAAACCGCCATGAAACATTACTTCGAGCTCTTCAAAATGAAATCAACCGCTGCAAAAGCGGATGTCTTCTTCGTCATGTCAGGGATGTGGAAAACTTCAGCAGAACGGTTTTTCTTGTGGATTGGCGGATTCCGACCGTCGGATCTTCTCAAGGTAAAACAAAGAACAATCTCACGAAATGTTATTATTGTGTCGAATGAAACAACAGGATTACAATGTTTAGATGTTTTCTTTTGTAGGTTCTCTTGCCACATTTTGATATCTTGACGGATCAACAAATTCTAGATGTATGCAATCTAAGACAATCTTGTCAGCAAGCTGAAGATGCGTTGACTCAAGGTATGGAGAAGCTGCAACACACGCTTGCGGATTGCGTTGCAGGGGGTCAACTCGGTGAAGGAAGCTACATTCCTCAAGTGAATTCTGCAATGGATAGATTAGAAGCTTTGGTCAGTTTTGTAAATCAGGTAATGATCTAATCTCTTTTATTTTTATGAATCAAAACATAACACATTTTAAGACTAGTTTCTTGACGATTTGCTTTGTGTTGTTTCTTAGGCTGATCACTTGAGACACGAGACATTGCAACAAATGTATCGGATCCTGACCACACGACAAGCGGCTCGAGGATTATTAGCTCTTGGTGAGTATTTTCAACGGCTTAGAGCCTTGAGCTCAAGTTGGGCAACCCGACACCGTGAACCAACGTAGTTATTGAGATTTTGAACCAAGCATACCAATGAAAGACCTCAAGAATGAAGATGAGTGCATCTGAAGAAAAAAACAAAACAGAGGATTACTCTGAATAAATTGGGGGTTGCTGCTGATGATTATTTTTACTCTGCGGCTGAATCAGAAAATTTGAAAAAACATGTATTGATATAAGTTGTAAATATCAGGAAATATGGGGTGCAAAAATTTGTACTTTGTAGCTTTTAAAAGAGACGAAAAGTTTTATCGAATGTTTGTTTGATTGTAAACATGTCAGATTATATAAACTTGATTCCAAATTCCCCTATTATTAATGAATGTATATGTGAGAAAACTATAGGGGTTAATCTAAATTGTTATGTTTTGTGTGACTTCCGTTTGTAGTTTTAAATACTATTTGGACCTTCTAAGTAATTAAAGGTAAATTGAGGGGCGAATAGAAAGATATAAGAAAAGCCTTATCTCAAGAGTTTCTTCACTTCATTATCCTCAAAAATCGCTAGAGAGTGAACTCATCTTCTTCTTCCTTCTTCCGCCATAGCCACAATGCTTAGTCTCTCAATTGCTACGCCGGGGACGGCGGCGATTTTCCGTATAGGAACTGCTTCGGCGACTTCAACTTCTTCTTCTTTCCATGGCGTAAGAATCCAGCACCAGGTTTCTGCTCGCGTGCCCGCGGCGGCGGCGACGGCTTCGTCGACTCGTAAACCGTCGGTGGTGATGATGTCGAAAAGAGAGGCGGAATTGAAAGAGATAAGATCGAAGACTACGGAGCAGCTACAAGAGGAGGTTGTTGACCTTAAAGGAGAGCTTTTTATGCTCCGTCTCCAGAAATCGGCGAGAAATGAGTTCAAATCAAGCGACTTTCGAAAAATGAAGAAACAAGTAAGCTTTTTTTTCCTTGTGTTGGTTCGTTTCGTTAATTAAAAATTCCTCTTTTATGATGCAGAATTAGTCAAATTGTGTGATTGCAATTGCTCGATTTTGGCTGGTTCTATGTATTGTGTAAGTTTGAATTGTGTAAAGAGAATCGATTTTGCAGTTCAAGAGTCTTTGAAAGGTTTAATACAACTGGGATTTTATGGTTTATTGATGAAACATTCAAATCATCACACTGTAGAAACTGGAAATCGTTGTTAGACAACTTTTACAACCAGTGTGTGTGTTTTACATATTATACAGTAACCTCTAACTATAGCAATGGTGGTTAATGTGGATTAGTCACTGCTAACTTCCAAGGACCATAGCTTTGCGATATCTAAACATTTTTGTTAGGAGATGGAATGGAATTAGACATTTAACATTCAGTTCAATCTCTGTGTAGAGATTAGAGCCGAGAGTTCATGTTCTTATATAGAGTCTTGTAGAGAGCTTCTCCTATTGTTCTTAATCTTGAGCTTTTTGCAGTGTCTTGTTAACTCATTGAAGTGGCCAATAGATGAAAATTACTTGGTTTGGCTTCCTGATTGCCGGGATTTCAATGAGACATGAATCCTGAGAGATTTGAGCTATGTTTTGTTCAGTTACTTAAGTGGCTATATGCACCAATCTTAAGTGGCTTACCTCTGTCTCTTTTTTTTCTGGTACTAAAGATACTTTTTTGTTGTGGGGTAAATTAGGTAGCGCGGATGTTGACGGTAAAAAGAGAGAGGGAGATTAAAGAAGGGATAAAGAAGAGGTTGTCGAGGAAACTTGACAGGCAGTGGAAGAAAAGCATTGTACCAAGACCACCTCCTTCTCTAAAGAAGCTGCAAGAGGAAGAAGCTGCAGAAGAAGCAGCTGAAGCTGCCAAATCTGCTTGAGAAACCACCATCGATGTATTTTCCCTCGAGATTGTTACTCTCTGTTATTGTTGCTGCTGAACCTTCTTTATTTTTGGTGTAAACTTTCCTTGTCAATTAGTTTGTTATTTTCAAGAATCTCTCAAGTTTAATGTTTAAATCTTTATCCAACCTGATTCAGAATCTCAAGTTAAAACTTAAAAGTAAGAAAAATTATAGTGATAGATATATACTTTCTGAAGCGGACTATTTTTTTTTTTCTGGTTTGGCCATCTGTTCTATTTTTCTTCTTTGATTTAAAAAAAAAAAATGACTGGAAAAATCTAAAAAGTGGCGGGAAAATTGAGAACGTAATTTAGGTTTTCGGGAGAAATGATATAAAGGCTTGCACGAGAGGTAGTCCAGTGGTAGAGAGGAGGAGGAGGAGCCTTGTAGTCTTTTCCGGAGCGATGATGTTTCTGATTTTGAGGGCATCGAGACAAGTTCAGCCGATTCATTCCGTCGTCAAAAATTAAATCAGTGGGTAATGTGAATCGAAGGTAACGGAAGAATCTTTGTTGACTTTCTCAGTTTTGCATTAGACAACATTTTTGGGTTTGGTTTTTGTGTACTGTTGTTGTCTTTTGCCAATAAGTACGGACTAAGATAATCTTAAATTAGTCATTCTTCCCTTTGTTATCTTCCTGTTTCTTACAAGGTTTTGAAAACGACCCAATCAAAACATATTTTTAAATACTACAACTATCTACAGGTAATATGTTCTAATTTCTAATCCACTTCATATTGAAAATAATATTTGTTTTGCAGATTGGATTCATATTATTCAACAAGACTTTGAGTTAAAGTCAGTGAGATGCTGCTAAGCTTCAGTGATAGTTGGAGGAGCTGATCTGCCATCCCCTGATACTTAGGTAATTCAGTGATAGTTTATATATACATTTGCAGAACACAAGTGCTTCAGTCACAAGTCATGTTTCTGTTTCAAGCAATAAGAATACGTTATGATGCAGCAGGTATCTAGTCCTTTTATCCAAGAAACTTACAAGATGCAAGGTTGTTAGTAGCATGTTTTGCTGTGATATGCTCTTCTTTACTAGCCATGGTGGATTTTCACATGTTCTACTTATTTGTCATTACCATTTTAGTTTAGCTTACAAAACTGTCCAAATAGCAGCCATCTGGACCACTATGATTCACCTAATACCTTACATCCGAGAGTTTAGTCAAAAGATTTTTTGAAACGATCTATCTGCCCACAATTATTCTATACTGTATGACCAGTGGTCAAAACTGTAGCTTTATTTTTAATTTTTATTGCAAATTTTATAATTGAATTCTCAGATTCATCTGAAGTTGAGTTTGACAGCTGCATTCTCCTGTTCACACCCATCAGTTTACACTTAAAGAGTTTCATATCTTGCCTTTTTAACTGACCAAGTTGTCAACTTCTCAGCGTAGACTTGTGTGAGAAATACTTCTTAATCTTCTGAGAAACAATTAATAAGGTCCATTGTTGAAGCATATGTGTATTTTAATGTTAAGTACAAGAAAATTATGACAAAAATGCATATCTAATGGTGATAAATGAGGTTTGCATATGAATAGCTTTGTGTTTTTTTTATTGGATCTATTTTTATGAAGACTTGTTGTATTACCAACTCCAGCCATGTGCTTTAGAGCTTTGCACAGCTTTCTATGATGCTTTTGACAAGATTATTTTATTTATGTAAGCGTCTTACGTATAGTTTTCATGCAAAGATCTTTGTACTTCTGGATCACACAACATGTGATTTGCTTTTCATGCAAAAAGCTTCCTCCGTGTTTGTGTTGGTCTTCTGCTTTCGTCAAAAGTCCAAACCCTTTATGCCTGTTTTACTTCAACAACTAATTCCTTAAAAGCATAAATTGTTACATCTGCAGGGTCTTTTGGATTTTCTTCTTGTCTTCTTCTTGATGCTTGTGAAGAATATGATGAACAAGATCGACTCTCTTAACTTCCGAGCTTCGTTGATGCTTCTGCCCAAATTTTTTTTGTTCATTCACCATCACTGGTTTGAGAGCAAGTTTTAATTTATTTCACGAAGAAATTGTGATATCTTCAATATATATGGTAAAGCAGTTCTAAGTTCTAGGTTTTCAAGCTTGCTTTCTTTTTGTATATACGCATCTTTGATAGCTTGTTGTTTTTTTCACTGGGTTTGAGCAATACTATATATTGATTGGTGGTATAAAGTGACTGTAGGAAGATTCAACATTCAAGTACATCATAACATGATGACATGAACAGAAAGTTTTCGAAGTTTTCAGCTCTGCTTTTTTTTTTTTTTTTAATATTCTCCTCTTGATTAATGTGAAAGCTGGAGCTCTTAGCTTGTTTTAAATGGTCTTTTTCCTTACTTTCGTTCTAGCATATACTAACTTTTCTCTCTTTGTTTTTTAGGATGATGGTCCACAAACATCTATACTACTAATTTGAGCTTACGAAATATATAAATAATTGTTCTCTATGTGCATTTTGACTAAGTAGTGCTATCAACATACTAATACGGTTTGGCTGCCTTAGACCAATGTGTTATAGGTGGAGTGTCCAAATCACTTAGAAACACCTTAATAGGCCTATTTTTGGCAGTGTTGATTTTCTTAGTTCAAAGTGTGGCCAAGGTGTTGATTTATGAACTACCTGCATCATTCTAATTTGGATTGAATAAAGAATATTTTGGTCAGTTCTAACTATTTTTGCCTTGTCAGATTCTTTGGATCTTCATGAAGACATCCTGTTTTGGCTTTATGGATTGGTTTTCAAGAATTCTGAGGTTAGATAATGCAAAGGTACAGTCTTCTATAAGTATACATGCTTTTCTGTAGCATTAGCATCCTTCGTCTACATTTGGAGTGAGGTCAATGCATCTGTTTGATTCATACTATGATAGGATTATTAAGTTGAAAAGTTTTGACTGCTGAAGTAAAATGTATCTCAATGGTCGTTTATATATGCCTCTTAGCCTAGAATATCTTTCTTGTGAATACAATTTTCTTCGCTTGTATGTGGAATAGATCAGTCTCATCAATATATATGTACTAGGTGACACAGTACAGTTGGCTAATTTTAGTTGTGGCCATGCGTAGAGGCATTAATATGATTGACACTGGTTTGATAGATACAATGTTGATTGTTGCCTGCTTCTTCTATGTTTTGTTCTGTTGTCTATCTTAGGTTCTGTTGCAGGAATCAAACATCTAGTATCTCCTCGATGAGAGTAGGCTTTTTTAATCAAAGGCACTTCTTTAATACAGGATCTGAGGATCACCCTCTGGTCCGAGCAACTCAGGTAATTGTAGGTGATTGATTATACACATTTTCCTTGAAAAGAATTTAGTGAAAAAATTACTTCTGATGCATCTAAATTGATTTTTCGTAGAGATATAGTTAAGATAGCAGTGCTATTGTCTCCCTGATATCTTTCACTGTCTTGTAGCTGTAAAATGGTGTCATCAATGAAAGAGCTTTAGCCACGAACTAAACCCTCATGGCTAACGTACTAAGCTCTCATGGCTAACGTACTAAGCTCTCATGTTTCACGTACTAAGCTCTCATGTTTGAACAATAAAATTAATATAAATCAGCAACTTAAATAGCCTCTAAGGTTTTAAGTTTTATAAGAAAAAAAAGAATATATAAGGCTTTTGACTTGAGGTTTCTTCCATGTGAACAGTTGAAAACTTGAAATTAAACATGTTCCTTTGTAAATACTAATGAACTCAAATCTTTACCGATGCTGATGCACGTCTCAGCACAACCATCTTGGAATTCTCTAATATTTTGGAGATACACATAGACTCTGTGTATTTGTATCTGAATAATACATTCCTTACTTAGCTCGATGATACTCTTTGCATTTACAGACAATAAGGGAGAGGTGAGAGTTTTATCAAATGCAGCTTTGAAAGTCAGGGTTTAGATGTGTTGGTTAGGAACTTTGGGAGAAGAAGCAAATCGAATTGCTTAGCTGACATTTACAACCATTTTATTAGTTTTATATTAGAGGAAAGGAACGGTTTAAGTGACATAGCGTATCTCAAAATCTATTATTTTAGTATGAACCTAGTGCCTTCCTTAATATTTTAATATATACACTATACCTGCTTCCTTCCAGTGAGGTTGTGGTCCAACTCTGAGAAACCCTAGATGAACAAGCAACTCAAGTCTTTCTTTTTTCCTGAATATTTTCATAGTCAACAATAGCATCTGTTATTATCCAAAACCTTGATGAGCATTTGAAAAGCCTCCTTGGGGATGCTTATTTAGTTTTCGTTGATGCAGGCTATTACAGGCTTGATGTCTTCATGTGGTGGAAACGTTTCCTTTTTCCAGTTCTCTATGTATTTTTAAGAGTTGTGGTTCTTGAAGGCCAATTGTCTTTCATTGGAGAAAATTGCAGGAAACCCTATGATATACTTTATGGAAAAGACACAGAAGAACAAGACAAGAAATGCCATTTGGTCCAATGCAGAAGCAGTGAGGGGAGAAAGTCTTGTAGGTTTCAAAGATGGGTGGATATTTAGATCATTTTCTGCACCAACCTCTCCCCTAACAAGCTCCTTTTATTTTTCAACAAAAATGTGTCAACTTCAAGCCTGTCACCATTATCAACAGTAACTTCTCTTTTCATTATACCAATACTTTGTCGGACACATTTGTCTATCTCTTGTTGCTTTGCTTTGGCAGCTTTCTATGCATTTTTCTTTAATTTGTTTTTCACTGAATCATATAATTCTGTGCTTATGAATGATCAGTAGGATAGGATCATAAATAGCTTATATATTTGATCAAAAAATAGATCCAAAATCCACTAGATAAGTTCTCATTTATCCTGATATGTTCTCAGTTGCAGGTTTCATAATATAGCATCTTTTTCCCACCAGAAAAAGCATTTTTGAGTAGGAAATCTCTGTAAGTATTACCTAATTTTGCTATATCAGGACTTGCTTCCTCAAGATCAAAGTCTTGAGAAACAAGACTATAGGACTTATAGTTTCCTCATTTGGACCAATTCTGTTTCTTTCTTTTGGTTCTCTTGTATCTTAAGACTCTTACGGTTCATGGTTTGATACCAAGGAAATACAAATATAATTTTTTTATACATATTAGCGTATACCAAATACATAAATGAGTCAAGAAATAGATGAAAGAAGAATGTTTAAACTGTTTGATCTGTTTTGTTTTGTGAGCCAATGATTAAAAAAAATATTTGAATAGTTTGTGAAGCTTTCTTGTCAAATTTGTCTTCTCCTTTCTGTAGAAAGTTTGAAATATTTTCTGCCGCAGGGAATGTGACTGATCATGTTATTGTGTTTGCAGGTCTCTAATGACTGAACCATAGGACTCAGCATCAAGGATCTTGAAAGGAGAAGATTTCTCGTATTGCTTAGTACTGTACGTGTTTATATTGTACGTCTGTGAGGGAATATGAAGGGTGAAAGCGACATGGGCTGTTTTGGTATGCAAATAAGAAAGAAGCACGTGGTGAATGGACATTGAAGAGAGAGGGAAGCTTGGCTTAATATAAATATAGAAATACGAAGCAGTTAGTGGTTGTGAAGATAGGAGGCAAGCGACCAAATCTTTGAAGAAGTAATAGTAAAGAGAAGGTAAAACAAAGAGAGAGACCGTTGTTAGATACAGAAGTTGATCAAACATGGGAAGATCTCCTGGCTCAGATGAAGCTGGTCTGAAGAAAGGTCCATGGTTGCCTGAAGAAGATGATAAACTCATCAAATATATTCACAAACATGGCCACAGCAGCTGGAGTGCCCTTCCCAAGCTCGCTGGTACTATCTTTAAGGCATTAATGAAATCTGGTTTTGTGTTTGTTTGTATAAGAGTCTATTGTGAATATCTGTTTCTCTCTATGCAGGTCTTAACAGGTGTGGGAAGAGTTGCAGGCTACGATGGACAAACTATTTGAGACCGGACATTAAGCGAGGAAAATTCTCCCCGGAAGAAGAAGAGACCATCCTGAACCTTCACGCGGTTCTTGGCAACAAGTAAAAACTCCTCTGATTCTTGATTTATTACCTGGGATTTTTTTGCTTCGTGACACTCATTTAAAATGTTACTGGTAATGACTCTATAAGGTGGTCAATGATTGCAAGCCATTTACCTGGAAGAACAGACAATGAGATCAAGAATTTCTGGAACACTCATTTGAAGAAAAAGCTGATCCAGATGGGTTTTGACCCCATGACCCATCGGCCAAGAACTGATGATATCTTCTCAAGCTTATCTCAGCTCATGTCTCTATCTAACCTAAGAGGAGTTGCTGATCTGCAGCACCAGGTTCCAATTGAAGAACAAGCTTTACTGAATCTCCATGCTGAGATGGCTAAGCTCCAGCTATTCCAATACCTTCTTCAACCTCCTCCTATGAGTAGTACCAGTATTAACCCTAATGACTTGAGCATTCTCAATCTCCTCATCAAAGAAAACTCTAATACCAGTAATCTCGACCTAGGTTTTCTCAGTTCTCATCTTCAAGACTTCAACAACAACCTCCCATCCCTCAAAGCTCTAGACGATAATCACTTCAGTCAAAAAAGTTCTCCAATATGGTTCAGTGAACCCCCGAGCTTAAACCAAACTATGCTGCCTTTTCATGATCCTTGTGCTCAGAGTGTAGATGGCTTCTGTGGCAACCAGGCCTCCTCAAGCCAGGACCAAGAAGTAGCAGTCACAGACGCTGTAGAATGGCCTGATCAACAACTATTTGATGACTCCATGTTTCCAGACATTCCTTATCAATCTTAAGTAAGGTATGCATGTATATGTTTCAAAGGAGCTCGTCATTGGATTTGTTTGGTACTGTTGTGCATGTTGGTTCAGTATCTCTACATTTAATTCATATAATGTGTGATCATGTCTTAGAATGTACATGTTGTGTGTGTTCTTCGTAAGAACATTCTAATTTCTATATGTTTGAATGTGTATCCTTACCGTAGAGAAAGGCCAACGAACGATTGTTCAGATGATTATTTCTAAATTTGTGTAGTAAAAATGTTCTTTTTTTCAATTTCATAATCACTGGATTATTTTGTATTATTTTTTAAAATTTAATAAACGCTGTTGGACCAGCCACTGTTGCCAAAAAAAAAAAGGAAATAGCAAATTAATCAAAAAACAAAATGGAAAGTAGTAGTTAAAAAAAGGAAATCAGACAAAAATAGGAAAAAAAACAAAAGGAAATATAAGAAAAAGGAAACAAGTAAATGAATCTAACGGTTCAAATTTGCCAAAAGAAAAAAGGAAAAGTACTCATTGGGAGCCTGGTGAACAAAAGAGTCTAATCATGGCCGTTGAGACTGCACATGACATCAAATCACCACCGTCAATAGGTTTCCGACCTTTATCTAAATAATGTGATCTCTTCCATCTGAGAAAATATTTTATTACCTTACTTTGAAGTTTGTAAAACATCTTTTTCTCTTTGTTGTTTCTCTCTACGTTACAAGTAATTTGATTACTGGTGATACTCTTCTAGGGTTTGGTTAAAAACTGAATCGTCTTCAAAGCTTCCTTTTTTTTTTTTTATCTTCTTCATTGAAAAGAGTCGCTCTGTTTTCTTAGGCTTTGGATGATGATTTTATCTATATAGTTATATAAGCTGAATATATAAGCTTTGTGCCTGATTGGTTGAACTGCGCAACATTTTGAAACATTTTGTGTAGGAAGACACAACTCCGAGAGGCTTACAAGCTTCTGCGTAATATGAAGTGAAAGGTTATTGTTATGGCTTTGCAGGTTAAAGCTAGCGTTCAGAATTGCCTATAGACCATTTATGGGACCTTCGGTATGTGTGTGTTGCTTTGACTTGCCAAGCAAATGACGTTTCTCAACTTCTCATTGTTCAGAACATAGAGGAGCCTCTTTCTGATGTGTCATCTCATGTCATGACCAAGAATCCCACACTATGACTTTGTTCGGTTATGTGCTTTTGTATAGTATCTATTCTCCTAGGGAACTGAAGTCTTGGACGCATAAGATTCTGTTTTCTTAGTGTTAAAAGATCAGTTGATGATGATACTGGTGAAGAACCATTTGATTCTTCTTCTACTTTACAGCGTGATCGATCAGATGATTCTATCTTTTCTGAGTCAAAGTATATTTTTTCCTATCTTCCCCCAGATAATTCAATGGCATCTTGATTATTAATAGAATCTTCACCCCAATCAAATCTCCTCTGCAACCTTTGAAACTCTTCTTGTCTCGTGACTTCAAGATTCTGCCATTCTTCCCATCTCTCTGCAAGCCCTTCTCCTTCAAGCATCCTCACAACTTCAGACATCGCTGGTCGTTCTTCAGGTGCTGATTGTGTGCAAAGCAATGCAACTTGTATCATCATTTCAACTTCTTCCGTCATATAATCCTCTTCAAGCTTCTTATCTACAATGTCTCCTAATCTTTTCTCCCTTTCCAGTTTCTTCACCTGAAAGCCAAGAGAATGTTGTTGTTAATCACAGTGTGAGAAGCTTGAGAAGAAACATAAAAGATCAACATGATTGTAACATTACTTACATGGTCTAGCAATAAGACATCATCTTCTTCCTCTAGCCGCGAGAAATCAATCGCTCTTTGTCCAGTTACAAGCTCTAGAAGCATAATTCCATACCCAAAAACGTCAGTTTTCTCTGATGATTTCCCTGTGGATATACATTCAGGTGCAATGTGACCCATTGTTCCACGGACCTGAGTAGTCACATTGGTTCTTCTGACATCTACCAACTTGGCTAAACCAAAGTCACCAACCACTGCTTCAAAGTCTTCATCTAGTAACACATTGGCAGCTTTCACATCTCGGTGTATGATCTTCGGGTTGCAATGTTCATGAAGGTATTCAAGTCCTCGTGCTGCGCCTAGCGCAATCTGCTTCCTCCTGAACCAGTCCAGTATTGGATCACCGGGTTTAATCTCTGCATATTATAAACCCCGCAAATCCTGATTACAAAACCTTAAACTCCTGAGACCAAAAGTGTTAAGTTATTGTTTATTTTTTACCTCTTAAGCAATATGCAACACTTAAATTCTGCATGAAAGGATACACCAAGAGGCGTTCAGTTTGTGTTGTGCAAAAGCCGATAAGGCGAAGCAGATTCCTATGAACAGCTACACTTATCATCTCAACTTCTCTCTGGAAAGCTTCGTCTCCTCCTGGACGCTCAAAATCAGTCAACCTTTTCACAGCCACTTTTGTGCCATCCGAAAGCACTCCTTTGTAAACTTTCCCAAAGCCTCCTTGTCCAAGAACATTAATTTCGTTGAACTCATCTGTAGCCAATTGAAGCTCTCTCCATGCAAATCTTCTCAACTGTCCAAACGCAATCCTTCTGTCCACTTCACCTGAAACCAAAATTGAAATATAAAGATTTGACCATTTCTATAGTTGCTATGAAACCATAAACGAGAAAGATAGATAACTATCACATACCTGCAACATCGACAAACACATCACGTTTATATCCTCTATGCTTATCCTTGCAGAAGAAAAACATGAAGACCCCAAGGAGAATAACTGCGATCCCACTAACAACTCCAGCAATAATTCTAGTTTTTCGACTGCCTGAATCACCTATCAGAGTAAAAACAGACTCTATCTACTTAGAATCTGTGCAAGTAAGGTAAATAGCAACTAAAACATGAATATGGAAGTATGCATCAGAAAGCTTCTGTAATTTTACCTGAAGGACTGGACAATGTTTCGCAAGGTTGAGGAAAAGTGCCACCACAACTCAAGTTGTTTGCTGTGAAACTATAAATTTGAAAGACTAAACTAGTATTAGTGATAAAGATAAATGGAAACTGTAAACATTTGGGTTTTGAAACTAAAAACTCTTACGAACTTGTATTTTGGGATTTTGAATAAACTCTGAGGAATTTCACCGGTGAGATTATTTGAGTCGAGCAGACTGCAGAAGTAGTTCAAGCAACAGCATTTAGAATAGTGTTTTCAGGCATAACGGGAAAAAGAAAACACGCAGAACAACCACTCACACATTAATCAGTTTTGACAGGCCCGTAAGTGAATCCGGGATAGTCCCGTTTAAGTTATTCCTACTGAGGGTCCTGCGCTTGGCCAAACATAGAAACAAAGTCATGGTCTTTATTATTCTTTGTTCCAAAGATGTTAAACAAGTTTCAAGACATTTGAGAGAGAAGAATCACTTACAAGAACTGGAGATTCTTGAGATTACCGAGAGTGGATGGTATGCGACCAGTTAATTGATTATCCTCTAAATCCAAGCTGGTCAAGCTAGACAGGTTTCCAATGGATTCTGGTATTCCACCAATAATTCCATTTCCTTTCAATGTACTACGAGCAGAAAAAACAAAGATTCCTCAGTATAACAAAACACACTTACAGAAACTTTTTCAATACAATGCAGACAAAAATGCAAACTTTCCACAAGCTCACAATGTCAAAGTAGCCACTTACAGAGTCTTGAGAGTAGTCAAGATTCCTATTTCTGAAGACAAGGTTCCGGACGAGAAGTTCATGTAAGACAGTGTACTGCAAATCACAACCATATAGCAAAATTTTATTCTCTAAACCCAAAGTCACTAAATTTTGCTCAGTGTTATTTCAACTTACAGAGAAGAAACATGCTTCTTGTCCTCACAAATAACTTGAGACCAAGTACAAGGATCGATTTGATTCTGGTTCCAATCACTTAGCTGTTCAGGTGATGCACGTAACGAGCTCCTCAAAGCAAATAGCGCATTCCCTGAAAAACGAAAGGAGATATTGGAATTGCAAAGAATGTAACAAAAATCTACACTTAGACAAAACGTAGAAAGTAGCAAAGAGAATTCAGAATATATAAAGGAGAAATGAAATTACCTTGAGCATCTGGTGACACAGATGACCATAATAAACACGTAAACACCAAAGCAGTGATAAAAGCCAGAGCCATTTTTTTCAAAAGAGCTAGCAAATTTCAAAATGTTTGATTCTGAGAACTTGTGACATCTACAAGAACATTCGAACAAAAAAAATTACAACATATCTTTAAGCTTAGTAGATACTACCAGATAGATAGAGTGGATCTACTACGGAAATTCAAAATTCTATAATAGAAACAAAAAAAAACAAACCTTTTCAGTTGCCCGGAAGATAAAATCCAAATATCTCAGAGATTTCAATAGTTTTCACGGAAAACAAAAAGAAAGAGATAAAACCCAAATCTGAAAGACGCCAAATTTGAGAAACAGAGATTTAAGAAGAGCAGAAAAAGAAACTCGAAGCAGAGAAGAAAATACAAAAAGGGAAAAAAGAATAATTCCAGCACGAAAGATTCACTCTGTCGAATACAACCAACAAGGCAACAATACTTGTTCAGACTTGGATGGTTCCCCACTTCCTTAATGAAAAAACTCTTTGGAAGAGAAAGTAAAACTCTGTTCTCTTCCAAAAAAAAAGAAGCAAACTTTTGTTTTTCTTTCTTCCTTACAATTTTGTTGTCTGTTAGATGGAAAAAAGTCTTCGAAGCAAATCGCAATTATGATAGTCGCCGTGGCTAGTCAAAGGTCGACTTTTGTTTTTTAAAAAGCCGACAGTGCTCGTAAAACTGCTTTTCGTGCGTGCTTAATTAATCATTATGATGCTTTGACAGTGATTAACAACGAAAAATAGAGATTAAAACTGTAAGAAGGAGAAAAATAAAAAATTGGGGTGAGAGAGGCTCGAACTCTCGACCTCAGGATCACTCAATAGCTATGAGACCTACGCGCTAGCCAACTGCGCCACCACCCCTTGGAGATTCCATCTCTAATTCGCGTATATAATCATATCTTGATCTGCCTTAGTTATTTAGTTCAATGCTTCGAGTGAATCAATAGCTTCATCTGAAACTGAAACTTCTAAAATCATCATCATCAAGAACTTTCTTATTAAAGGAAACAAGTGGAAATTACAAACCCAAAACAATGATGACAAATACAGCAACAATACTACAGTGACCTCTCCATATTTCATTGTTTTCGTTCTCTCTCCCTCTCTTTCTCCCTTGGGTTCAAGAGTCCAGGAAAAACTTGTCTAGACAAAACTTACACATTGTCATAGCTGATTCTTGTGTGTTTGCATAGTAGCTAGTTTATTGAACGAGTACTTGTTTGGGTGTTGAGGGTTCCTCTGCTGCTTTATTTGCTTTCTGTTCATTAGGTGCTTGCTTGCTACTACTGCTCTCAAACAGCTTGCTGCTCTTTGCGATTGTAAGGATTAACTCAAGTTGCTTTCGCTGTTGTTCCTGCAAAGCAAGAAAGCCAGCTTTCATGAGCTCAAAAGAAACTAGTTATCGACAACTTCAATTTAGCCATGGTATTAGCTTAGAAGACACTTCTACTACACATTGATTTAACTAATGGACATACAAACCAGTTTTCGAGTTTGAAATAATACCTGCATAGCGAGCAGAACCTTCTGAATTTCGCCTAGCTCCTTCTCTAAAATCTCTTGTTGTGCAGCTAATACTCTAGTGGCCTCGGAATTCTTTTGAGCCAAAGCTGCAGTCTTTGGACAAAACAAACCAAACTCTTTAGATACATACAGCACAAAAGAACTAAACTTGATGCAAAGACAGCTACATTCATCAGTCAGATACTGAAAACTGGAAAATTCCCAATCTCTTCAGCAAGATTATCCAAAATCTTGGTTTAAACACTAAAAGTCTAAAACCTTTGTTACTTGCTCCCAAATCATCACTTGTTCCTTTCATCCAATTTCACATAGAGAATCAAAGTTTTACAGTGTGGAAGCATTTGAAGCAAAACTCGAGAAAAAGGACAATCGGATCGTTTACCTCAGAAATTGGTTCCTTTAGAGCTTTTCGGGTGACCCGAAACCGAATCCCAAGCTTCTCCAGATGCCTAGAAAGAACTCTAACAATGGTGGTCGAGCTTTTTAAATCCTCTTCAAGTTTCTCCAACCTACAAATCAAATTCGTCCCTTCACTTTTTCTCGCTCCTTTGCAAATCCTCTTCCATTGCCGTCGTCTAAGCCACGAACCAGTGGCGACTGAACCAACCAATCCAACGAAACCTAAAGACAAAACCTTTTTCCCAATTTCACCAACCACCACGTAATTCACCGCGAGAACCACCGAAATCACGGCGGAAGATATAATACAAAGCGCCTCCGCGAATGAAACAAAGCTCCCCAAATCAAAACCATCAGAATTGGCGTCTTCAAGGTCTGTAGAAGAAGAGCTCTCTTCGTATGATCCGATGGAAGACGCGCGAGCTCTACAATCTCGATTGATCTCGAAATTCGACTCGGTAGAGATGACGTGGCGGAGGAGGATAGGCTTAGCAAATGATATAGAATTCCGGCGAGAAAGCTGTACGGCGGAGACGGCGAAGCAGATGTTGCTCCTGCTGATGCGAACAGGAGTCGACCCTGAGAAGAGAGCGTATCGGGAAGGAAGCGATAAGGACATTATCGTCTTTTCGGATCTGCAACTAAGTGACTGACTGAACCAATGCGAGAAATGGCTACGACCTTAACGTCCTCAACATAAGAGAAGCTCAAACTGGGCGCATAATAGCATATACCTAAAATGCGCCGAATAAGCTTAAACTAATAAGTAAGTCAACTTTTAATGGTTTACACAAAATAAGTAAGTCAACTCTTATTTTGTCCTTATATAGTCAACACTCACAGGCATATAACTGACACTTGATCCAATTATAATATGATATGATTCAATATCAAAACGATATGAAACTTATAATACCAGTCTAGGTTCGAAAATGTTTAAGAGAAAAGTTCTAAAGGCCAAAGAGCCAGAGTCATAAAGAAAGCTCAATAAAGGATGGGTATAGCCCATACACGCATCCACTCCCAATAGCTAATCCGCTCTATGCTTAACCATGACGGTTTTTATTGGTACGGCATGTAACGCATCGGCCTTCTGAACCTAGGAGTTTTCCTGCAACATATACATTCGCACAAAAAAGAGTGAGAAGTGGAGAAAAGCTGTGTGACCCCGATCAATATATGTTTTGGTGTTAAAACCAACTTACCCATATCCATATGGGGAATACATATAAGGAGACATGAAAGGTCTGCGGAAACGGTAACCCATGTACGGATTGAATCTTCTACCACGGAACTGTTTCAATCCAGGAACGTTTGTTCTCTTTTGCATGACCTGAAATTTATTCAAGCCAGATGAGAAATGATGAAAACACAAGTTCTTACACCTTGCTAAAAAGTGTTCGGTTTGATGGTATAGTAAGATCATGTGTACCTTTAGTTGACGACCATGTAACTCTGATTCATTCAGTTGTAGAGCCTCCTGAACAGCTTCTACTTCAACAAATTCTACATAAGCAAATCCCTTTGGCTGCCCGAATTTGTCTGTTAAAATAGTCACCCGATGGACAGTGCCACATGTTTGGAAATGCTGCTGCACTTCTTCGGGAGTACAAGCGTAATCAACCTGCACAGTGAAATAAACCTTTATATTATATACCAAACAAGTATAACCCATGGTGTCTTTCACTGAGCACACAGAGTAATCCATCAAATCAACAAGTTCGGCGAACAAGAAATCCAACAAATCATTCCTGTTTTAATCCTTCATCAAACAACACATCAACGCCACATAAACCTTTCTTTCTTTTCATATCTGCAAAAATGAACAAGAACACCAAGTAAAGCAGAGTGGAACCTAGTATATTTGAGCAGCCACTTTAAAAGATCCCTTATGCTGTGTACCGAGCATACACTTGACAATCTTTATTGTATGTTTGCATCAAACAGCTGCATCAAACAGCTGCCTCTCACCAAATCTCTGCAGATAGCAGCTATGAGCCTTGACTAGAAAGTACCCAGCATCTTGATTCAGCTCTTCAAAGGTTATCCCCTAGAGGGTGGATTGCAAAATACTCCACTCAAACATTATCCCCTCTCCAGATATCTCTTTTTCCTTCAAAGTCATGACATTTTTCCTTTTCTACATTTCCTAATGCTCTAAAACGTACTGACTTCTTCTCTTTTATCTTTTTTTTTTTTAGCTTTTTTTATTCTTTTTGCAATTTTTTTATAGCTTTTTTCATCATGTTCCAAACAAAACAGAACAGATCTTTTTCAACTCTATTAAAGGAAAAATGTAATGACCCCAAAAAACCTAATTGATAACCCAGAGCAAATAAGAACTTCAGGAATGAGAACAATCCTGCGATTGTAGTGAGAAACATCATAAGAAAAGCAAAACTGAACGCCAAAAACAAAAATTGTAGACATTTCAAATTTGAACAGACTAATAAATAGACATATGAAATTATGAATGATATATGTCTCTAAGGTTCCATCAGCAATATGAAGACTCAATCTACGTTGTAAATACCCTCAATATCACTAACAACAAACTCCTTCACTAATTTTGGATTGACGAAGATGTAGTCTTCACTCTAATCACTAACTCTAATCTAGAATTCTCATTGAACTGGAATCTAGCGCAAGCCATAGTAACAAAGATGTGTGACATCACACCAAAAGTAATGGTTAACTAGTGATATATTCACCTACTTCATAACCTATTAAGAACGAAATTTGATGAAATTCCACGTAGAGAATACAATCATGGATCAAGAAGAGAACAGAATCAGATTATAGACTTCATAGGTGTATTATAATAACTTTAAAATCGGCAACGAAAAGGGTTTTATATCAACAGAGCTACTGATTTCGGCAATTCAAAGTCTAGTCGAAAGAAAATTCTAGATTAATAAGATGTAAGAATTATGAAATCAACCAGAAGCTAAGATGATTCAAAGAAAGAATCAAGTAAAAACATAAGCGTTCTTACATTGCCAACAAAAACTGATCGAGCGTCAACCTCCTCCTTGCCTGCTTGATTTGCTGCAATACTAGCAGGATCTGCAATAACACAATTGGACAAAAAAATTTAGTCAAGAAGCAGAGCAACAGCATAGACATAGTTAAATTCACAGTTCTTAAAATTCAAAGATGGATCCAAACACCAAGTAACTGACGATTAAAAAAACCAAGCGAATTACGGGAAGCACGACGGTGAAATCAAAAACCCGAATCATAGAACGAAAAAACAATCAAATAGATAAAAACCTTGGCCTCCCATTTCCTTCTCGACTTTAGCCTGCATCTCACGCAGAGCAGCAGCCTCATCCTCCATCTCCTTCAATCGTTTCTTCATCTCATCCAACTCCTAGTATGTATTACAACACCAATCAAACAGATACACACGCGATAACAAATCAAACGAGATCATCGATCACATTAAGAATAACAAAACAGTAAGCTAAAACGAGCGTAGCAGACCACCTTAACCGCATCATCATCAGCGGCAGTCATATCCAAATCGGGATTAGGAGCCTCCATATCTCCATCCATCTCGCCGACGTCGGGAATTTCTCCCCCGTAAACCTCGTGCTCCTCTTCCTCCATCGCTCTCTCTCTCTCTCTCCGTCGCGACGTTTGCTTTGTTCTTTTGTTTTTCTGATAAAAAACGGCTTAGGGCACTTTTCGTCAACTCGGATAGCGACACGTAATCAACGAATCCAGGCCATTATCTTAAACTGATGGGCCCTATGGCCCAAATTTAAAAGGCTTTAACATTCGATGAAGAGATACTGTAGTAGATGACATCATAGCCAAAAACATGCGTCCTCCTGCAGAGAGAAGAGATAATTGTCGTATCTGTCAGATCAGCTTCTAGATTCGAGCCGGGAAAATCCAACGGTTAAAAATTAAACATGTCATCCAGTATTGACTAAATAGTTGACAACGACGACAACAAACAAAACTACGACCGTATCAGATCTCTGCGTTTAAAACTTCAAAAAAGCTCACTTTTCGGTAAAAGCTTGAAACATAGGACTCAGCGAGAGAGAGAGAGATTTGAAGACGATGACGAGTGGAGGAGGATACGGAGATCCGTCGCAGAAGATTGATTACGTGTTCAAAGTGGTGCTGATCGGCGATTCAGCGGTTGGGAAATCGCAGATACTAGCTAGATATGCGAGAGACGAGTTCAGTTTGGATTCTAAGGCCACCATCGGCGTCGAGTTTCAGACTAGGACGCTTGTTATTGACCACAAGAGTGTTAAGGCTCAGATCTGGGATACCGCCGGCCAAGAACGGTAATCTCCGATCTCTCTCTCTCCGGAACTTTTTAGCTACTTCAATTGCTTGAACGTAGATCTCGTAAGATTTGAGTTGTGTCTCTGGATCCGATGATAGATGATACCTTAGTTTAGGATTTCGAATTCTGATATAAGCTTTTCGGTCTTCATACGAATTTCGAAGATCTAAAGTACAATTAGGATAATCTGAGATTTTGATTTCATATGATGTGTAGAGTAGACTCTAATTCTCTTTCAATGTTACAAAGCAGCTTCCGTAGTTGTATGATTGGTACAGAATCGAAAAAAAAAAGTATATACAGTTCTCAGTGATGCTTCATCAAGTCTCTATATATTTGACTGGCTTAATCTCAGACCTTGAAGACTTTTTTTTAATCTTTGTCGAATAAGCAAATCACCACATTCCATGCTTATCATATGCTTATATAGTCTTTCTCTCTGTATATTTGTGGGTTTGGTTGAACAGATACAGAGCGGTAACGAGTGCATATTACCGAGGAGCCGTTGGGGCAATGTTAGTTTATGACATAACCAGACGCCAAACCTTTGATCATATCCCAAGATGGCTAGAGGAATTGCGTGCTCATGCAGACAAGAATATTGTGATCATCCTTATTGGGAACAAGTCAGATCTTGTTGATCAACGAGCAATACCGACCGAAGATGCTAAAGAGTTTGCAGAGAAAGAAGGCTTGTTCTTCTTGGAGACATCTGCATTTAACGCAACTAATGTTGAGAGCGCTTTCTCCACGGTTTTGACAGAGATCTTCAACATTGTGAACAAGAAAAGTCTGGCTGCGAGTGAAGATCAAGAGAACGGTAATCCCGGGTCACTTGCCGGTAAGAAGATTGATATTGTTCCAGGTCCTGGTCAAGTGATACCAACGAAGAGTAACATGTGTTGTAACTCTTAGATAACCAATTCAATTCTTGAATTTTACTTGACAATATATATATATATATATATATAGATATTTGTAAGACTCTGGTTGGGATGTTTATCCTAATCCGGAGTTGTGTGATTCATTTGTTGCTTGATCAGCAGTTTTTATGGGGGGTTTTGAGTATTTAATCCAAGTAAAGCAAACCCATCTTTCTCGGCACAAAAAAAAAAACTAATCTTAAAAGGTCAAATTGGATTTTAATTTGATCAACTTGGATTTACTTTGCAATCTCGAAGAACTTTTATATGTTCATTTGACGTATGAATTTTCTTATTTTATACAAATTTATATACCAACATAACAACTTTTCGATCTCTCTTGCTACGTCTGAGGATTTCTCTCGTGGACGCTTCATCACTCGATCGCTTGATTCGGTCTCATTTCACGTAAGCTTCTAATCCTGGTCGATCCTTGTATGATTTGATCCTAAAACTTCTGGATTAATGATCTGATGATCTGAAGCCGTGAGAAATTGGTGTACCATCGGCATTGGATTTTTCTTACATGAGCAGAATTGATTTTTCGTGATCGTTACTTCTCTTATTGGCTTTTTATGGGCTTGAGCTTGACATGTTTTGCATTGCTTCCCAATCCTCTTTGTTTCCTTACTATGTAGCAACTAGCAAGTTTTCGAATTGCTTGAAACCATTTCACAACTTCTAGGTTTCTTGAAAAAAATTAATGACACGAGTTAATAATGTTTCAGATAGTCTCGCTAGAGGGGTTAGAGAAAGAGAGATCCAATGGCTGGAGCAGCAGAAATTGTTGAAGCTGATAATGCAGAGGCAATAATAGCGACGATCGAAACCAAATCGCAGCAGATTGAGAGCTTACTCAAACAGTATAACCCTAAAGTTCCTTTTGTTTTTTTTTGTTTACTTTCTTAGAAGACCTTAAATAGTTACTCTGTTTGTGCAGGTACAAACATATCGAAGCTCTGAAAACAGCTCTCGATGGTTCGTCTCCGAAAACTCTCGATGAACGTTGCAAGGTCTCTCTGTTTCCTCACTAGTGGTTTGTTCTTGACCAAAAAGATGATGTGAGTTTTGATAAATGGTTGCTTTCCAGTCAGCTAATTGGATAGCTGTGCAAAAAGCTATAATGGCGATAAGGGATATCGACGGAATGTTAAATGCCCTTGATGCCGAGTATTACGATATTCTAATGAAGTAAGCCCCTCGCATCTAATGTTTTCCTCTGCTAGATATTAGTTAGCTTGATGATGAAGTCAGTGTCAAAGTCTTTTTTCTCTACTTGAATGATGTGGATCAGGTACTTGTATAGAGGCCTTTCGACTGGGGACGAACCCACATGCGATCAGTGTTTGATGATTCACGAGAAACTAACAGAGAGAGCTGGTCTCGGCTGCATTCTCCGTTGTCTTACTGATACCGCCAACACCGTTTAAACTTCAAACCATTGAGCTGATCTTTTCATGCTACTTTTCTATGAATGTTTCTCCCAAATCTCAGCTAATTCAATAAGGGGGTGTTATTAGATGGAGAATTTTAAGGGATTTTAATTACGGGTGGATTTTAAAATTCAATAGCCTTTTAATACAATTAAGATGGATTTGGTATGAAAGAGATGAAATCATTTGAAAAGTGTTAGGATTGTGTTTGTACGTGTTTTAGATGTAAAATACATTAAAATCTTAAAGAAAACAAAATCCATTGAAAATTGAATAACGCTTGTTTTAAAATACTTTAAAATACATCCAACAAATGTTAAATCCAATAACAGCAGATTTTATTGTGGTTTTTAAAATACATCGTTAAATAACGCTAGATTTTGAAATACATCCAAATCAATTAAAATACAAAGTTGAATAACACCCCCTAAATTATTGAAAGTTGAATAAACCGGAGAACCTAAGATCGTTTCATAAGACATTTCATAATCGAACCAACAGGTTATCGAAAATTACCGGGTGTTAAACTATATCTCATAACCAGGAAACTTAGAATCAACCGGCGACACAAGATCTAACCAGAGACATACTGGTCCAGCTAGTCCCCGGAAAAGAGAATAATCATGTTCTGTTTCCTGCCTTGTCATACTCACGAGCTCTACCGCATCATGACACAAGTAACTCGCGAACGCTTTTGCTCTCTCTTCGTATACAACATCTCCCGTTAACCGGTAAAGCGATAAGAAAGCATAGGCGTTGCCAGCAACTCCATCAGCTAAACCTACCTTCTTCACCAAGCCACTCTTCCACACTACTTCTCCTGCTTCAATGGCTGCTTCGCGGAAATCCCTTTCATTTGGAAACACCTGAGATGCTTTAGCCAAAGTAACGGCCATACCAGTTGCTCCATGAGCCCATTGGACCAACTTATCCCTCGGATTCCCTTCGCTGCACGGGTAATTTCCGCTGTTGGGGAACCTATTACTCATCATGTACCTCAATGTCCCTTGAACATCCTTGGCGTCCTCTTCAGATAATGAAAAATGTAGCAACACATACAAGATTCCAGCTAATCCATTTGCCGCACCCCAAAATCGCGTCCCATGAAACCTAAAAGCCACAAAACTAAGATAAATTCATACTAAACCGAAAATAGGATCACACTAATCTATATTGCGCTTTGCAAAAACCTGTATAACAGAGGACAAGCTTCATGATCTGCGGCTCCAACTCGTCCACCGGCTAAGATAGCAGCAACGATAGGCGATAAGAGATGATCAGGAACAGAGCCTTCACCGAGATATCGGTTAAGGAACAAAGCAGCCCAAAGGAAACCCGCTCTTCCATAGAGAAGGTCATATGACATCCCAAATCCTCCTTCCTCTGGTCCTGCCGGTAACTCTCTCTCTTCCGCAAGCTGCTCGTAAGAAAAATATATAAATTAAAGTCCACCACGCTGTTAACTAGACCAAATCTCACGAAAAGAGTGAAGATATGGTGTAAGCCAAAGAAATGAGAAATAGTAAAAAAGTCAAAAAGAAAAAAAAAATTGGAACCTCAAGAAAAAGACCGAGGAAGTGGTCACGCTTTGATAGGTCCCCTCTGTAGTTGGCTACGATTGCACCAAGTGCATAAACTCCTCCTCTTCCACATAAAAACGTCACGTGCCTATTCATTAGCATAAATCAAAATCTAATTACTACTACTATTAGTAAGAAAACGACAATTGAATTAATTTCGAATGGGTGTATAGAGATATTATTCCATAGATAAAAGATTTACATAATTTTCATGGTAGTAGTGTGAGTGACGATAATAATAATTGGATAAAATTGACATCTTTGTATTGCTGCTACTCAATCTGCCCATGTGTTTTTCTGTCAGGCAAGTTATTCAAAGTTTATTTTCAGAATATTCTTCCAGAGTGGTTAGATTACATTTTTGTGTGTGTTTTAATATCAAATATGATATTTTGATTTTGATGTGTACTCGGCTAAGGAACGTAGTGGCGAAGATATTTTCACCTGGTTGTGGCACGTGCAACGTTGACACACGTGTCGATTATCTCTGCGCAAGTAAGCAGATCTTGATGGTTCCTCGTGACCCCGTACGACTTCAAGCAGGTGAACGCTGTGCCGAGTAGTCCTGTGTACACAGACGGATCCAGCACCGCACCCGAACCTCCAGGGGAAAGAGATTCGACACCGCCTTTCCACGTGGCCTCCACAACCTATACCAAGAACACATATATGAGCCAACGTACGGTACGGGGTTCTGGTTTACGTCCTTGTCGTACGCACCTGGTTCTTGAGTAACGTTGCTGCTCTGAGGAAAGATTCCGTAGGGAGAGAAATTGACGGAGCCGACGGTTCCATATGCAAATGATCAAGCTCCCCAGTCTTTACTGTCTCTCCGACGTTACTACCATCGTCGCTGCATCTCCGCTGCTCGGCCACGAACTCCACCGCCGACGACGACATAGCTCTCTCTCTCTCTCTCACTCTTGATCTTGATATGATTATATATGTAAGAAAGAGAATCAGATACGGACGCTATATTTATATTTTAGAGGTTTTACTAACAGCCGCTATTTATATAGTTTATGGCTTTTATTTTTTCGACAAATGCTCTCTTCTAGAACTGGTCTTATACATTTATCAAAAATTTAAATCAATTAAATTGTGGATGTTATATAGCTAATATTTTTTTTTTTGTTTGAACAAGTTATATAGCTATTAATGATATGTACAATTATAACAGAAGTTCTTTTAGTTTATGGACAAAATATTTGCTCAACCCACTTTATAGTTTAGTTTATGGATAAAATTAATAATTATTGACTTTTGTTTGTGATACAGTTTAGTTCAGCTGGATATAGCTTCTTATAAAAATGCCAAAAGACTTTTTCAGTTTAATTTAATTTACATAAACTCAGCCAGATTTTGATTTTACTTTTAGGTAGTTCAGTTCAGTATGATTTTAGTTCCACAAGTGTTTCGTAGTTTTGTGCATTTGCTTATGGATGTTAGTAAAACCAATGACTATGGGCATCTTGGAAAATAAAAGAGTGGTAAGAGTACTATTAACTATTAAAAGTACTAAGAAAAATGGAAAGGGAAATGGGAAGTGGGGTTTACGGTATAGGATTCTGATTGCAGGAAGGATAGAACCTAAACGTGTGTCATGATGGTCTTGTCGGCTCTTATCATTTTGCCCGTTGGATCTGGCTAAAGGAGATATGGACGGAACGGATAGAGTTACAAGTACGAACGGTCGATGCTGTATACTTTTAATAAATCAGAGGAATACAGAGATTTGAATTGAGTTGAGAAAATCTCAATACTAAAATAAGAAAGACTAATGGAATCAGTAAATGCTTTAGTTGATGAAGGGATTAATAAGTAACTACTAGTAGTACTATTTTTAAAACAGGCAAGTGTGAACGCGTATAAATGTGAACCTTGTCAATTACGAATTAGACATTTTTTTAGTTAAGATAGTCTTCACATATGGGACATGAATCCAGTAGATTAGAGCAGTGACCTGGCAACAGCAACACGTTTGGGAAACGTGAATCACGTTATATTCCTTTCACGCGGATATTTTAACTAACTTGGACACTAACCATATGTTTTTTTTTCTAGTATTACCAAACAACTACAGATGAACTCAAATGAGAAACCACGACATAAACCTATCTTGGATGTTGGTGTCGCCAGGCTCATATTTAATTTATCAAAGTATCTTGGATGTAGGACTCATCAGGCCCAGTTTCTGACTATTAATAATTTAATATCATAGGTGAAGTCCAGCCCAGTTCCTAGAGGTAATAACTTTGTTGAATTTAAATAATTTTTCTTCAATTATAAATAAGTAGTGGAGTTTTTGTTTTGTTTTTGAAATACCACTAATTAATAAAACAAAGAAAAAATATTTTGTTTCATTCCATAAATATTCTGTGAAAGTGCGCAGCATGATCTCAGAAACTCGTTGCCTGCGCGAGAAGAAAGCATTTTTTAATTTAAACAAAAAGAAAGAAAAGTACGTTCCTTGAGAAAACAACCAATGAATGACGTTCATTACTTCCAAATTATATTATCAGAGTACTAATGGATAAAATACAACGTATCTTTCATAACGTAAAAATTATATTACTATATTAATTTAGATTTGTTGGTTGAAATTATCTAATCTTTATACAATATGAAAAGAGGAAAATTATTTATTATTAATCAGACTAATTCTCAACGAAGTTAAATATTTACGTTTCCCCATTTTTGAAAAAGAAAAAAAAGGAAAAAAAAAAAAGCTGTTTCTTCTTCTTTGTCAATGAACCGGACGGAGATCGAACCAACAAACTGAAGAAAGAAAGAAAAAACGAAAACTGAACAACAAGGGAGAGAGAGACCTTCCTCAGTTCCTCTCATCGGCGCGTTGCTCTCACGCGCTAGCATACATATAGACAAGTCGAGCGATCTCGCGGGCGGCGTAATCGATACCTTTGAAAAGCTGGGGTTGTTCTATCTGTTCGTTAATTTTGATTGATTCTACTGCATCGAGAGGGAGATGTGGGTTTTCTATCTGATCTCGTTGCCTCTAACCCTAGGATTAGTTGTTTCCACGCTCCGATACTTCGCCGGACCGGAGATTCCGCGTTACGTTCTTATCACCGTTGGATACACCTGGTTCTGCTCCGTCTCCGTTATCATCCTCGCTCCTGCCGACATTTGGACGGTAAACATATGTTTTCCTAGTTTCGTTTTCAATCTCGGACTAGTGCAATTCTGATCGAATTGGCCTTTACGAGCTTGTAGGAGTTATCTTGGTTTATTTGGAATTGAATCGTGTGTGAGATATAGTTGAAGGGCTTTTCTTCTGATGCCTGGAAAGTTTCATAAGATCATTCGTACGTAGGATTAAGATTTAGCTCAAGAAGAATGTGGTTTCTGAATACGGCTTATAGGCATATGTGAGACCTAATTTGAAATTGGTATTTGATGTTGGAAGAGTTTGACAGACTTACTTAAGGTTTTTAAGCTTGAAGTACCAGTTTTTTCGGGAGTCAAAAGTATTATGTTTAGGGATAGTAGTAAGCTTAGGTCTCTCGCCGTTGGGAGCGATTGAGTAATATTATTGAGAAAGTTTCATGGTTTAATTTGCGATGAAACAATAGCTAAATTTTGGTTGCCTTGTTTGATTTGGATTTGAACCAATACTAGGCGAAACTAGGAGATTAGATTGTCATTTGAATTTGGTTGCTTCATTTGTTCTGCAGACACTATCTTTGCAACCTGATCATCCTGAAAATGGCGCCATTTCCTTCTTATGGAGTTGGTCATACTGGAGTACGTTTCTACTCACCTGGTATGAACTGGTCGAACTTTGCAGTGCCTTTCCTCTGACACATGTCTTCCACGATATTTGTAGTACAATGTGTCTTTCTTTTGATCAATTTTAGGTGGTAAAACCAGATTATTTTTGAAAAGATTACCTTAGTTAGCATGACAGGATGTGTCCCGTGTATGTCAAATAAGTTCATATACATGATTGTTATCTTTTAGCTGTAAATTTGTTTTAGCTGACAGGAATTGAAATGCACCCCTAACAATCCATATACATTGTTTTGTAGCTAATAGATGTACATTACCAATATATTAAACTATGTTACCTCTAAACAGGGCTGTGGTGCCCCTTATTCAGGGTTTTGAAGATGCTGGAGACTTTACCGTATCAGAGAGATTGAAGACTAGCGTACATGTCAACTTAGTTTTCTATCTAGTTCTGGGATTCATTGGTCTTCTCGGTCTTATCCTTCTCATTATGATGCACAGGAACTGGTAAATTGTTCCTTCATGATTGAACATACTTATATTGGCTTTGTATCTCTTGCTTTGTCATTAGCATTTTATTGAAAAATGCATCTGAGTGTTGCAACTCAATTGCTCATCGTCTAGCTATAGATGATATATGACTCACTGGGTTTAGAATATTTGGTGCCCAATCTTTCTCATTTTTTGACTATTTGACTGAGTCGTTCCTGTATGTTAACAGGAAAGGAAGCATTCTGGGTTATGCTATGGCATGTTCAAATACGTTTGGGCTGGTGACTGGTGCATTTCTTCTTGGCTTTGGCTTGAGCGAAATACCTAAGACCATTTGGAAGAATGCAGATTGGACCACCCGCCAAAAAGTTCTCTCGCACAAAATTGCCAAAATTGCTGTGAAACTTGATAATGCTCATCAAGAACTTTCAAATGCGATTGTAGTAAGTGTTATCTGGGTTAAACAAGTTTTTGCTCTCATCCGCTTGAATATTCCCTCTCTGCTTCAAACTTGTTTAGAATTTCGTTTATTATACCTTCTTATTACATGACATCATCATTGGTGCTATTAAGATCGAGGGAGATATTCCAATTAGCAGACTTTGTATTTAAAGTGAATTTACTTCACGCAAGGGACCCTGAGTTTTTAGCAATTCAACTTTATACTGTGCTCCCTCCCGAAATTGTGAGCACAATGTATTGTTTTCTTGTCAGACTGTTTATCGCTTCATAACCATTGCCTTGCTAGGTTGCTCAAGCGACTTCAACTCAAATGTCCAAGCGCGATCCTATGAGACCATACATGAATGTAATAGATGCTATGCTGGCTAAAATGGTACTTTCACTATCCTTATATGTGTACATACATTTGAACTTTTCCAATTTTATTGATGAATCTGTATACAGTTCAGGGAAGACCCATCATTTAAGCCACAAGGTGGTCAGTTGGGTGAAAATGATATGGACTATGACACAGATGAAAAGTCGATGGCAACGTTAAGGCGCCACCTTCGAAATGCTAAGGATGAATATTATAGATATAAAAGGTATGGAGAACTTTTCTATAGGCCCTGTTTTAACTACTTGTGATATTTTATTACGAAACTCGTTCCAGTAATAGACTGTTGCTGCTGAATATATGGATATCTCAGTATAAGGAAACCCGCTCTCAGTAATGTCTTACTAAGTTACTATGGATGTTTGCAGTGAGTATCTAACTTATGTTACTGAGGCCCTTGTTCTTGAAGACACAATGAAGAATTATGAACGCCGTGATGCAACTGGATGGTCAGATTTCAATCATTTCATCTCTCTCGTACATTATATAATTATCTCTTCCGTTATTATCTTAAGTTAATGATGCCTTTTACATTAAGCATCTTTGTTACACCATATTTCAGGAAATACATATCGAGCTTCAGAGCTAGTCGAACTGGAAAAATGGGGGATATTCTTGATACATTGGGTAAGTGTTTAAATACTTCTGTACTCATTTGCTCTCCAAACCTTCTGAACGTGTTTACTGAAGTGGAAAAAAATCCCACTTCGAAATGAAAAAATATAGAACCAATGAAATCATCCCTGAATAGAGTTGCTGATTGGTTATTCATCTGTCGAAAAGTCTGGCATGAGAATTCTTTTGCACATTATTACTTTGGCAGAATTTATGTGGAGGTGTATATTGAAGAAACAAATTCAGATGGTGTTGGCAGTAGTTATGGGGATTATGTCCGCTGCTATCCTTTTAGCAGAGGCAACTCTCCTTCTTAGCAAACTGGACTTGTCCCTCTTCTCGATACTTATTAGCTCTGTCAAATCCGATGAATTGCTAGTGCAGGTATATTATACTTTACATCTCAATTCTTGCTTCGATGGAGCGTGTCATAGCTTGTTATCTTATATTAGCAAATTGTTTCAACTGACCTGTAATTTCCTCTTGAATCTTGATCACTTTGCTTCCAGGCATTTGCTTTTGTACCTTTGGTGTATATGTGCGTCTGTACATATTATTCACTTTTTAAAATTGGGATGCTGATGATTTATTCCTTGACGCCTCGACAAACAAGTTCTGTAAATCTACTAATGATTTGCTCGTAAGTGAATACCCATCCATCGTCTATTTTAATACAGTATAAAAAATATACATGCTTATAAATGGTTTATATGTATCTGCTTATAAATGGTTTATATGTATCTCTTTAGGATGATTGCTCGATATGCGCCACCAATATCTTACAATTTTATTAATCTTATTCAACTTCATTCCGAAACTATATTTGAGAAGGTATTTTTTTCATCTCACCCTTCGCGCATTATGTCTGCTTACAAGGTTTTGAAAATCAAACTAATTGGGCTTGTTTGCAATGTTTTTTATTTGTTTCTGCAGAAAATGGGTAGAATTGATGATGCTGTCCCAGTCTTTGGACAACGGTTCAATGAAATCTATCCACTCATAATGGTTATCTACACATTGCTAGTTGCAAGCAATTTCTTTGATCGCATATTTAATTACTTTGGTAGTTGGAAAAGATTTAGATTTCAAACAGAGAGCGAGGATACAGACGGGTTTGATCCTTCGGGGATAATGATTCTTAAAAAAGGTAAAAAAACCATAGTAATATTTTCTGATATTTGATCATTAACTCATGTTTTAATTCATTTTCCTTTCTTTTATAATCGTTAGAACGAACATGGCTCGAAGAAGGACAAAAAGTCGGCGAGCATGTTCTTCCATTAGCAAGGAACTTCAACGATGTTGACATTGAACCAGGAAGCAATTTCTCTGTAAGTAGTAAACCCATAATAACATATAAAAGCATAGTGTTTGTTTCAAAGCCTGACTAAGATATCTGCAGGAAAATTTTTCTGTTGAAATGAAGATGTCGTCGAGCTATGACATAGACGCAGTAAAAGGGAATTCACCGAAAGATGATATGTCCCGTAAATATGGATCAGCTAGAGAAGCAATCACTAACAAATATGCAGCCATTAGAGAACAACAGAACAAACACTCTCCATCTTCCATCACAAGACCAGAGAACATGGCTTCAGCTAAAGTGTCCTTACTGGAAACAGACAGTTCAGGTCCAAGTAGCGGTGAAGGATCAGGAGAGCCATCTTCTCGTTTGGCTTCCACATGGCGAAACATGAAACAAGGAATCCAGAGTTTTAAAGAAAATGTAGCAACCAAGAAGTTTCTTCCACTAAGACAGGGCCCAGAAACAACAACACTAACCAGCACAAGCAGAGTAGTGACTTCATCAGTGCCACAGTCGCTAGATGAGATATTCCAGAGATTGAAAAACCGGTCAGTAGACCACGGGCCCTATCTCGATGACGATGATGAAGTTTGACTACGAAGATGGTGATGAAAACTGAAAAGAGACTGCATTTAACAGAAGAAGCTGAGTGAAAGAAAGCAAAGCAAACACCAGATTTGGTCACCCATACTCCCATAGTATAGAACAATTTTACAAGAAACTGATGAAAAGCTAATTTGAATGTTACAAATCTCATAACGGAACATTCGGAAGGGGCCATTTTTTTGTGTTGTAGGTTTTATATGTTCAATGTTAATTACTTATTATAATATACTTTTTTGGACCATTTGATATACATAAATTTACCGTTATATATAATGAACAAAACAGCTTTCTTTATAAGTTCTATTGATTAAATTTCTTGATTATAAAATCCATGACTCCTGTGACCTGTGATGCCAAATTGCAAATAACAAGTCACTCGAACACGCAAGTTTAGGATATGATCGAAATCACTGATTGGTTGGTCAAATCAGAGGAAATTTTGGTAGTATCATTTGGTCAATTTCAGTATGTAATACTAATCTCTATAAAAAAAAAAATTCATACATATTATCAGAAAATCACTTTCATCATTTTCCACCATTTTTAATATCTTTATCTGTAACTGTACACATCAAAAATAAAATTTCAGAAGGAAAAAAAAAACTAAAATTGGGTCAATTTAATAAACTCGTTGCCGTGAATTAGTAACCAATCCACCGACGTCGGCAGCAGCACCGCCTTTGCCTTTCAGGTGAAGCAACTTAGTCCAAAACCCAGTCTTCTTCACCGTAGTAGATTTCAACTTCTCCTTGGTCTTCTTCTTCGAATCCCTAACAATATTGTAATCCCTGGGAACATGCGCCATAGATCTGCTTTTCTTCAACCCTCCACCTAAAGCTTCAATCAGATTACCACTCAACGCTTCCCTCACAGCGAAAGACATCGACATCGAACCAGCTCTCCGATGATCCTTCACCGCCGGAGACGACGGAGAAGACGAAACGGTTGTGGAAGAAGCAGATCGATCATCGGATCGGTGGATGACGTAGTACGACGTCGTATTAGGTAGTCGAGAGAGTTTATCTCGTAAACAAGAAGGGCAAACTCCTTTGTTGCCATGGTGGTTGTGTTTTCTGCATTCCATTTTTCTAATTTTCTTCTTCTCGTCGTCTGCTAAATTTTCTCGGAGAGAGTTGTGTAGTTATTTATATATATATACACACGCACACGCGCACGTGCGTACCTACGTGTGAAATGTTGCCACGTCTGCTTCAACGTCGGTATATAACCAAAGAAAGGGTCATTTAAGGTTTCGCTGTGTTGACGGGGCTTTCTTAGAAGTAACATCTCTGACGTGTAAAGGACCACTTATTAAAATTTGAGCCATATTACTGTTTTTTTTTTCAATCTTTTCATTTTACGCTGATATTGCTTGGTTATTATTGCATTTCACAATTTAGAAAATGATTGTTGTTCTTTTTGTCAAACTTTACAAAATGATTATTTGTATTAATACTCAAAATATCTAGCGAAACAAAATCGAAACAATAGATATTTGCCGTAAAACTATAGTTTTTTTCTTCCTTAAATTGATTTGAACTCTAGATTCTTTACTTTACTAGTGTCAACTAAATAAATGAAAATATCCAACTAAAATTTGGAATATAGTTTAGTATCTTTAAAAATCTTGGATTCAAGTATCTTTTAATTTTATTTTTATTTCTTAATAAGCAAAAAAAACTGTTTAAAACTTTAACTAATCATTTTAAGTTATACTCCGTCTTTATTTAATATTTATAAAACTTTAGACACGTATTTCTCATTTTTGATTTAAGCAATTTCGTTTATGTGTTTCCAAATTCAGTTACCAACAAAAAAAACAAACCTAACTAGAACGTCCAGATATTATGGAACAGTTAGTAGTTAATGAATAGCGTAGAAAATGGTATATGTAATTAAGTGAGAGAGAGAAGTCACAGGACGCTAATTATATATATATATATATATAACTCAATTTAGATTCACATGAAATATATAAAATTTCAAAGACAAAGAAGACAATAAGGTCAACAAAAGAAACGCAAAAAGATTGATAAGGATGGACGGCTCTGATTTAACACACAAAAAAAAACACTGAACATGTTATGGGACCAAATTGTTAGGTATCATCTCTGACGGTGACCGTTGGCCGGTGGACTCGTACTCGCAGTCTCGGAGTCGGACACGGACTCTCGCTTTGTTTGTATAAACCGCGTACGTACGTAAAACCCCAAAATAAACAAACCCACTCGTGCGCAATGCATTAAACTTAAATTTTTTTTTATTAAAACCTACATTGTACGTGACTTTGTGGTAATATTCATTTCTTTCTTGAAGAATGGTGCGCCGTATGCTTCAATTTCGTGCGCACGTGAGTGTGTAGTCAAAAAGGACGACCATAGTTTATGGGAAATTGAATATAGAAAATCTAGAAGTTTGTACGGTTCATGATCGTGGGAATGAGTGATTTTATTTGATTCATCTTTAATCGGATTACAAAGTAGATCCTCTTATTGTATTTATTAACTAATCCGGAATGACTCTATTCATTCGATGAACCTTCCTATAACCATTACTAAATGATTATATATTTAAAAACATGTTCTATGAACCTCGCCAACCAAAAAAAAAACAAATCAATATAGAAAACTCCAGTAAAAGCAACTTCACTTCTCACGTTAATGTTTTTCTAGGTCTTTTTCTTTTACATAATAGCACGAACATATTAATTACATAGTAAGAGATTGTGTTGATGAAAGATGGAATTATATAAAGATCTTATGATATATTTTTAATATACGGAGCAAGTACTATTTAACACGCATTCGTGCTTGAGAAAATGATAGTGATGGGCATGTAATTAGTGAGGAGTTCGGCTTTTTGGATAACTAGAGAGGCCCAGAAGCCCAAGTAGATATGATATAACAAGGAAGCTTAAAACATAAAATATTGGGGTGAGAGAGGCTCGAACTCTCGACCTCAGGATCACTCAGTAGCTATGAGACCTACGCGCTAGCCAACTGCGCCACCACCCCAATGTTGTTGACTTCCAAAGTAATATTTACTTATACAAATACATTTATGAACACTGAAACTCCCAACCCTTTTTTAAGTTTAAGGGGTACTGTACCAGAGTAAGTACATACTAACATTAAGGAGCTGTTGGCAAACGAAACAAAAGGTACGTACAAAATCACATATAAAGACTAGTATAGTATATAGTTCAAGGGACAGAATCTTTATGAATGGATCAGCTATTGTGCATTTAAATTTCACTTAAAAATCGCCTTTTATGGGTTAGTCATCCAATTCGTCAGAAATGGACCAACTTGTTACATTAAATCACACTGTCACTCATGGAGAAAGCGAGGGACAAACGACCATTCGAAAAGAAAAAAAAATCGAAGAGAATTGATTAGGGTAGATGCATGTAGGTTTGCTAGTTTTTCTTTACCTTAAATTGAAAGCGACTAAAATTATGATGGGACATGAATTATCCAGCTCTAGTGTTTAGGTTACATCACATAATTAGTAAATGACATGTTAACACAGAAGTATCTCATTGCCATGGGCGTGATCATTGTGAAGTAGGAAATGCAAATTGGAGCCGAGCCGAAGGGTGAAGGAGGAAATAGGATAAGCCGAGCGGGTAAGTCTCAAGAGTCTTCATGACTTCATATATATAACTCCGAGGCATATGGAGGAAAGGGTTTTAGTGCTGCATACGTGAGAAGAAGAAGTGGTCAACTTTGGCTGACGGGTGAGAATCTTGGGTCCCTATTAGTGACATGACAAAAGCCGAGCTTCTTTCTGGACCCCTACAACGATACATCTATTTTTGCTAATTGCAAACAACAAAAGTACGTAGTGCTATTAGTTTTCAAGAAATAATGTCAAATATCATTTTGAATTCGTTTCTAATTTTAGTTTCGGAATCACTTTCTTCGAATAGAGTTTGACTTGTAGAAATAAGAAAGACAACTGCAACGTAATCGGATGATGAAATTGACTAAAATTTTCGAATTTCACAGGATATGATGATGAATTGATGATGATGATCTTCAAATAATATTAAAATTTCTCTGTGTACGATCGGTTATTCCAGCTATCGCATAATTTTTTTTTTTTTTATACGATACGAGCTAGCTAGTATACTTTTAAAAATATTGAAAAATGTGGAAACAGCATATATCCTTGGAGTTTAAGCGCACATGCATGGTTGGGAACTTGGGCAGCATCAAGTTGGCATTATACAACATTCTCGACCAAAATTAGAATCTTTCTTCTTATTTTTATTTTTTTTATAAGATATATATATTATAAATTTTGTACCAAAACAATAACGTTTCTGTTTTCTGATTGGATTAGTTGGTAAAACCTTTATTTCTCAAATAAGAAATAAACACAAGACGAGTTATATCATATATGTGCTCCAGCCTCTCTGATTATCATTAAAAATGTTATCATTCAGAAAGACTATATATAAGTTATACAGTATTGACGTATAACTTGGAACTCCCATAAATGAAACAAAAACACTAGAGTAAAAGTGTAAAACTAAATTTTCAATATTTAAATTTGATTGATTTGATATCATTTCTATGATATTTTGATTAATTGAGCAATTAAATACGTACTACGTACACGAAACAGAAGCATCGCATTGAGTTGGAAATTTTACAAGCGATAGAGGAGCAATAAAGTAGGCTTAGGTAGGCAAAGAAAATGGTGTACCAAAGTTTAAAGCTATAAAGGGATAATTGTATTAATAATCACAATTTGCAGATGTATAATAATAATAATAATAATAATAATAATAATCGGTAACATAGTGGTAATATTTCTATAAGGTAAGTAGCTTTAAGTCTTTTGGCCGTATCCGTAGATATGCCTACGACGAGTAACGCGTCCAACAATGCAAGGAGGAACCCTTTATTTTATTTTTTGTTGCTGCAGAGACAGTATCGTCGTGGTGTTTGGATTTAATTCAGATAGAACCGATCGTGGTAATTTCAATATAACCATGGATGGTTTTTGTCATATGGGTAGAGGTACATACATTGAAGGTCACTTTTTCTTTTTGCTAAATATTATTAAGAGACTAAGACATATTATATTATGAAATAATCGTATATATGCATGCATGCATTCATTCTCATACTTCAACCAAAGAAATACAAATAAATTTTTAAAGATATATATAGAGCAAACAACAAAAGTGGGAGAGAAAAGAAAAGAGAAGAGATACCCTAAAACAACAGCATAATGGCTGTATAGACAGAGTGGAGCATGTCACCCCAAGTGTAAACTAATGATCAAAATTATTCCCTCTCAGCTTATACTTTCACTAATTTAATCTATTAATTATCAGACAGCCAATCATAGTTACGATTTATAATTAGTAGTTAATGTTTTTGTAATTGAGTAGTGCGTACGTATATGTAGTTTGTGCTAAACAATTAAAAGTTGAATGATAGTGGAAGTCGACCTGAACAAACTTTATTTGCTATTGTTTTTCGAGGAATGAAATTCCCATCTATATTACTAAATCCCCAATTGAATATTACTCGAATTTTACTTTGTGCCAACATCTTTTGTATTGTAAAGTTTCACAAAACTTTTGTTATCCCCACAAAACTTTTGTTATCCCCTCTATTGTAGAATTATTTTTTTGACCAGAAAAGAAAAAAAAATAGTATTTTGACGGCGGTAAATGATGAAACACGTGCAAATAATTAACCATGACCGTGTAAAAGAAAAATAAAAAGGTGTACGTGTGAAAAAGAAAAAAAGAAACAAACGGTGACGCGACGGCGTTTTAAAAGTGACGTGTTCGATGTAAAAGTGGGACCTACTCACATGGGCTCTCCACCAATGTCTTTGTCTGAAAGCGACACACCGCTATAGTCTCCTGGGCTCTACTTGGGCCCTACCTCTGCTTTTTGGGTTTTTTTTAATTTCTTTGGCCCCTTTCTCTTACAATTAAAATATATATATATAACTAGATCTCGTGCAAATCTAACACGTGTACGGCTGCCATGTCTTGACATCTAGCGAGATTAGGATACGGTATCGCGCCGCATGGAGATAAAACCCCAACTTAAACAAATGTGTTTTTTTCTGTAACTCTTTCAACAGAATCCCATGTGCATCATCTCTCCACTTCCTCTTGTCTGACATTTTTATTTATTTATTTATTATTATTATTTTCTCGCAGTTTCTTTCTTCTTTATTATATTTGAAAGTATATATGTATATATATATATGTATGCATGGTGTGTAGATGATGAAAAACAAAAAGAAATGAAATTATAAAAACAACATCACCCGAGAAGACGGGTAACTACTCGATTTACACTCGAATCTAATACTTAAAACAACGACTCTTTCGTTGATAGTTAATGGTTTCCATTTGTAACGTTGTATCACTTGTGTGACAATGACTGTCACCCAAACCCAAAAAAAACTCACAATCAATATATCACTAAGCGGTGAAAATATGGTTACGAAATGCCATGGTACAAAAACAAAAAGAATTAATGAAGCGAGACAATCACACTGCCACTTTTGTACTATAATGTTTTTTGAACCGGTGGAAAATATGGTAACAACTAGTAAGAGTGTTATCTCGTTACAACAATTTCATTTCATAGTTCCACTTCCACGAGTAAATTAGTAAAAGAATTGAGCATTATCCTTATATCGGCGGATGGAAACATATATATATATATATATTTGAATAAACAAAAGAGCATACGAACGACGGGGCTTTTGTTGCAGCAAAAAGGCAAATTAAACAATGGCTTTAGGTAACGAGAAAAGCAACCAAGTAACAAAAGGAGAAAAAGGAACGGCTACAAACAAACACGGATATTTAGGGAGGATCCAAATCATGCGGCTCGGCTTTTCATGTTTCCTCTCCATGTCCTTCACTTACTACTTTGTCATCTCTTAAAACAATACCCTTCAAAACACAAGTAAATTATAAAAATTTGCATGTGATCTGAACGTTATCTTCTGCGATTTGAATGTTGAACGTTGTCATTATCCACAAACAAGCTAATCAAAACTTAACTCATTACAATGTAGTAAACTTATCACCACCTTATAATAATAATGGACTAACCTTCCTACAGAGATTCTCAGTTTAAAACTATTGTCCATGTCAATTATTTTGGGGTTAACAGGCATATCATTTAGTTGACGGATCGACATCTCAAATTAAGACCAGTCTTAATCTCAAAAGAATCAATTCTTATTAGCAATCGTATCATGTCGACTTTTGAAACAGATCAATGACAGACATTAAAATTGTACTGTATAACGTTTTTTCAAAAGTCAGACTCATTTCTGTAAAAAGAGACCTCATACATAACATCAAAGCTAATAAAAATGTAGGGCAACTATTTCATTTGCAAGCCTGTAGTAGAATCTTTTGAGTTGTTGTGCTCATAATCAGAATTTGAAGATTTTATTACTGTATGCTCAATTGCTCATAAACTAAAGATAATACAGTAGTCGTAATTAGGATTTATCATCACATTTGACGGATTCAGCTACGCATTACTCATAAACTAAAGATAATATAGTAGTCGTAATTAGGATTTATCATCACATTTGACGGATTCACCTACGCAACATTATTCTTTAGGTAAGAAAATAAAACGATTATTTTTGTCATAATAATTATGATTTATTCCCGATAAATTCAGACTATTTTTTGTCCTTCTCTCTTCAACGTTGAACAGATTACGGCCGCACGTGCATGGAACCGCACGTGATCTCTCGGTTTTTACCCTTCTCGCGTCACTTTCCCACTTTCCCAAATAAGACCCCAACATTTTGGGTAAAATTCATTTTCCCACCACATCTCCCCTTCAGTGATATTTGTTTTTACATACCCCCTAAAGTTTTTATATTTTTTCAATTCTACCCCAAACTTTTACGAGTTCCACTGATCGGAGCAAAACCACTGTTCATTGTCCGCAAACAACTTGCAAGCTTCTTCTCCACTGAACAGATCTTCATGCTCTTCCATCTTCACGAATTGGCTGAAACAACCCATCGTCGTCGACATTTCCACCGCCGTGGCCGCCACTGCACCTGCCGCTTCAACGGTCGTGGGACTGTACTCTTCGTTCAAAACCGCGCTCGAGTCACTGCTATCCGCAGGATCTTCTTCTCTGAAGCTTTCGGTGCGTGGAAAAATGCTGAACATTTCGTATGCTAGCTCCGACGTCGGAGCTTCCGTAGGAATATGCGGTGGAGGTGGCGGAGGACGCTGGTTTAGCTCTAAGACTTCATTATTATTAGCCATCACCGTCTCATTTGCTTCCGCCGCTTTGACAACGCCGTTCTCTTCTACACCATTGACCCCATCCACGTTAAGTTTTGCTCTCAACTCTTTTATCTGCAAAATGTAATGTAATTATTATTCCAAGTTGTGTAATTAATTAATAAACATGCAAACTTTTGAGTTTAATATCAAATTATTTATGTTAAATAACTCGATTAAAAAGTATACACTAAAAATGATACCTGTCCAAGGAGAGAATCGTTATCGCGTTGAAGCGAGTCGCGGCTGCGTTTGAGTGCATCAAAGTTAGACTTAAGAACGCCGTAATCACGTTCGAGCTGCTTTGTCTTCCACCGAGCACGGCGGTTCTGAAACCAGATCGCGACTTGCCGCGGCTGCAGCGCAAGCTCTTGAGCCAGCTTCACTTTTCTCTCCGGCTCCAACTTGTTATCGATCTCGAAGTTCTTCTCTAACGCTTTCACTTGCTCCACACTCAACCGCCGCTTTTTCTCGGCCGCCGTGGAAGACGCGTGTCCGACGCCTCCCATGTCATCTAGACTTCCGTCGTCGTCTAAAGCGTCGAACATCTGCGAGTAGTCTCCGGCGCCGGAATAGAGGAAGCCGGTGTTTGTTGGTCTTGGACTTATTTGTTTGTCTGCAAAAAGGGAAATAAAAAAATCATTAATCACGGTAGTACATTAGAAAAAATAGTACAGTATTGTATTTAACCAATCCCATGAACGAATAATTTCAATCAAAATAATAGAATAATTATGATGTCATGAGCAAAATCACAAAACCTTTGTCAGGATAACGTCTCGATTGTAGGAATTGTCAGACATCTTTACTTAAATTTATTAAGTTAATAGTAATACACAATTACAATAAAGTTTGTACTTAAAGAGCTATTGTTAAATGTTAATTGTAAAGTTCATAAGTATTTTAGCTAATGAACATCAAAGACATAAGAATTGCAGCTTCAGAACTGTATAAGTGTTAATATTATACAACTTACAAGCAAGACTCATTTTTGTTTTTTTTACCTGTAGTAGAAAGGCGAATTGGTAAGAAAGCGGGTAAAGAATCGGAGCTTCCACGTGATCTCTTCATATTCTTTGGTCGGAACTAATGAGATGGTAAATTATACTAAAGAAGCGAAAGAAAGGATTAGATGGATCGTAATTGATTAAAATCAATCATCTCTAAACGACCAATACGTGAAGAAACGATCCTCTCTCTTCTCTCATTTGCTTCGCCTTTATCTTCTCCAGAGGAAAGGAGAATCTTTTGATCTCTGTGTGAATTACACGACTATATTAATATCCCATCAAAGATTGAAAACATAGAATTGACTTTTAATTTATCAGGTTTTCTCGGGAAAATATTAGCCAGAGAGAAGAGAGGTTTCAAAGTTCGTATAGAAGAAATTTGTTTTTCCCGAGGAATCCAAATTTCTAAAAGAGAGATAGAGAGAGAGAGAGATGGCTTCTCACTCCATCTCCGGGTTTTAAATAAGACAGGACAGGTTAACCCTAGGGAAAGTGTTGGAGATATCTTTGAGTTTATTTCAAGAATTTCGGGCGATCCTTTTTTTTTTAATAAAAAAACCTATAAAATTAAATGCAAAACCAGCTTACAATGGTTAGAGACACCGGTTTACTCATGAGAGCCTGATCCAGAACCAGGATCTAAAACTTATGCCCTATGGTCTGCCCATTGGGGTATCAGCTCGGCTACTTTGGAGCCGCCGGTAAAGATTCATTTAAACTAGATCGTACATCATTAGTTTCTTTCTTTATTAAATTATAATCGTTAGTTTCTAATACTAGTATGTTTTTGTTATACATATCTCCTCTGTTAAATAGTGACTTTAGATTATTTTCACTTTTAAAACTTAAATTACATAAAAATTTGTTTCGTTCGATGTTTTATAACTATTTGTTGTTCATTAGATGTTTTTAAGTAAAAACAGTTAATGTAAATATAGGATCAAAAGAAAAATGTGGACTCCCAAAATATTACTTTCTATTTCATTTTCATTTTCTACAATTAAAAAAAAGGAGTTGTTTTGTTAAATTAGGGTTTGTTATGAGCTTCCAACTCAAATCCAATTGGCAATAAGTGGATTGGTGCTAACCCTTTATATATTACTTAAGTTTTCTCACATCTTCCGATATGGGATCTTTTCTTCGCATGTTTGAATGTCATTTGTTTATCTCAGTTTATACTTTTAAATTTGTTATTTACCAAAGTCACTATGGAAAACAAAAAAAATTAAGAGATCAAGGTGTGTTGTAATATGGTCGAAATGGACTATATCTACAGACTACAGTAGAGTTGATATTTTTCCAATTAAAATGTCATAATCAATCGTAGTATTAATACACTGGACCAACCATTCATTTTATATACAATTAATATAGACATGGGTCATGGAGTGTTATGTATATATATCGCAGATACACACGCAATGAAATATACATATATTATTATATAAGAAAGAAATATAAAAAAGAAAGTTGAATAGATGAAGTCGGTCCAGTAGTTGGCCATGCAAATTGATTTGCACCCAAAATACTTTTTTTTAAATGTGGGTCAGTATTTAGTCTGGCATTCATATTCATACAAATATACGGACTATAGAATATACATGATTTGTATTCAATTTCTTTAGTTATATGTATTTGAGAGTTATATACGAAGAACATCAAAATAATAAAACATAGTCTGTCTATCTTTCTAGTATTTAACAATGATCATGATTAAAGTCCCATCATATTTTAACCCCAAGAGGGATTAACTATATATATGTTATGATATACTTTTGTTTGCTCGTCATTTGCATAATGGCATGAGGTAAACATTTCTAGTTCATAGTTGCACACAGACATGTAAATGTTAATATAATAGTAGTAAATAGGAGAAGGGTATGTGGTGTACAAATGGTATTCACAAATTGCAAAATAGTTTTAAAATCGAGTAATGGGAAAGGCGACAGAGCTTTGATGAGATAGCTGTCTGTCTCTGTAACGATCTTTGCCCATTTACTACGAAAAAAATTAAAAAATATATTCTTTAGAATATATCGTAAAACATTAGATCCTCTAATCACCTTTTCTAAATAAAAATAATTTCGTAGTTTCCATGTTTTACCAATTACAAATTTCCTTGTAACCGAGAATTTAGAATTCAATAATTTTATAATAAAATAAATATTTGAATTTCTTGCATTTTATTTTGTCGTTGATAATATGTATATTTCAAAGTAGGTTTTACTTTAGCAAATGTTTTAGAACCTCATAATGCAAGTTTACAAAAAATAAAAATCTAACAATTAATGTAAGAAGTAAGGTAGATTTGTTGTTTTGACAAATAGTAATTAACAAAAGGAAAAGCATATAAAAGCAAGGTGGAAAATAAAGAAAAAAAGGTTCTTGGAGTTGAGACTTTATGTTAAATGTTGATATATTAGTAAAGAATTTAGCCATTTATATAGTGACATACTGACATGATGATTTCGTATGTATCCATCTAAAATCTTAAAATTGAAAGGCCTAAAAAAAGTAAAAGAGGGTTTGGAGTATTACATTAAAAATATAATCTTATGTATACGGATCGTTTGGTCGATGAGCTGGTTATCCTATGAAAGCAACTAATTCCACTAGATTCTTGATGCTTTAATTTTTTTTTGGTCTTCTAGAAACATTGACCACGACGTGAATGAATGAATGATCAATTACATAATCTTAGAAAACCAAAAAAAAAAATCTGAAAATTACCACCCCTCGCATAAAACAATTATCTTAAATACGAATATTAAAGGTTACATTACCAAAAGATTTTATTCAAATGCGTCAACATTTTATAACATCTCTAACAATATGCAATATGTCAGATTTAAAATCTGGAAGATACAACAATGGTCATATTTGGAGAAAATTTGTAAATTGGGCTTTTTGGGTTCTACTTTTTGCTTTCCTTCATCAGATGTTTCGGCCACCTATATACAAGTTTTAATCGTAGGAAGAAGAAGCTCGTTCGTAATCTAATATCTCATCCGCCTCACGGTTAAGCTAAAAGGCCCAATCCAAGTCTGGCAATTTGAAGCCTCTCTATACACTTTGTTTGACTTATATGGGGCTTGATTTTTTTTTTTTTTTTTGGTCACCCCAGCTTGATTTTATTTATATAAATAATAGAATTTCAATGTTAGCTAATATAATTGTAAAAAAAGAAATTTCAACTTTCCTCGTGAATTCTTCTAACGACTTCATGCACCGCATTTGCGATCTCGTTAATAGAAGGCGTCAATTGACAACTTGCCTCTACCTAATCCAGGAAACAAATTATTTCAAGGATATCAATTAAAGTTGATGTTTTAAAACCAATAATAGTTAGGTCAAACTAAATATAAAGTTTATGTTAACCGAAAAATTATGTTATCAATATTATGATCCAATTACCTTGACGCCAAAAGTGAAGAGAGACATGTCTTTGGATTTGTAAGTTGTGAGGTTGAGATGAAGAGTACTTAATCCCAAAGAGTAAAACTCATTGATCATCTTGAAAAGCAATCTTGGTCGTGTCTTTGTTAACACTTTAATGTTGGCATGCCTTTCTACCATTGTAACCTCCACGTCAGCAACTGCCGTTAGTTTCTTTTGATGGTGGTGGCTCGAGGAGAAGGAAGAGGCGGTGGCAGTGGAGTATTGAGGGAACATGAAGAAGCTGGAGAATATGTTTGGTGATTCATTGGGTTTAGTAGCTTTTGATTGTGCTTCGAGTGATTGAAGAAGTTGTTCTAGCTTCTTCACGTAGTTAATGGTTCCTTCTATGATTGATGCTTGGTCACACTATCAAAATTAACGTACGGTAAATCACAAATTATTAATTAGCTTCTATAATTGTATTTAAGATGAATTAAGGAAAAACATAATATAACTGAACATTTAGCTAATAACGTTTTCAGGCGCCTTATACCTAAGATACAAATATATGCTAAGAAAATAAAAAAAAGATAGAATGAAACTCACAGGTTGAGAATAAGAGAGAGGCATCGAAGATTTGAGAACAGAGAGAAAATGATTCATCTGTCTTCTCCGGTTACGCTCGATGGCAATGTGATTCATTCTTTGGTTCTCTTTATCTTCTATTTTTTTATCACTTCTTGTTGTCCTTGTCCTCTTCCGCGGTGGTACGTTGTCGGCACTGGAACCACATCGTGGTCGCAGAGAAGATAAGTTTTGAGTTGAGTAAGATTGTTGCTCTGCTATGGAGCAAGAGAGTGTCGTTGAAGAAAGGGAATTATTTTGCTGTGATGACTTTAAGTCTTCAGAGTTCGAAAAAACCATGTTTTGGAAGAAATCCAAGATTTCGTAGTTTAAGGATGATTCCACAAGTGAAAATCCATAAGGGTACTCTTGTTGAAACATCATACTTAATTAGTCTCTCTTTTTCAACCAAACTAAAAACGAACACAAGAAAATGGAAAGGTTGATTAATAATGGCTATGTATACATACATATAAGACATGATGATGCCCTAGCTAGAAACCAACGTACACGAATTATATAATGTGATGAGATGTGTGTTTTTAATTAAGTACTAATATTAAGTACAGCTGGCGTTTCCTAATTACATTACGAATTTTGAGACATATCATTTGCAGACTTCATAGTTTCGACAAAACACGCTACCATCGTGTAATTAAATTAGTAATAGCAACCTCAATTCAATGCTGATTTTGTGGTTCATAGTTGACATGTACACAATTAGCAGAAATATATATATCAATGCAGTTTGATTATATAATAAGATCAACTATTTTGTTTTATTTTCACCAAACTTTATTGTTTATACATCGTCATAAAAACTCTTACGTGTATTACTTATCAAATCTGCAACGACTAATAAGGTGTAAACTAACATATCAGACACACACACACACACACATATATATATATATATATATATATATATATATATATATATATAATAAAGTCATTTCAAATCTGCAAGTAAGTTATAATATACATCACGAACTCGCGAAGCCGTTTCTTTATCGGTCGATAAACAAAAAATTTACTATCTAAATTTTTTTCGACCTAACTAAATATGAATATATTTATTTGTGATTGACAATCACAATGTCGTAATCACAATGTCGTTTTACATGATATATTGGTACTTTTCATCTAATAGAGAAAACGAAAACTATGCTAGTTGTGAGTTGAATATTATTCGTGATTTAATTTTTGTTATATTGGATCGTCGTTATGAATATGACATTAGTTGTCGTCTATAGTTACGCAAGCTGGTTACTACATTTGTCTACTTCCACATCCCCAATTATTGTGTATTTTCTTGACTAATATATAAATACAACAAAAAAATACTAGTAAAGGTATCCCATCCACAATATGATCGTGATGCACGCGTTTACAGTGGTAATTTTCCTAGTGAGTTATTGTTAGATATCAATTTCTATCTTTTGTTTTTCAAAACTATATCATTTTATTTTTTTTGTCAACAATTTTCCAAAACTATATATGTACAGTATATCACAACGTTCTATTCTAAATGGGAGAAACATTTTCTAACTTTTTCGAAAATGTTTTTAACTTTTTTTGTTCTCTGTTAAAAAAGTTCTTCATTAAAACTAGATGATTTACATGAAAGTTGTTTGCATAATAATAGGACTATTATATGGTTCTCGTCCAAAAGAAATCATATGTTCTTGGGTAATTTTGTGAAGTAAATATAATAAATGGAAAAAACCTAGAAATTAAATGCAAAGTTGATCTGAAGTATTTTCCTTTTTTTCCAAGTTTTTGTTACAGAATTAATAATAACATAGTCGAATCTATGATGTTTCTCAATCATATGTTTCCTTTTTTTTATAGTCTCAAAAAAGAGTGCCATCGAGAGAGTAATAAATTTAAGTTTCCCTTTTCATCTTAAATCTATGCAAAAAATTGGAAATCGTATAAGCGCATATCTACGCATGCGAGTTTCCGTAGGCACCAAGACATCTATACAGTATCAACTATCGAATTCACAATGTTTCACCCTCAGTTTCATAATTCTTCTCGAGTAAAAAAAACCTAATTTTTTGCTGTAGAATCAAGGGAAAATCACGATGAAGCAAGATACATCTTCTTCGTCTTGTAATTCAACAAGTTTAACCAACAGACTTAACTTAAGACCATATTCAAGAAAGCTTACGAGCTTTCAGTTCTCTGTGCGATTGAGGTTTGCGTCATCTATTACGGACCAGACGGCCAATTGAAGACATGGCCTAAGGAGAAAGAGAAAGTGAAAGACATTGCTTTGAGGTATAAAGAGGCCAGAAAACGCAAGAAGAGCCTCAATCTTCATGAGTTCCTCGAGAAGGAGAAGGATAAGGACAAGGACAAGGTGACGACGAATTTGAAGAAGAAGAATGTGAAGTATCCTCATTGGTATCCAAAATTTGATCACTACTCTCCCCAACAACTCTCTCAATTGATTCAGTCCTTAGAACGAACTCTCTCTAAACTGCAAGAAAGGCTTCGTGTTGTTGAGGCGAAGAAACAGAGGAACAACACAAACTTGGTTCATCCGAACCAACACTTGAATCCTGAAAATTTCTCGCTGTATATGTACAACCATGACGATGCTATTCTCTCCCAGCCCCCTTTCAATGCTTCACACGCAAATCTACTCAGCAATTACCAAAATCACTTGATGAAGCAGGAACTTTATGATTTTGGCCAGAACATGTGTATGGACAACATAACCAACACAAACTTTCACCATCCTTGTTACTCAAACACACAAGGCTACGCACCGTTACTTTCAGTACAAAGCATCTGTAGTGAATAACTATGGGTTGACGAATCACTTAACGCAGCAGAAAGAGCTTAATGGTTTTGATCAGAACATGGTTTTGATGAGTAATATCACCAACAACAACGGTCTCTCAAACACAGTTCCACATGAGTTTTATCCAAATGAGCTAGGTTGATGAGTAATATCACCAACAACAGCGGTCTCTAAACACAGCTCCAATACTATTCAGCGTCGAGAATTTGTTATAAGGGCCTATTAAAGAGACTCCACATACCTTGAATTTATTACTTTTCAAGCCCATTTAGAGTTAGATGAAGATAGAAAAATTGGGGCATTTAAGGACGTTTTATACACTTATGGTAACGTTTAGATTTCCCGCTTAACGCCGTCATTATTCCTCGTCTCTTTCGTCCACAAAACGCCAATCTCTTAAACGCAGAAGTTAGCGTAACGTTTTTTTATGTTATCATTTTCGTATGTAGTTTATCTGTTTTTGAGATTGTGGCCTAAAACAAGAAACAATACATGGTGTAGCGGATCGGGTTTAATCAATTTATGTTTTGTTTCTAAATTATTACTTTTTGGTATCGAATAGTAGGATTAACTACGCTAGTACCCTAAATTTAAGAATTCCAAATGTTTATGCATTCACCTTCCAATTTTTGTTCCTCTCAAAATTCGATAATGAAGCTAAATATATAAAAAGTGAAGAAATTGTGGATCATAATGTTACATTAATAGAGAATTTTAGTTTGTGGTTTATATTGATCTTTGTTTTATTTTATATGGCTAAAAAGAAAAGAACAACATTGGAAAGACAGAGGGAATCAACAACAGCTAAGACCAACCAGCTTGCCATTTTCTCTAAGCAAACAAAAGTAATAAAGTCACGAAATGAATAATGTTTGTAATAATATAACTACATAAATAAGTTATCTGGTTCTGCTCCATATATATGTATCATGTATGTGTAAAATTAATGATTATTTAAATGTAAAGTTGTTAGTGTTCTTGTAGTGAAGGATTCGCCGCGTGGACTCTTATTATTCTCCCATGATGAGTCTCGACCCTCTCTCTCGTTGACCTCAACCCCACGTACGAGCTTTTCTTTATTTAAGAGCTGAGAAATATAAAAACTAACTCCATGGATCATTTTCACATATAATTTGTGTCGTGTCTATAGGAATTAAAATACACGATTTATTTGTGAGTACTGAGTACCTTCATTTTTGGTAAATTCCTTAAATCGGCAAAAATAGAAAAGAAATTCTGATCAAACCATTTTTGTTACCAAATATCCGGATCTTTTCATGGTCACAAAATTTGCAAGTTATGGCGATCCCGTTTGATTGATTGGTTGATCAACGTTAACCATCAATTGTGTTTTCATCAATTAAACAAAATAATATAGACGAATTTTTTTATATACGTTATCGTTATAGAAACTAGCAATATTTTGTAATATAATTGCTATTATCATTTTTATACACTTATGTATATTAGTTTGTAAAGTAGATATATATTGTTATAAATAATTGTTTCCGGTGGTGATTTAATACTTTTTAGTTTTCCGTTGGTGATTTTATACATGTATACACACATTCTATTTGTAAACATGGCCAACTAATATCATTAACTTTATTCCCCAAACTTATTGACAATAATAGAAAGTGTAAAGATATATACATTATAGAAAATTAAAAAACTTTGCACTATAAGAAACACATGAACACATGGTCACCACTACTGCACATATACAAGTTGAGATCATCAAAAAACTATGCTTATTACATTTTCATCTAATTAAGCACGGCTTAAAAAAACCACGAGATACAATAACCGGTTTAGTTTGCCTATTCGGAAATAGTAGAAAAAGAAAGAAAAAAAAAAACCGACCGGTGAGTCTCAGAAATAATCCCAACGTATGGTATGCAAGTGCACCGACTGATGTCCTTATGCTAGAAAAAAAAACGATCCAAGATCATTTTCTTGACGATCTAAAAAAGAAGATACTTAGTTCTTGTCCAATAATCCCACGTGGGTCGACGAGATGAAAAGATTCGGAATCAAACGATCCAAACACTCGTTTGAAACTCGCTCTTAAGTACATCATATGATCACTTTTATCTCGGTTAATCTCTTCTCCGTTAACAACTCCGGCTCCTTCAGCCACCGGAGTAAGGACCTTCAACGCGGCTAGCTCGTCTTTTGAAGGCTCCCGTTTTATGGCGAATCCGACTTTCCGACCGTTGCAAAACATGTTCCATAAAGGTGTTGTAAGAAGTGAAGAAGAAGAAGGACCTTCATGTGAATCATATCCGTCATTACTGTTTGATTCGAGCGCGATTCTTAACACGCCTTCTTGCATTTCACGAGCTAATACCTCGGTCGGGACGGTGAGCTCTAAGAGGACAATGATCGGGTTTAGGGTTTTGGAGTTTGTCGCTTGGATGCAGAAGTTTACTTTACCGCGGCGGAAGCCAAATATTGTTCCGGTAAAAGTGGAGTTTGTGGCGGTTGAGGACGCGGAAGAGCTTCTTGGTTTGGTATGGCGGTGAGATGATTTGTCTTCTTGAATATCATTTGGATCTATGATTGTGCAGTAACAAGATGGGAGGAGAAGTTGGACGATGGTGCGAAGGAGCCGCCATGAACGAACTTGTTGATGGCAGTCTACTGCTGCTGTTGTGCTTGTGGTGGTTGAGGCGAGGCGGCGACGGTGTGGGTTTGTGCTGAAGGACATGTTTTTTTTTTTCTTTTTTTCTTTGAGTTGTGCGTAAAAGGATGATAATTTTATGTGCATATGTGTGTTAGGGTTTAAGTGGCATTGGTCTATATATAGAGAAATTGTCATGGAAAGAAAAAGAAAATGATATGATCGAAACTTTTGCTGTTGTTTTTTTCTTTCTTTTCTTAAAAAAAAATACACAAATCAATCTTAATTAATTTTAAAATACTATATATTATCTTAAATACTAAAATATATTTGAATAAATTTTATTGCAGTTGCCGGTTACCATGCACTTAGAAGAAAGAAAAAAAAACAATGTATTATATTAAACTAAAAATAGGGTGCAGTACGTTGGATTTATTTCTAGAAAAGAATGACACGGTGGCTTAGGAAATTTCCGTACAACCACGGTGGACGTGGTGAGTCCAATCATTGAATCATAATTCGTCATTTAACCTTATATATATCAAGTATTAAGAAATCCTAATTAATCTATATATAGATTGATCTACTTAATGATTATTATGTTCGTGCACATATTGCTAAATAATATAGATCACCAAGTTTCTATAATATATGGATCGAAAGTTTTGTTGATATATTTGTGTAGTTCTTTCTATGATAAGTGACTTAGTACAATGGTACTATCATGGATTCATCATGGTAAACAAACTCTCAACTCCTGGTGACTGTTGTACAATCTTGATGAAAATTATGACAATATTTTCATACGTTTTTTCTTTTCTTTATGATGATATATGAATATTTTTTTGATACATCTAACTCGCTCAATTTGTAATAAGCCAACCCTAAATGGACAAACAAAACATCGAAAATAAACGACAAAGTCAAATCAGCCGTCTATTCGAGCATCGACAAGGATTGATCTGGGGAATGAAATTGTTACCCATTCATGGCCCAATATATTTTGTATGGTTCCCACTAAATTTGGACAAATGTACCACCATATATATCATCAAAGTTTTCTATAGCATGCATCACCAATGTGATCAAAATAAATAGTTTTCCCCCTATCGATCCGGATATCAAAGACCGTAATAAGTCATCTCACCGGCTAACACAAGGGATATATCATATTTGTTATATACTATGAATCGATAACATAACACTATCATAGTAACCGAGTTCATATAAGTCGTGTATTTATCTATCAGGTAGAGCCACCTGACAGTTAACACGTTTAATTAAATTTTTAACTTTTGGAATTATTAATCTTTTTTTGTCATTCCACCTTTTGTTTCAATAATTTATCTCCCCGTTGGAAGCTTTTGCATATATTTTTTTCTCTTTCTTTTGCCAAAACGATGCATGTTGGAGAGAATACATTGTCGTTTTCTACTTTAAACAAAATTTTAAAAATATATATAGCTTTCATTCTTTCCACTCAAAAGCATTATACACTTTTTCTATTTTGAATTTAACAAGAAAATTAAAAAAAAAAGGAAAAAAAAAAAAGATATGACAACACAATATATCGTTGTCTAAATTTCTCTCATTGTCTAACAAACTATTTTGGATTTTCTTCTACTCTTTTTTTTTTTTTTTTGTGGTAATTTATCATTTCTCTCTTTTCAATGACGACGCCATTAAATTACTCTAAGAACAAGAGAGCAATTAACTTTTATGCCAATGTAAACAAGGTTATTTATATAATTATGGAAGCACTACATTAAAATCCTCCAAAGAACGACAGCTACGATATTTTCGTTTAGAGTTTTGTATAAAGAAAATATCTTAATGCTTTTTTCCTTGGTTTTAAATTTCACATGGCATGACAATGATAAACTGTGTTTGTCGGAGTAATAATATCTGCGGAACTAAATAATATCGTTTCCTAAATATCCCCAATATAGATAGATTAAACACATTAATACATGATTCATGGACGTGTGTACAAATTTAGTGATTGTGACTGCTCCAAATTTATAAAAAGAACACGACTGTTGAAAAACAGAACGTTTTCTTATTTTGGGCTTTGGAAATTGGGGACTCTGTATAACTTTTTTTTCCTCATGCAGTCATGCTTTAAGCCTTTTAACAAACAAATAAAAACTGTTAAAAATTAGAATGACTATTGTTTTTAAATGACTTAAAGAATAGGTTTTGAAGAAGAATAAATGAAGAAGAAGCTTTAACAGCGAGAGTATTTAATTTATGAAGCAACTAATTTAAAGGTTCAAACGAAAAAAGGAAATTTATAGTCGCAACGGTCATGTTAGTAAGGAAATTAATTAAGAGAGATATATATGCGTTTGTTGTTTCCATTTTTCTTTTTATAAGTACAACGGTAACAAAATATTATGACCTTTTTACTGTTAACAACAGTCATTGCCACTGAATCATGCAAACTCGCATTGCCTAAGCCGAGTCGACAAGAAATCCTTCAGCTGCCTAAAAATTCAGTTTGGGTATGGAGTCTTCTTGTCTACTTGGCAGTTACGTCCCCTGTTGAAGAGGAAGAGCTAGCACATCTTGCTTAGAGTTTTTTTTTTTTTTGGTTCTGTTCTTCTTGTGTTTCTGTAGTAGTCACTCAAGTGTGCTGTCGGAAATAGAGAAAGAAGACAGACAGTTATTTACGAGTTTATGAGTTTGTATTTGTTTTACAGCGCTAAAACCCTAGAGAGATCGATGACGATGATACAATAAACCATTGAAGGCGATAAGCTTTAGAAGCTTTGGTTGTATGAGCTTTGTGGCTGGTTATGAGGTTCTGGAAGAAGCTCGAGACTCTCAAGGCGTTCCGGAGAGCATTAAACCAAGTCATATCTTAGGAAGTAGGAACTATTAGATTACAATCACACATGGTTTACTATACTCTAATAGGAACTTTGTTTATATAGTTTACTCCTTTATTTCTTCAATACTTCCCTTCAGTGCCCAATTCTTATGTAAATCAACAATCTTAACCTTAGACCATCAATTAGTGTCTAATTTTGCAAAGGTTTTAAAACCAGATGAACCATAACCATCAAAGAAGCGGCATTGAGTTACATTGACAAAAGTACCTAAACCAATACTTTGTTACTGTTTAAATTTGAAATCAAAATTAAACCAGTTCAACATGTAAAACAATTTTCTAATAAAAATTACAAGGCATGCTAAAAATAACAAAAAATCACAAAGGCCTATTTTGCGGTAATTGCAGAGAGACACTCTGTAATAATAATATACGAACCGGCGGCTTAGAGTTATAATATTGTTTCACATTTCGATAACAGCATACACCAGTTTTCTTAAGCAAAAATTATTTAATAGTTTGCACTTGCATACTCATCTTCATTTTATTGTGTTGGACCATTTGTTAACACGAGCACTTGCTTTCTGCGCCTGTAAATTTTTAAAAAAACATACAAAAAAAACAAACATTATCATCTCGATCAGTGTACACTATACGAAATCAAATAAACAAAAACAGAACCAAAGGCAAAACAACCAATGTACCTCTTTATCCCAATCACATCTCATTGTGATAAAACCTAAGATCAATGTCTGAACAAAGGTTCCTCCAAATATCATACCAGCCCATATCCCCTATAAATAAATATAACATCATCAAAAATATTGTTCAATTCATATAAAACAAGTGGAGGAGGAATTAGTCATTTACCAAGACGCCGAATTTAAAACCCCAGCCCATCAGAAACCCAAGCGGAACACCAATGCAATAGTAACACCCCAAGTTTATATACGCGACGTAGGATTGCCAACCCGATCCAACCGCGACACCTAAGCCAAACAAACAAAAGTCGCCCAATCACAAAATCATTGACTTGGTATATCTAAGTAAAAATAAAATAAAAAAAAATACTAAAACGTGACGTACCGGAGAGAACCGGTTGAATGCTGTTAAGAAGAACGGTGAAAGCTAAGAGAAGTGAGAGCTTGTTAACGGCGTCTAAGACGGCTTCACTTGAAGAGAAGATCCAAGCGATTTGGTTATGGAGAAGCATTATTATCACCCAAAAGAACAATCCGATTACTAACGATTGTGTTACTGATACAATCGTCGCGAATCTTGCTCCTTTTCCATTACCAGCTCCTAGTTCGTTCGCGACACGTACACTGCATTCGTACAATTAATATTTAATAAGGTGTCGTTTGAAAAAAACAACCTATACCATCTATATTGTTTATAAGAAAATGTTTTGTACGTAGGTTCCACACCCAACATGGCGACATCACTGTCTTTACATTTGTATTCTAATTTCTACACACTTGTCTTTATAACAAGTGTAACTCACAATGTTGATAGCTAACAGGCCTATGTCCACACAGAATAAATTGAAGATAAAAAAGTTATAGATGAAATAATACTATATCGTATCCTCCCTCGTAGAAGTCTCTCTATACATACAACACGACAAATAGAAAAAGAAGAAGAACTCAAAGCAAACACGGAAGCAGATAGAAAACGCTATAAGGAACTAACTATATTGGCCAACTGTTAGGTTTCAACTTCCTATAGTTGATTAATACAAAATGCGTTTAAGCCATCCTTAAGAAGGATATCTTAGAGTTAAGATTAACATAGGAAAGTATCTTATAGAATATCTTAGAGGTAAGATTAACATATCTAGACAATTTTGGGTACTTATGGATAGGGACAGGGGACATTATTCGAAGGACAGAAAGCATGCAAGCATTCTCTACGATTTTTAATTACATCAACGTGCATTTACTATGTATTATACACTTATAGTTGATAATGATAGATACGAATCTGTTCTGCGTTCATTGTAATTAGTAAGTTTCTAAAGTCTTATAAATTTCATTAAGGTCCAATTAGACCATCACTATAAACCGGTAGAAATTAGTAGCAAATCCAGTATATGTAAAGATAAAGAAATGGACATTACCCGGTTCCGGCAAAGAAAGCGAGAGGAATCATCATCTCCCAGCCATTTATAGTCATGCTGCGGAAAAAAAGTTTATTGTTTTGGAAATTGGTCGTACAATATTTTAAAAAGTGGAATAGTAAAAGAGATTCATTAAATACTACTAAAGAAGATAAAAACAAGAAAACAACTACAACCTTTCCGCAACAACCCAATAAAGCAGACGTGAGCAGCAATGCGATATGATTGTATAATACTATATGATTCATGACTTATTCTTATACATTATCTAGTCAATGAATGTGGGCTTAGCTTACCATATAGACAAGGAGTCAACCGCGATTCGGGCATTCTCAAGATTCCCAGTCATTATAATCAAAATCCGATAATACCAATTCTCCAAACTGTCACAAAAGAAACACCAAGTATCTACCGTTAGTAGTTGTGTCGGACTTAATTAGTCTAATGCCAACAAAAGTGTATGTATTCATTGTTACCAAAGCATGACGCCTGACGAAGCAGAGAGTTTAAGGAATTCCCAAAGTCCAGTGAAGGCTTCGGAAGATAACCCGTTCCAAGTAAGTGGACAGCCACCACAAGTGGAGTATACTAGTAGAATCAAAACGTTGACCCACCACGAGATATTAATCGTAGCCATAGTTCCCACGGCTCCTAGTTTTAGCCCGTCCACGAACAACCAACACACTAAAATATGAACCACCAATGCAACCGCTGCCGCATACGCAGTCACCTAATAACCCAACACACACACAAAAAAAGAAGACTGGTTCGAAACATTAATCATCTAAGAAACTATTATTATAGAGAAACTCTGATTTCTTTTTTGGACTATCTTCATGTATAAACATATATAAAATTTGTTAGCTTCTGACACCCACATATCTAAATAAACCGATGGTCGGATCTGCTTCCGACACGCACAAATCCAGACAAACTGATAATATTTGTATATTAAAAGCCTTTCGATTAGCTTAGAAGCTTAAATAATACAATTTGAGTAAAGAATCAGATATATAGATCGATAACGTACTTGGTTTTTAAGTTGGCACTGGAGGAAACGTTGAAGCGGAAAAGACAAAGTGAAGGCGAAGTGAAGAGGGATGATCCAAAGGGCTACAACACCGGAAAGCTCAGCGATATCGTCGGGTTGACCAAGAAATTTGAGAACCGGAGTTGTGAAAATATAAGTGGGTAACAATAAGACACAACAGAAGAAGAGAACAATCCAAGAACGCTGCATATAAATTCCCAACATGTAATACTTCTTCGCTCCAAACGCTTGCCCACACAGCGTTTCCAACGCACTCGCCATTCCAAGCTGCACCACCAATTTGCACATTATTATATATCAAGCTTCAAGAAAACCCTTTTAATTAAAATTTTTAAAAAAGTTAAAAAGATCAAGGGTTGTTGTTGTTGTATACCAAGAGACCAAAGTTGAAGCCAACGATGACGTTATTAACGATGGAGATGGCGGCTAGTTCGAGATCGCCGAGATGACCAGCGAAAGCTTGAGTGATGACAAGCATCGAATACGTCGTTATACGACTGAATATGGCCGGACCAACGACTTGCCATAGCTTTGTTGTCTCAACCCAAACTCTATCCTTCAACCCTCCTTCGTCTTCCTCCGCCGTGTGAGGGCTTTTCAACAGTGGAACTCCCGACTCGGATCCTTCTTCTCCGCCGTCACCTCTCATCGCTAACCCTTATTTGTTTTTGTTTTTTCTCTCTTTAGTTATGGGGAAAGAAATGAAAATATAAAGAGAAAGGAGTGAGAGAAGAAAGGTTGAAGACGAGAGAAGAGGTGTGAGTCGTGTGTGAATTGTTTTTTTTTATTTATTAAAACTCTGTATGGCTAGTATTTTACATTAATTTTGGAATTAAATCTTTTTCAGATTTAATGATTTTGTAAAACGTATTTATGTCTTTTTTTGGCCATTCGTTATTCATTACAAAACTCCAAATATGAAAATAATGCATAAATACAAATAATAGAAATGGTAATTACTTTGTGTGTAGTTATATTTGTCTTTGACTTAAAATGTTTTTGTATATATGTATATGGACCATGGAAAGAAAGAAAGAAAGAACAAAATTGTTTTCTGGCATGATTATATATTCCAAATATGACGACAAAAGATAAATTACTAATTATGATTAAGTGAGTGTTAAAAAACATGACACTTGTTTGGCATCAAACATACTTATCTTTTATCTTCCACGAGTTCCATACATCGGATTTAAAAGTTTAGAATTAAAAAGTTTGGTAAGAGTAATTATAATATAAAAAAGATATTGAAAGTTTGCAATCTTGAACTGAAGTATAGTATTATATTTTAATACAAAATTATGATATATCCGTACTAGCCTCAATTAGATATCGAGTTACTGGGATTTGCTTTTTTTTTTTTTTTTTTTTAAACCGGGTTACTGGGATTTGCTATCTAGTGAGCTATCTAAGTAAATCATGTACTAATTAAAAACTGGAAGAAAAAAGGTTGTAAACATTTTCTGAGTTCTACTGAAAACTGAGTAAGCATGACACGTGAGAGGCACGTGGTAGGATTGGTTTTTGTTGGTAACGACGTTTTATTTATATTCATCACATGGCGTCAAGAGTCCCCTCCTTGTGATCTCATTGCTTACCTAATAATGGTCTAATGAGTATGTATGTATTTATGTGTATGTGATTTGAGAAATGCCTTAGAAACAAACCGAAAACTATTTCCTCCAATCAAACTTTTCTTCTTCTTTTCCTTTCTCCTAAGAAGCTTTAGAAAGTGTAACAAGTGGACCATCTCTAACATTTCTTAGAACAATTATTCCACAAAGTAATTATTCATGAATTCATCATTTCAAATCCATAGATGTACTGACAACAACCAAGTTACATTATTGTTTGGTTTTTTGACCAATGTTTTCCGATATATTTTATCCTTTGTGATAATAATAAGTTTGTCGTCTTAATTGGATGTCATCCATGCAATGCGTCCGTGACAGATAACATTTGTCATGATGCAGTTTCTGATAAACTTTGCATATGAACCGTCAGATTTGGTGCGCACATATCAATGATTTAATAATGCATCAGGCAAACAGTGATGACTTTTTAATTTGAAAATGATCTCATCTGATCTGAGTGACTCTGCGTTGATTTGTAATACATGGTGTGATCGATATATTTTATTTATGTCTACCACCACACATGTCTAGAAAATTCAACCCTATTCTAATTAGCATACATATGATATTGTGTGATGTGTCTCACAAACTACATTTATCCGTATCTCATAATTGCCTTATCTATTTTCTTTATGCAAAAAAAAAAAAACATTTTGAGCACATCCTAAACATATCGTGAATTCGTGATCATGTCACAAAGAAAATTTCGTCCATGGTCTTTTAAATCTAAAATTTTTGGCTGATGAGGTTTTGAGTGCTTTTGAAGCCGTATAAAGTGCATCTAAACAAGTAACGGTCCATTTTTTGTAAAACCAACAAAGACATTAATTAGTAAAGTTTTGTCCACAATCTATTTTTCTCAGACTAATAATTTCTCTGGTATCAACGTTTCAAATGATGACAAAAAAAAAAGACAATATTTCAAACAACATTTCATAGTTTTAAAACATAATTCCAGCACGAGAAAAACAAAAAAATTGATCTTGTTTGCAACAAAATAGTAGTTCAGAATTTGATATATTAACCATGCATGCTGAAAGACAGAATTTGATACTGTATAAATGTATTTAACTATTTATACAGTATTAGCTTGTACTTAGAGTTTCATCAATTTGCTTGCTCAAGAAACTAGTTTCGATTTACTTTTCATATATTTGATTTATGATGTTGGACCAGCAATAGTAGCCCATATATGGGAAGGCAAAGGGCTTTCTTACAGACATGGCTGAAAGGGGCTTGTGAAAAAGTTATTGGACCATGGTTTCTCTTATAATGAAAAATGGCAATTTCCGTTTTTAATACTGATTAAAAAAAACAAATTTTTTTTTTGGGCGAAAAAAAACAATATTTATGTAACAAAAATTAGCTATTCATTGGTTTAAAAGTGTATACACTTCATGCATTTTTTGTAAACATTTCGTAGTTCTTGAAATAGTGGCTGTGTTTTTGGGGAATAAATTCTACTATTAACTTTGGGAAAATTAACCTTTATTATTAACCTCAGCTAGTTTTGATTGATAAAAAGAAAGATTAAGTAAGCAGTAATTAAGCACTGAGGATTATTATAATACAGTACTGTATAGATCTGAGATCCGAGTATTTCAGAGAATGAATAGTTAAGTAGTTGATTTTGGAGGAGTCATACTCTACTTCATCCAATAATATGTTTAATAAAAAAAGAAAGAAAGGCAAGAACATGATTTACAGTTCTGAAATCTCGAGAAAGTAACGGGGAATCAGATCCGGAGAAGACTATATATATACACACACATAAAAGACTCAAAAGAGTTGTGATGAACCATGTGAAATTTTTATTGTAAAAGAATGACAAAAATGAATGAAAATGATTTTTATTAAGCTAGGATTTACATAGCAACATACCACGACAAGTTATACGTGTCAACAGCCCATTTAAATAAACTCCGTCGTAAATAATTTACTCATTCCCCCACAGATCATATCAAATCGAACAAACAATTCAAATAACGAAATTAACACCGACACTATATTAAAAAAAAAAAATGAAATGGTTTTATAATATCCTAAGCCAATACAACGGCGTAAATAACTGCAGCCAAAGTGGTACTGACGACGAAAGCTTTGTTTGAGAACGCAACGTTGGGTGGAGGAGCGGCAACGTCTGAAGGGGTCGGGGCTAGATCGCCGGGACTAACTCCGGGACCTTCTGGTGCAGGTGGGGAAGCTGTGGGGACGTCAGACGCAGGAGGAGGAGTAGCTGTGGGGGCAGGGGTTGCGGCAGGTGGAGAAGTACTGGTGGACGGGGAGGGAGCTGCTGCCGGTGGTGGTGTTGCGACGGCAGGAGGTGGAGGAGTGACGGTGGTTGTTGGAGTAGGAGCAGGAGCTTGAGCTAGGCATGAGGTAGCGAATAGGGCAACGATGAAGATAGCTTGAACGATCTTCGAATTCATTTCTTGTTCTTCTCGCTCTCTCTCTCTCTCTCTCTCTCTAAAGATTATTTCTCTCTTTCTGTTTTGTAAATTCGAAGAGGGAGAAGATAGAGAGTGAAGCAGAGTGGTTAAGGTGAGGAATGACCATGGAGGAGCTATATAGACTTATATAGAGACTTGGAGAGAGAGAGAGAGGGTTATATACAATAATTATACAATAAGTATCCAGTTAAGTATCTTGTGGAATGGGGGAGATTATAATAATGCGGTTATTGATTATTAGTATCATGATTAGTACGTATATAAATAAAGTAATAACATAAAGAAACACTAGTAAAAGAGTGAAAATGTTTTGAGTTGTAGAAAATATGATCGTTAACACATATGTGTATAATGGATTGTTTTATTGTGAAAAAAAGGAAGATAATATGTTTCAAAAACTAAAAACATAAATAAGTGATATTTTATTATATGATCAGGTCGCGCTAATATAAATGCAACTTTGTAGGAATAACATTGGATGATTCAATAGTGTACATTTTTGTATATTTTACAAGGCGTGGAAGCGCATATAGGAGGCAACATGGGGAAAAGGTTTGATAAGTTTAAGAAGAGATGGGGTATTGAACTTTGATCGCCCCTTGATTGGTATTTATCTATACATATATGTTGATTCCAAAGTCGTCCAAATTGTAAATGAGTGGATTAAGATAGACTGGGAAACAACCGTTGGTTTAGCTCGAGTTAAACACCAAAAATCGTATTCATGTAATTTGTCAATATATATAATTGGAGAGAGAAAAAAACATATAATAAGTATGTTTAGTATATTCAAAGAAATATCATGTTTGTCTCTACTCGATCCACCCACCCGGTAATATATATAGTAGTAATGATATATACGAACCTTAATTACAAAAATACAGATCTATCAAGAAAAGGACCGTGTCGTTATTATCGTATTAATCCCATGTGCGTAGCAGACCATCGGGATTAATTTTTAATTACTGCAGCCTATGGTTGTATCGTGTTATTGTTTGTTGTTTTTAATGGTGTTCTCTTGTTTCTTCTACTGCTTGTAACAACAAGAGTTGGAGATTAGCTGTCAGATAATTTTATACTAGAGTTGAAATAATGAAAACAATATTGTAACAAATAAAACAATGCATATCTCTATAATAATATAGGATACGTACATAACGGAAGAAGAGACAGTTGGGATAGCTAGCCTGTAAAGGTCATTTTACAGTGAAGATAATTTTAGTTTCAATGATTGGTATTGATTAAAAATGAAACGAATCATATATAGTTGGCAATTTTTTTATGATGTGAAAACCAACCGACGATTATGCATTACATCTACATTTCATGTGTAGTAAATCCCTAACCAAAGTCTTCACAAATATTTAAGATATATTTCACATCCAACTTTATTTTCATTAATTTGAACATCAGTACAAATACAATGGATTGGGAAGATCCTTTGTTCCAGATGATAACGACAAATTCCTTAATAATGATGCAACTCTAACTTGCGTTGCTACACATATGATATATATATATATAAAGTTTTGGTTCGGAAGATCATGCATTGTCTTTTGTCATACTGTAGTATGCTTTTAAATCCATGTAAGGGAAAGCTGATGTCGTTGTAGTTTAATGTCGAGACGTGTTACCGTAAAAAATAAAAAAAAATCACATGATATTGTTCTTGTTGATCGTTAATTAAAAGGAAACCATGAAGTCAAGTGTCTAATTATTTCTGAGCCAAGAAGCATAATTAACAAGTGAACAACATTTAGTTTATGGGAAAATAGGTTGTAAATTAAAGCATGATCAGTTTCGTGCTAGATCATATATATCATTGTATCTTTTAGAGCTGAATACAATCCAAACCGAATATATATAAATCCAGCTGACTACGAACAGTACATATTTCTTTATTTACTTTGAGCCAAATATCTCAATTTTTGTCATAACAAAAATGTATTATTTGGTTGGCGTAAAATTCTTATTAGTTTTTTGGCATAAAATTATCATATAACTTGCTTCGAAATCATGCTAAATTGCTAATCATATGGATCAAATTCAGTCACCAAAAAGCAAAAAGTATGATTTCAAAGGGCTTTTCCTACCGGGCCGTTGGGGTTATGGGCCTTTCTACCATAATGTTGTATGATAAAAAATAAAAAAAAGGTTTACAACAAAATCCAATCAAATAAATTGACTACAGTACGATTTCAAACATAAATTTTAGTCGTCTAGTAAACTCACTTTTCTGTACAAATTTTTTTGGTTAATACTTAATATTGTGGCTTTTGTAAGTGTTAAATAAAGCTATATATATATATATATATTGTGGCTTTTGAAAAGTCGAAAAGTCAATTATTTTGCAAAACAGTTTTAAACTATGAAATCAACAATTTCTTTTTTTTAACAGCCGCAATGTTATGGAACAGGAATAGTATGAAATCAGATGTGACACGTTTGCCAAAAAAACCAGATAAAATATAAATAAAACAATGAGACCGTGAGCTTTTTCATATGTTCGGTGACAAGGATAATTCGAAACCTGACGAAGAGAACTAGTGCTTGTTCGATGTTAGGATACTCGTCTTCTTGTTTCCAAACAGCCGGTGAATTCCGAGCGGGATTACGGTTTAAGATAACGGCGATGGCGCAGGGTAGTCACCGGAAATCGAAGAACCCTAGAATCTTATGCCTTCACGGATTCAGAACTAGCGGTCGGATTCTCCGCGCGATTATATTAAATAAATGGCCGGAGACAGTTCTCCGAAATCTCGATCTTGATTTCCTTGACGCTCCTTTCCCGGCCACCGGCAAATCGGACGTCGAGCGTTTCTTTGATCCACCTTATTACGAGTGGTATCAAGCTAACAAGGTCCGTCGCAACAAAACCTTTAAATTTCAATGTTGAACATTATTAATACTATCAGAGTAAAAAAGGTTGTTTTTTTATTTAATTTTTTTGAGCTAAATTTTTGTTTGTGAATCTGCTGGATCATACTTGGATTGAATTTATAGAAGTTCAGTAGAAAAGCAGAGAGATTGGTCAAATTTTGTAAACATAAACTTTGATTTGGGCGAGTGACTGTGACTGAAGTGTGTGTTTGTAGGAGTTGAAGGAATACAAGAATTTTGAAGAGTGTTTGGCTTATGTAGAGGACTACATGATAAAGAATGGACCTTTTGATGGTCTTCTTGGTTTTTCTCAGGTTTGTTTGATTTTTAATGCTTGAGAGTGATATTCTTGTATTTTTGATCAAATATGTCAGCTTATGATTGTGGACTGTTGACTGTTGAGTCTTGATCCCATTGTGTTGTTATGTTCAATTCTTGCAGGGAGCTTTTCTTACTGCGGCTATTCCCGGAATGCAGGAACAGGTACAAAACCAATTCAGAATCCAAGTTCTGAGACTGAATCTGCATAATGTGCTTTTAAAGAATGAAACATATTTAATCAATAGTTTCTATTGTTTTATGCAAGTGTTTGATGTTCAAACCGTTTGTAGGGGAAGTTGATATTGAATCCTATTGTTAGAATTAATAGCTGAGTAAGTGCTATATGTTGTAAACTGTTTGTAGGGAACAGCTCTAACTAAGGTGCCAAAAGTCAAGTTTTTGGTGATAATATCCGGAGCAAAACTTCCAGGTTTAATCTTTGGGGAGCCTAAAGCTGCTGTTAATGCATTCTCATCTCCAGTTCGTTGCCCTTCACTCCACTTCATAGGTCTCTGCGCATGTTCTTGACTTGATTTTTTTGTTATTTTGTAATCTACTTTGATCAATGCCAATTTTCTGTATAGTTTTCTGAAGCTTATATACATTACTAGTGTGGCTTTAATGCAGCCAAGATTGGTGTGGGAGTGTGTAGATAAAATCTAATGTGTGCATTACTACATGTTATAGAGCTTCTCTGCTACAACGTCGTGATTGATTTTGGCTGTTTCTGTTCAAAGGTCCATCTATGACATTGGGCATAACTTGGTTGTATTGATTTTGGAAACATCATTTATTATGTATCTGTTTTCTGCAGGTGAGAGGGATTTCCTGAAGACAGAAGGTGAAGCTCTTGTGAAATCATTTGTAGAGCCAGTGGTGATCCGTCATACAAGTGCACACACTATACCGAAACTTGGTTAGTAAGAAAAAGAAGCTGATCATTGCTAACTTCTTGTTACATTTAAGCTCTGTTTTTTATAGAAGAGGAAAGGGAAATGTACAAGGGAAGTACATATAGAGGGATCTGTCTTCTTGTTTTGTTATTTCTTATGTGATCATCTTTGTCTTTTGCAGATACTATAGCTGGGGAGACGGTGTTGAGCTTCTTCGAGAAGATTAAGCAGATGCTACCTGAGGAAACAGGTCATGTAAGAAGAAGCTTGATGTGATTGAGAGCTGCTCCTATGGGTTCCTATTAGATAAAATGATCTTGAAATGATAAACTGAGTTGTGAAATGTGATTATTCTGCTGGATTTGTCTGTCTGGTTTAGTCTTTGATCCAGGACACAACTCAATAAAAGTCATGATTAAATTTACTAACCAAAATGGATGTGTTGCAATTAAAAGTTTGTATATATAAATATATTAGAGGGCAGCCAAAGATGGTTAAATGTTTTGCTACTGTATTTGTTATAATCTTATTACAAAAGACTTTTAAATTAAATCATTAATATATCCGTCAAAGATATACTTTTCTACACAAAATAATGGTATCTGTCCTAATAAATTTCTGTAAAATTGTTTGAAAAATCGACATAGTATAATCTGATATATTAAGAGAGTGAAGTAACATATTACTGTACTTTAATTTCATACTCTATTTTTTTTTTGTAAATAATTGTTATAGGAAAAATGATGGGAATATATATAAAAAAAATGCCAAAAAAAAGAAGAAGAAAAAAGAATGGAGGGTTCAGAAAAAAAGAAGATGAGGTAAATTATTGTCCTTTTAGTTATAGAGATGGTAGTAGTAATAATAATGGTGAAATGGATTCTCATGATAATCTAAAGAGTTCCACTTGTAAGTAAACAAAAGTTTTACTTCTTTTTCAATCCACCCCTCTCTACCCTTATACCCTATTTTACCTTAGCCTTGTCGGTTGCTTTTTAGTCTTTCTTTCATTTACTTTAAAACTTTAGTTTTCTTCTTGTATGATACTAGTAGTATTTATATTTGATTGAACATATCGAATTTACAAATCCTATGATTACCCTCCCTCATTTCAATATATATATATATATAAAATAAACAGTAGCTAGACGTCGACATGGGTGGTGAAATTTCAGACTTACATATATAGTACCATCATAACTATTCTCACGCTTGCAAAGCTCTTTTTTTGTTTTTAACTGTTTAGTTTTTATACAGTTCACAAGTCATTATCTAATTTGAGTAATTTGCTTGTATCAGCTTGAATTAGTTTGTTTGGTATATTAGCCTGTTTTTTTTCGGTTTATCCTCATTACATTACAAACCAGATTATTTTAATTATTAGTCAAGTAGACAAATAATTTGTTTCTCATGGAAATTGAGTTATAACTAATTTGATCTTGGTTTGTGATGAAGATATCCACACATGATATGCAATAACTAAATTTCAACGAACCTATCATTGACTTAGGAAACTTTCTAATTCAACCGAGCCCCGTTTTAAAACTGTTGCATAGTTTCTTCACAATGTTTCTTTTTCTTTTTTTTTGGTTTAACTATTCTGTCTCTTTTTATAGTGAATTACATGTTGAAATTTATATTTATGACATTCCGGTTTACATTTTGTAAAAAGTAGAATATTTATACTACGTACACGTATAAGAAGGTTATAATGACTTAATAAGTAAATACTGGAGTACTAGTGAAAAAAACGAGAATAAAAAAAAAAAACGGAGACAAATCATCTGAGTGTCTCCACGTAGGAAAGCGGTTTCCCGCCAGCTGACAAGTACACGTCAGCACGTCATCTCAAACGTCTTTCAGTATCCATTATAAGTCTTAGTATTATATTTTTATTATTATTAGTCGGTGTTTCATACATTTTTCGTTTCTTTTTTTTCTAGTATACATTTTTCTTTCTTTCTTCGAATTGTATCAGAGGAGTTAATTTTTATGTTTGGATCGTTTAATTGTTAAATTATTTACTTATTAATACACTCCTACTCTATCGTTTGATATATTTGAGCCCTTACAAAAACATTCGCATTTATTCATGGATGCGTCACAAAATGTTACTACTTTACTAGTATTATTATTCTGAAAGAACGGTCAGATGTGTATTATTATTTTAAAATGTTACATTTAGATCACCACAACTTTGTTTATTTATTTACTGTGTCTTGGTTTTACATTTTGATAGTTCTATTCTATATATGAGATGTACTTTGAATAGTACCGAGTGCGAATGTTGGTTTCCTCCTCGAGTTCTCTCGTTCACGTACGGTTCACCCAATGCAGTTTTCTTTTGAATAAAAAAATTACAAGGCGCCCATAAAAATTTCAGATGTTTTTACAATTAACTTACTTAATTTTTTTGTCCAAAAATAAAATAAAATACAAAGACATACGCAAAAATTCATCATGCAATTTCGTGTTGACAAGACAAATGACCCTCTCCACTCTGAATTAATTAATGAAGAGACTAGTCATTAATAAAATCAAAAATACGTATGAATAATATTATTGCTGGTACGTCATATTTAGTTAGCGTAAAAACTTAATATTATAGAGGAAACCATATATTTCGGTGGCCGCAGATCTAACGTTATCACAATGTAATCGGACGGTTAATATATGTCCAGAGGAATTAGCTTATCATACTTTAAATTGTTGAGAAATTATCATCTCATACTTAATTGAAACAAAACAGAATATATATTTATTATTTTAATACGGGATTATTACTAAATTGTAATAATTTAAAAGGAATTTATTTACTATTAATTCTGAAAAGTTGACAAAGAAAAGTTCAGACCTTGAAATTATTAAGGGCATTACTGATTTTGATGTGATTAGACTGCCCATCACTTTATTGCAGAAAATATATTAATGCATATATTTATGCTATTGGCATATGGACAAAAATAATTATCTCGTTTATTTGTTTTTTTTCTATCCCCTTTTTTTAGTTTCCCAAAAAGTTATCTCTAAATACTGTATCCCCCTCTCTTTATTTTTCAAATCTCACACTAATAATAAACTTTTGTATTGCATGTCCAAAACTATACTGTATTTTTCTTTTTTGGATTACTAGTAAACAAAAATCAGCAAAACAGAACATTTATAACAAACTCAAATCAAATCAACAAACATATGGTAATAATCTAATACAAAAAAAAATAATTGACATAAAAACAAATAATGGTTAGAGCGGTCCGACCAAATTGAATAAGATCATACCTGATTTATGGCTGGCTCTTCTACACTACTATATTAAAAACTAAAATTAGAAAGAAAGGAACAAAAAAAAAATACGTAAAAGATAAAGAAAGCGTTACAAAAGTGTGGTTGAGGACAGATTATATTAGATTCCGACTTCCAATAAACAAAACAAGAATGTAAAATAAATAAAAATGAAAAATATAAAAAACACTTCTCAAATCTTAAATCTCAAATCCCAAATCTAAAAGAGAGAGAGATAAAAAGAGAGAAAGATAATCTCTTTAATGTCCACACTCTCTCTCTCTTCTTCTCATTCTTGAGAACTTCTTCTCTCCAGAAACGACGTAGTTTCACATTCTTTAATGGAGTTTGAAGACAACAACAACAACAACAACGAGGAGGAGGAGCAAGAAGATGATATGAATCTTCACGAGGAAGAAGAAGAGGATGATGCCGTTTACGACTCTCCTCCTCTCTCTCGTGGTGTCGTCAAAGCCTCGACGGAGAGTCATGAAACCACTGGAACAACCTCCACAGGCGGCGGCGGCGGTGGAGGATTCATGGTTGTCCACGGCGGAGGAGGGAGCAGGTTTAGGTTCCGTGAGTGTCTCAAGAACCAAGCGGTGAACATTGGGGGACACGCGGTGGATGGCTGTGGTGAGTTTATGCCAGCTGGAATCGAAGGTACCATCGACGCCCTGAAATGCGCCGCTTGTGGCTGTCACCGTAACTTCCACCGCAAGGAATTACCTTACTTCCACCACGCGCCGCCGCAACATCAGGCTCCTCCTCCTCCCCCGCCTGGTTTTTACCGTCTTCCAGCTCCGGTGAGCTACCGGCCGCCACCGTCACAAGCTCCCCCTCTTCAGCTCGCTCTCCCTCCACCACAAAGAGAAAGATCAGAAGATCCAATGGAGACTTCTTCTGCTGAAGCAGGAGGAGGAGGAGGAGGGATTAGGAAGAGGTTTAGGACAAAGTTCACGGCGGAGCAAAAGGAGAGGATGCTAGCTTTAGCTGAGAGGATTGGATGGAGAATTCAGAGACAAGACGACGAAGTGATTCAGAGATTTTGTCAAGAGACTGGTGTTCCGAGACAAGTTCTTAAGGTCTGGTTACATAACAACAAACACACTCTTGGTAAGTCGCCTCCACCACTTCTTCACCACCATCATCATCAGCCTCCTCCTACTACTACTACTGCTCCACAGTCTTCGTTTCATCATGAACAAGACCAACCATGAAAATCTTTGATCACTAGGGTTTTTAATTTAGCTTAATTAAATTACTTGAGAAATTTGAGAGGGTTTTAATGTTTAATTTATGTACCCATTTTCGTCTTCGATGAGCTATGATGTTGATGATGATCTTAATCTTTCGGGTTAATTACGTTTTGCATTATATTTTAAGTTATAAATTCTCTTAGGATTTAAAATCTCTTTGATTAAGGATGTCTTGCTATAAATCACTGACATCCTTATATAATTAGTAGCATCACATGTGTCAGTGTTTGAATTTATCATGTATTGTCTATGATCACTTGATCGTGCATATGCACTATTATATGTCTTCATTAGCATATGGTTCATTTTGTGTGTGAATCCATCTTTGAATGCCCCCAAAGCTACTACTACTTGTTGACATTGTTACGTTTTTCGTGTCTTGACTTGACCATCATTTCCAAATACACTTATAGATCTACTAGTGTACTCTTGTTTCTTTAAGTTGTAGGTGTTTGTTTGAGAGTTCGTATTATATGTTCTTGATCGGTTTTTCAACACACACATACAAACATATATATGATACTAATTGGTTATCGATTACTGTTAATATTATATGTTTGCTGGGTTAATATATACTACGTACAAACTTCTCTCTCATTTAATTGTCCAATGAGTGTAGGACTCAAATGTGGATCGGTCGGAATCTCCTTGGGATGGAGATCTCTGCCCTAGTTTTCTTATTTCAATGACTTATATTAGTAATCATATACTATATCTATACATATATGCGTGGGTTCCTCAATCACCAATCAGTATAGATATAGATTATTTATCACTTAATAATATAATTTACTTTTTTTCTTCTTGGAAATGAAAAAGATGAAATAACATCAGCTAGCTTCTGCAACAGTATTCTGATTCCTGGGGAATTAATTCTTCACTTAATAAAAAAATAAAACTCAAAACATGTCGATGCATCCAAAGCTTCTTCTTCTCTACGTCCTTTTATTATTATATGCATGTATGCATAATTATACAGTGAGTGTTCTTAGAAGATATGGGGGAATTGAAGAAGGAAACATGTGGGCTCTTTGGAAGCAAGATTGAGAAGAGAGAAAAACATATGGGCACACATACAATTACTGCATTAATGATGTTCTTCCTCCAAATCCCTAAGACTTTCACCTGGATTTTCATTTTTCTTTATTCTTTCTTAATCTAAATTCAATCTTTTCTACTTTAGTTAATTATAGTAATCATAATAAGAATTTATTCGAGTGGGTTTGTGAAAAAACTTATCGACTGATCAGAGGGTATATAATGTACAACATCTCTATCTTTCAAAGTAGCTGAGACCAACAAAAATATTGAATTCAAACGAAATTAGGGTTTTTTTTTTGAGTGATGACGATGAAATGTGAAATGCAGAGGAAAGAGGGAACCAAAATGATTGTAAAAGGAAAGAAGAGGGCAGATAAGATTCGAGTCCCCATCTCACGGCCATTTCCAAATTTAGCTTTTCATGTCTCAAACACACACCTCTCTCCATCTCCATCTTCTCTCTCCATGAGACAATGCAATAAACTTCGAAAGAGAGACAAATATACACACAAATGAAGGGACTTGAGAGAGATGCTTTTGCTTGATAAGGCAATCTCTACGCCTTCTTGTCTAAGCTAAAGCTGCACACTCCCTAGAGTGAAGATGACTTTTGTGGTCCTCTATTTCATTTCTGTCGTCTCTCTCCCTTTTTTTTTTTTCCTTTTTTTCAATTTTGCTGTCCCAAATTTTTGCACAAATTTCAAATGGGTCTGCGTCAATATTAGCTAGTTGATGACTCGAATCGAGTTTGAACTTTTGGATCAGCACATGTGTTTCAAATAATGATTTAACGTTGGCAAATGAAATCTACCATGATCTACATTATGATATCGATTACAAGTGGTATATATGGACAAACACACATGCATTTAGCTCAATGGAAGAGTATTTTTGATTAGTTCGAAAACAAAGACTTCAGTTGATCTATAACTTGATGAGTACGTACAAATCTTGGTTAAGTGCTAAAGATCTTAATTCACATACAACTTCCTAGCTAGTTGCTATAAAACTTAATTATTGGTAGCTAGAGGAGAGTCTCCGTTTCTTTACAAATAAATTATAAAAAACAAATGTAACGACGAGGACATGTATATATTATATATTATAGTTTATTATTCATGATTGAAAGATTAATTCAGAGGTGAAAAATGTTTTTTTTACTCGACTGATGATGCAGTAATGAATAATGATATATGTTCGTACCATACGTTGGAGTCTGGATTTGTAATAAATGTTCATAGAAAGTAGTGAAAAGTCAGTTAACCAAAATCAAATTTTAGGGTTTTTTGTTTTTGATTTTGAATGCTGTGTGGTACAATTAAATTATTGAACATATAAAAAATATTTATAAAACATGATGTTTTATTTTTTATTTTTACTGTGGTCCTCTTCATGGAATCTTTCAGTCAATACGCAGAAACCCATCGGACAATGACCCATCAATGTGTATATTGCGTACCATCATCCTACACATATATTATACATGCGTGTATACGCATATATCATCATTATGATGACCATGATCAACATCATCACCATCATTCTCACAGTGTTTTTTACTGTGGGATAGTTACTGTCGTTATGCTTCATTTAGGGAATCTAAATGTGACCCACAAAGCAGGGTTTATTACCACCCTTTCAAGCTAAGTTTCGAAACAAGTTATGTCGTTTTTATAATATAAAAAAGAGAGTGAAAACAATTCGAGTTCTGATTGCGTTAATAAATAATTAAATACATAGGACCAGCTAGGGTTAGGGTTTTTTTTATATTACTTTAACTATATGCTATTTGGTATACTATTAGCTTCATAAACACTGCCCTAATTTGGGAAGCTGATGATGATTCACGTGCGAACGAATAAATCTTCTCTCTTTTTCCTTTATATATTTTAGTTGTCACTGATTCTTGAGAGTGTTGTGTAGTTTAATTAGTCACTTAATTAGTACCATAATTCAAATTACTAAAGGACGTAATTTTCTTCTAATACTAAAAAATTATTTTCAGGTTTATACTTGCCTCTCATTTTGAAGTTTTGTTAGATTTAAGTTCCTTCTTTAATACAAAGATCTGAAAGAAAAAAAAAAGTATTTTCTCTTTAGTTATATGAGTAAAGAAAAAGCAAGGTTTGGAAAAAGTTTATAGAAGCTACAACTTTTAGCAACTTTTTTTTAGGATGGGAAAATAATAATATAAATAGTTTTTTTTTTTTGGACAGTTGAATGACTATGACGACTCATTATGACAAAGCCCAATGATAGAATTATAAAAGTTTATTTGTTTTGTATTGTTGTCTTCGCTTAGTCCACTGTCCAAATAGTTGTTCATTTCAAAATTTCATACCAACACATTACACATATACACATACACATATGTACTGCGTAAGTATGAATCCTGAATGTGTACGTACCCGCATACATACATTTATCCGGATCCCGAAATTGTCCCTATAAACAGTAAACACCATGATTTTTTTCTTTTTTAGTGAGAGGTCAGGACAGAGCTAGACAAAACTATAGCTAGCTAGAAGAATATGCTGTCATAAGTAAACTTAGTAGTCAAAAGAGGTGTTTTAATGACAACGAATCTGTCAATGGGGTTATATGATAAGTTAAAATTATTGAGATATGTAGAAACAAACTTATAATATGATAACTTGTGAGTTATATTTTCATGATCGGAATTATTTTTTCAAAAATATTCACCAACAAGCTTATAATTTACGTTAATGTATCTTAATTCACCCATATTTAGTTATAACATTGGTTTTACCCCTTTTCAGTTTGACAGAAATGTATACATATTTATAAAAAGGGGAAAAACTTTATAAAAGTTTCTCCAAACACAATAATTTTTAATCGCTAGTATGGCATGCGACAATGGTAGGCCCAAATGATTAAATTTAATGAATCTAGCATTGGCCCATTACTCATTGTCACAGATCCTAGAGGAGGTTTAGTGGACCTCGAGTCCAATCATTTTCTTCTTTTTTTTTTTTCTTGAAATATCTCATCAATAAAAATATTGGGATTTTTGGAGTTTTGTTGATTGAAAATTAAAAAAAAACAGAAGGTGTTGAAAAGAAAAACACAAGCTCCATAAAAACAAGTGTACTTAGATTTGGTCTCAAACGTCAACTTTAAAGTCAAATACTTCTGTTCGTGGGCCCAATTTTAAGCCCATTAGTCTGATGCGCGCTTTATTCCTAAAACGACACCGTTTCGATGAAATGTCAACACTAACCGATACTGTTATTTTCCCGCGATATCTATTTGGCGGGAACCAATTAAAAAAAGAAAAAGAAGAAGAAAACAACGCTTTCTCTGTTTTTTATTTGTTTGCTGCTATTTCCTGCGACTACTAACAAAACAAGTCTAAATAACATCCATCTTATTTTATTTTCTCAGAATACAAATTACATATTGGAATTAAAAATACTTGTATTTTTATTTATAATTTTTTTTGCTTTGATTATTTTTTCCTTTTTAAACCTCTCACCAGACATCATAATAATATAATGATCAAAAGAAAGAAAAACACAAAATTTTAAGAAAGGTGTGTATGAGAAGATGAAGAATCTTGAGTCTTAAAGCTGAAACAACAAGCTGATACTTCTAATACCCCATTGGGTGTTTGTGAGCATAAGCCTGAGCCATCACTCTCTATCATTTCCCTAATCTTCTTCACTCTCTCCTGCAACAGAGTTTAAGCAAATAAAAGGAACCACACAGTTTAAAATCTGGACACTTTTGTTTTGTCTCTTGAACACAAACACAGACACAAAGATCTCATCAGCTTTTTTTGGGGTGTAGGCAAAAAAGGATCTATATGCAAACAAGTCTGATATTTTTGGATTGCAAGATCAAATCAGAATCAACCATACTCATGTTTTTGTGGGGGCAGATTGGTTATAGACGTGACAAGAGTGTGCAGTGAGTGAGAGACAGAAAGAGTCACAAGACACACAGCTAGAGAATAATGTAATTTAAAGTGGTCTTTGGTCTATACGCTCCACTAGTTTCGGAAGTCAAAGGATTCAGACCCATAAACCAGTTTCTCTTTTTTTCCTTTTTAACCTTTTGGACATACTGTATAACTACACATGTGTATGCAATGAATAAGTTAGTGCACACACATATGCACATAATTGTGTCATCTTTAATGATTTCAAACTTCTCCACAACTGGCATTTCCTTGAAACTGAACCACCAAATGCTGCTTTATATATATATGTGTGTGTGTGTGTTTGATATTAAATAAATAAATAGATTTTTGGTGGATTGTTTTTACCTTTTGAAGTAGTGAGAAAAGAGGAGAGAAGGAAGAGTTGTCAAAGTGTACTGTGTGCAATTCTCCAGAAACAGAAAGTGCCACAGCAGCAGCAACTTCAGAAGGTCTAAACTCCAAAAAGTCAATACCTGCTCACTCGACACAACCACCATTTTAACCCAAAATCGTAAAAAGCACAAGTAAAAAAAAAAAAAAAAACCCTTAAAAAGCACAAAACAAAAGTGGTCAAGAAAATAAAACATAAAGAATAGACCTTTTTCACCTTTGGTTGTGCTGGCTATCACTTGTAGTGATCTGGATATCAATGTGATGGATGGTTCTTGGTCACATTTGCTCATCTTTCTCAAGAAGTATCTTATGTATGAGCATGGAGTTATTGCTCTTAGTCTCCATTTCAATCTGTTCAACACCAAAAGTTCCATTCTTTGCACTGATTTAGCCTCAAACACAAACTGAGGATCTCCAACCTGCTTTGAAATGTAATGTGATCAAACAGCGATCGATTACTGGATCGGAAAAGAAAGAACATCTCGACAATTTAGGGGAGAGTATATAGCACCTGAAGATCTATTAACATAGGGACTTCAGTTTCTTCAATTTTAGCTGCCAATGATAAACAAGCCACAGCCAACAGCTGCAATATCCAAACTTTGCCACTCTGCAAGTAGAATCATAAATCAAGAAGCTAAAAGATGGGATTTTTGAAGATGATAACATTGTCAATCTACTAGTTGAGTTAATGTGAACTTACAGGCAAATCATGAACCGATAAGAAACGATCCAAGTAGTTCACAGATAAGCAAAAACACAATGGTCCAAACTGGTGTTCTTCACAAGCCTGTTGTAATCAGAACAGCAACTATTAGAGAGATCTAAAACTCTGAGATGAAAGTGAATCTACTGTCAATTGAGGTGTGAAAGATCGGAAATTGAGCATCAGATTCACAGATTTGAGACAAAAGCTCTCTATCTAGTCTGCATAAGGCTCTGATCTATATACATAGTAGCATACTCTTAATGTTCAGAATCAATCATCAAAAGGAATGTGATTTCCACAACTTGAGCTGATAAAGATGATTCAAAACCCGAATTTATGAATCAGAAATCAAAATAATTGAGTAGGAATTAGACCTTCCAAATCCAATTGAGGGCTTCTCTTCTTCTGACATTCAAATCCAAATCTCCACTTCTGAGTCTCTTGATGTAATCATCACTTGGCAAATGTTGCTTCTCCTTCTCCACCATCTCGCTGACAATCTCCTCACTCTCCGATTGAAAAAAACCCATCTGAGAAATCGAAATTTCAATCGGAGTTTTATCAACAACTATGCCCTTCTCTTCACCACCATCGACCAACACGTTGGTCTCTGTACATAAAAGACTCAGTTCTAGATTCTCTGCCATTATAACAGAGTGTTGTTCATAAGAAAAGAAAAAAAGATTGATCCTTTTTTTTGGTATTCGATCTAAAAAAATAATTGTATCGTTAGGAAAACTGGAGAAGGATTGTCATCTAGAGATTGGGAAGTGAAAGAAAGATTGGGTCTTTGATTTTTCTTTATGCCCTCGTGGAAGGAAGGGGTTTTTGTTTTGGGGTTGAGGGTAAAATTGAAAAGGTGGAAGCTTTATTCCTTTTTATATATATTGAGGAAGTTAAGAACTTTGGTTTTTAGGTAAGTTGGAAATGTGTTTATGGTGAAGAGGATGAAAAAAATATTAGATACACTTTGAAAGTTTTAGAAAGTGAATTGACTATCATGGTAACAAAATGTTCCTTCATTGGAAAATTATTGGAATGTGGTAGGAAATTGAAGTGAGCATTTGTAGTTAGTTGGTTTTATTCGTTGTATTCTTGTTTTTAGATGATGAATCTAGTAAATATCGGTTAGTGGTTTGGTATCAGATTTACGTTATGTATTTTACAGTATACGATTTTTCGGTTCTTCAAACACAGTTGTTTCTTTTTGTATACTGCAAACAATGCGAAAATATAGAATGTTGAAAGAGGTGATCACGTTATATGTTTTACATATTATTTTGCATTTTTTGTTCTAGTTACAATGAATATATACAGTTTGATTAATCAAATTCTTTAGAATTTAGAAACTAATTTATTATAAAAAAATATTTTCCAATGTAATGCAAGTTGATATGTATTGTGAACCAAAAAGCTAATGTAATTCAGATTTACATGCCATATATAAAAAGATGTTTAAATTGTAATTTTGACTGGTTGACCAAAAAAAAAAATTGTAATTTTGACTAATATCCATCAATGGTGATAAGCCATTTGCTCTGGCTGATCTTTGACCACTGTTTTCACTACTCTAGGGTCACTTTTAGATACAATAATTTCAATAACTAAATCATTGCATATACCTTTAAATGAAAAAGCATACTGTATATACTTGTATAAGAACTACGTCATCTACTAATTCGAGTTTAAAATATGGTCTCTGTTCGTTACTCGATATGGTCTTTGTTTTTTACACATTGTGGTCTTTCTTTAATATGGTTTTAGTTTACCCAAAGATACTGTTTTCTGTTTTACCCAACAACGTATAAGATTATTTCTACCAAAAAAAAAACAACGTATAAGATTAACTATAGGTTTTTAATATTCATATATAGATATGTTTTATGTATACTTTTTTTTTTTTAATTCTCTTGCAAGTGGAGGTCAAGTCTTCAAAACGAAAACTTGTGCTCTATAACTCTATTGTCACCTCTCCAACAATTCTACATTCGTATATTTTTCAGGTGATTATTATTTTTATTTTCTGATAAATAGTAGTAATAATTAGTATTTTTTTACCACTTGAAAACTAAATTCACTACGCGACGAGTTGCTTGAAAACACCACACAAGAATATTTCCTGTTTGAAATTAACTTTGCAAATGGTTATCGAGGCAATGATTTCAGTTTTTAACTACTAATATAATCATGTTATGAAATGAAACAGTAATCCGTTATTAAATTTAACAAAGTCCTATTTTGTAGGAAGAAAATAAATTTCATAGCAATAGTAACGAATATTCTCCTTGAAAAAATATAGCCATTCTTTTTTATTTTTGGGTTAAGTACACATATTTTAAAAATCTACATTAAATTGTTTGGGCAATAAGAGAAAAAAAATCTATAACTATGTTCGCAAGCATGTTTGATGATTTGGTTTGGAGAACTATAAGATAGAAAAGATGGGAATATCAAAAAAAAATTCAAGTAAGGCTCCAATTGGTGACCACTTTTTAGGAATAGAACGAAGAGGAATGTGGTGTTCTTCGTTGTTCCTCAATTTTTGCTACCATTTACCCATAATGTTTTTTCAATTTTCAGATATGTGGGATCTATATTATTCCTATTCATTCATCAAATAAAAAGGAACAACAGTTCAAAAATGTTCCTACTCAAAATTGTAGAGGAACAATGAGGAACAAATATATAATTTTCGTTTTTATATAATTCAATATTTTAAAAATATTTATATTGATAATTTTGACATTTCTATATATAAATACTTTAAAAAATTATTATATATTTTAAATAAAATATTATTTCATCATAATTTTCACTTTCTATTAATGTTTTGAATTTATATATTATATTAGAAAAATATTTAAAGAAATTTAAAATAGGTTTTAACTTAAAACATTTATTAATGTTTTAAAATATTAAAAAATTAAATTAAATTATTATATTAAGTATTATAATTTAAATGAAAGTTCTAAACTAAATTTCTTTTTAAACTTAAATTTATTAAATAATTTTTTGGTTACCATTTACTGGAACATTTGTTCTATTTTTCCTCAGTATTTATTCCTATTTTTTATGAGAATTCTTTTCCTGTTTGTTCTTTTTTATTTTTGTTATTTTTCGTTTTTTTTATTCATAAATGAGTTACCAATCGGAGCCTAAGTATAAGTAATAACGGTAATTGACAATCACGTGCGAGCTAATAAACTTTGATGTTTTTTACAGTCTTTTTAAATCTTTTCGGGGTAGAGCGGTGGAGAAGAAACAAAAGTTTTAAGTATCTGAAGTAAAATATGGAGAAGTTTTGGAGAAGTTTTTCGAATTAAACTAAAAAGACTCACTCACTCTTTATGTTTTTTTATGTTTTTTTTTCTTTCATGCATGCAAATGCCAGACAAAAGTGGTCCAAGTACACTTTTGATGTTTTGCTTCACTTTGTGTTTGTTCTGAGATTCTAACTTGTAGTTTCTGCCTCTCTCTAACTTGTTTTTTTTTCTTTCTTTTCTTAAGAGAATAAATAATTCGTGTTTTATGGCACGCCTATGGTCAACTTAACCAGCACATTGTTCGAACCACATGGCCTGATGTAAGTTTAGATGGCCTTTTTCTTGGGTAGGTTTTTTTTTATTATAAAGGTCGGCTCGAAGAAGAAGGCTCGCGCAGCGCACCATTCTTTTTAGTATATTGGTTGGTCCGACCGGTAAATAGTTTCACATTTGATTTAGTCATTTCTGTTGTGTCTTGATTTTTATCCTTTTTGGCGATTTGGAACCGTCTTAGTCATTTTGTTGTGTGTTCGTCTAGCTAAATCATTTGTAGTCTTTGATTAAGAGCGGCGTTAGTCATTTTTTGCTTCCTCTAGTTTTTGGCGATTAAGATCTTTATTAATCATTTGTGTGTGTCTCCTTTAGAGATAGTTTGCTCTTAAACGAGTCAAGTCATTTTTGTGTATTTCGTGATCGTCTGTTTTTGGCGTTTGGATTGGTTAATCAATTAGGTTCCAAGTTAAGAATCTTTAGTGTTTTGGCTATCTATCATTTGGTTTGTGTGATTGGCTTTAGTCGTTTTTGTATGTTCGCCATGCCACTACGCTCAGTCGCCCACATCACACACACGCGCATCTACGCAGTCTACGTATACGCACATTCACTCTATACACACCTACTACTACTACTATTACTATGATGCACACACATGTCACATGTCACCATTTTTTCAACCACACCCTATACACACATCTACACAATATTAAATAAAAAAACAAAAACATATATGCTTCAGCCTTCAATCCTTAACTTCAAAAGGGTACTCAAGCAGAAGATGGAAAACTCTGGACACAGCCCTAGGCTCTGTTCTGTTCCTTCACTACCACTCTGCAAAATTAATCAAGATCAATTTTCATTATATAATATTTTTACTTCCGCTTGTCAACATTTTTGGTACATGCATAATTAGTGTCTTCACTTTAAAAATGCAAAACGCAAAAACCTTTTTTTTCTTTGCTTTTCACAAAACACTAAAAACTCATTATATGTTTTCCTAGACAGATCATATATAAACTCAGAATTGAAGTCAAGAAAGCATGATATATAAATATATTTTTTTAACTGATGATTAAATTAGAAAAACAGAGTACGATTACACGTTATGAAAGAGAGGAGCATAATATATAACTAAAATCAGTTGGACTAAACAAACTGAACAAAATCATGGCAGCAAAACAGATCATCTTCATGTTCGGTGAAATCTCCATAAAACATATTCGATACAATTTAACTAGCAATAAAATCTTTCTAATGGAATATACAGTGAACAAGCTAGACGAATTAGATGATTAGAGCAGAGTACTGTTTACCTTGTATATGTATATGCCTTAATGTTTGTTTCTCTCCTGGCTAATGAGAATTACAGAGAAGTCAGAAGTTCGAGTGAGAACTCAAGTGACATAACATAACTAGAAGATAAAAACAGTGTGTATTCCACATTTGAAAAGATATAAACTGAAATTGGGGAGATTGAATAAGAATAGAGTATTCAGATGTCTCACCGAAGAAGAAGAAGGGAGTACTTATAGAGTCATTACCGTTTGACAACGTTCATATTTACATCTAACGGTTGAAAAATATTACCGTTTGACAACGTTCATATTTTCACCACTCACATCAAAGCAATACGAAAAATCAGGAAATCGTACCTACGATTGAGACTTTCTTTTTTTTTTTTTTGTTACTTCTCATATTGGTTTTTTTTTTTGGGTTTCCGGCTACTTTCCGGTCTTTTAATACGAGTTTCAATTATACTAACTAGAAGGCGTATTCTCGACAACAACTTAACTGAAACCAAACCCTTAAACTTGAGACCACTAGTAAGTGAAATAATGTTTGTCTAAAAGATGATACAGGCATGGGTTCTTTACTCCGGAGGAACTCACAATCCAAGCTAAGGATTTGGGACACTCTTACTTGTTTGAAATATAATTTTTAAGAAACAAAGATTAGGGAGGATAAATTAGAAATAAAAAAAGAAACAGAGTTTGAACAGAGCAGCAGATAACACCAAAGCTGTGCACATAATCTGACAAGTTTTACAGCAAAGGGGCAAGAGAGTTTTGAACTCAGATTTTCGGTTACGGTTGCAGGAACATTACATAACCGTCTTTTCTTCCATTAGACCTTCAGGCCTCATCCATCTGTTCCTGAATAAAGCAGTCGACCATTGAGTTTTGTAGTGTTATTATCCGAATAGTCTTATAAGAGTATCAACGATCAACACTATGCGAGTTCCTAATGATGCGATTGAATATGAAAAGTATAGAATTAGACAAACCTGCATATCGGAGGTCCAAAGGGTTAGATTGTCCCTTAGCAACTGCATGATAAGAGTACTGTCCTTGTATGACTCCTCCCCCAATGTGTCCAGCTCAGCAATGGCTTCTTCGAAAGCCTAGACAGGTTATGGATCCAACAAGAACAAGTTAGAAGTGCAATGATCAGACATCTCTTTAGTCTTAACTAAATCTTGTATATGTGATGCATGAGATGTTCCGGGTTCAATAAGCACCAAAAACCCAATCATCAGAATCTACACAATCCCGTATGCATAACACATGAGATCTTGTGGTTCTAAAAGCCTTTGTCATTCTAAAAGATTCTACTGACAAAAGGAATAATTTGGTTAATGTGAAGTGTTTGGTCAAAAAAGGTTTCTATAAAAAGAAGACTTTTGCAGAATGTCTTTTTCTTTAGAATCTCTGTTTATTAAAAAGAAGTGGGTCCGTATTATAAAGAAGAAAGAGTTACTTTTTATAAACAACTTGTCTATTTCTGGATACATATCAAAATTCATTCAAATCAATCCAACACAATGAATACAAAGATGGGGCCAATTAGGAATAGTAACACAAGTGGTCAGTTTTAGTAACTTAAAAAGATTTAAGGAAGAAGCAGAGAAAAAATCTTCATAACCAAAGTTAAAAGACAACGATTTATCTTTTAGTACCTCAAACATAGAACTCATCCACTGTAATGAACAAACAAGCAGTGTAGAGTAATGAAGAAAGAGTACCTGTTTGGCCATGCTACAAGCTTTTTCTGAAGAGTTGAGAATTTCGTAGTAAAACACTGAGAAATTGAGAGCCAGACCCAGCCTGATCGGATGTGTAGGTGCTAGATCAGCAATCGCAACATCCTTCAAAACAAATAACCCATGAATAAGCCCAAGTACATAATTTTCAGAACAATTATATACTAGAGTACTTCATAGATTGTCTTCTAAGGGAAGCAATTGAATGCTCTTTAAGCAAAACTGTAGAAGTTGACTACTTCAAACGATTCGATGAATCACAATAGCTCGATTCGAGACCAATTTACCAATTATGAGACAAAGTGATTACAGATTAGCAAATCGAAGCAATCTCAGAAATAGGGGGTTTTTTTTTTTTTTTTGGGTAGCAACCAAAAATGGATGAGATTAGATAAAATTAATAAAAGGAAGAAGGAAATGAAATACCTGAGCAGCTTTGTAAGCGATCATAGTATCTTCGGCAGCTGTTTTCCTCTCATCACCAGATTTGAACTCGGCGAGATAACGATGGTAATCTCCTTTCATCTTGAGGTAAAAGACCTTAGACTCACTTGCAGTAGCAGAAGGAATCAGATGCGAATCAAGCAGCCTCAGGATTCCTGAGCAGATCGTTGAGAGCTCAGTCTCCACCTTAGATCTGTAATCCTTGACGAGCGACACGTGTTCTTCGTTCTTCCTGCTCTCTTCCTTCTGCTCTATCGAAGACACTATTCTCCAAGCGGCGCGAAGAGATCCAATCACGTTCTTATACGCGACGGAGAGAAGGTTCCTCTCTTCCACAGTGAGTTCCCCGGCTGGTGTTGCTCCACTTACCAGCTGTTCCATGAACTGAACCATCTCTTCGTAACGCTCAGCTTGCTCGGCAAGCTTCGCCATGTACACGTATTGATCTCTGCTTAACGTCGTCGCCATTAGAGATGAAGAAGAAGATCTCGAGATTTTTTGATTTTTTTTTTTCAATTTCACCGGAAAATTTTGAATCGGAGGAAATTTCTGGAAGGAAAAAGAGGAAATTGTGAAGAAGAAAAGAAGAATAAAAAGCCCTTCAAAGCTGAGTCATAATGAGCTGTAAAAGGAAAAGACTCTCCACTCGCGCGTGACGTATACTTTCTCTTGAACCGACGTCGTTTCTTTAAAGGAGGGTTAAGGGCGTGAAGAGTGTTGAGGCGCGTGGTTAGGGTTTGGGTTTTTGTTTTCGATAAGAGCGAGTGAATGGACGATAGTGCGTCAGCGTCTTCCACCAGTTGACACTGTTTAAAGTCAAAACTTGTAAAATGGGCATTTGGATAGGCCTTGTTTATGGGCCTTGTGAAGCCTGTAACCTGTTAATACTACATTTTTTACCTTGCTGGCTAAGCATATGCGTTTTCGGCGTGACCTGGACACAACTAATGCGGTCGGAGAAAAGACATATGAAGACAAGCAAAAGTTGTCTATAATTCTTTCGGTTTGATAATAATTATTAGTACTTATTTTATTATATCGCCAATAATAATTATATTCTTTATTTTTTTTGATTCATTTTGTTTCCGATTCCAATATTGTGAAACTTTAAACGCCGGATCAAAATTGAGTGTATTCGTTATTTATGAGTTTTTTTTGTGTGGTTCATTGTGTTTCAATAAATGAGAAAAAATTGATGAAATTTATGCTCAATTACTGCTTTTTTTGTCAAATGGGATAATTGAGATTTCAGGCAGGACATTTGTTAGGCAAGAAAAAATACAGAGTTGGTTGATCGAATGAGACCACATCATTAGAACGAAATCTTCAGAAATTGATTACTCATCTTTTTAAATAATTGTAGGTTGTTCAGATTATTTTGTTTACAAAAAATAATAAAATTCTACTGAAAATGAAATAAAAATAGAAGTGCGTTGAGTTAGAGTCTTGAATACACACGCACCGTCACGCGCGCAGAACGTTTCCGTTATGGGAAAAGGGCGTGTATCCACTTGCCACGTCAGATTTACCGCAGAGCGTATTAAAGGTCTCCGTCACCGTTAATTGACGCCTCCATCCAACGCCGCTCTCTTGGCCGTATATATTTTTTATTCCTTGTTGGCGCAAGTTTTACTAAAAAAAAAACACACAGATAAAAAGAAAGAAAAAAAAAAAGAGAAGAGGATCTTCAGCGATCTTCCTTTTTAATTGCTAAATCCACCATTTTCCTTCTCCTTCATTGTGAATTCGAGTCCAGTGACAATTTTCCCTCCTCCGTAGACTTCACTTTGAAGAAACAAAAGAGTTTATAAACAGTTTGGTCTACTGCAAAGTATATGGTTTCACACTTGTTGACTCTTTCACTGGCCAAATAAAAAAAAAAAAAAAAAAATCTCGGTAAGAGTCTTATTTGAGCAGAGAGTGTAAGCAAGCTAATGCATTACTTTTGCCGATTTGAGAAGAAGTAGATCCATTCTTCGATTTCGTGAGTTTCCCCTTCACTTTCTTTCATGTGAATTTCGTGGAAGAGATAAAAGTAATTCTCATCTCTCTCTCTCTTTTTTTTTTTGTTTTCCTTCTTTTTTTTCTTTAGCCGTTTCACTACAATTTCGCTTTTATAGCCTTGGATCCCGTTTTGATTTCGTTTCCTGATAATTTTTTCAGTTGGCTATGTTTTAGGGATTTCGGTACAGAACTGAGAGATTTTGATTGTTGAATGTGATTTGGAACTCTCTGCATTTTGATGATTTCTTTCTGAATATTTAGGTTACGGGGTAAGGAGGAGCAATGTTCAGGGAAGCTGGATTAAGAAGCTTAGGAGAGGTTTGAACAATTTGTTTTCTCTATTCAACAACATTTGCTATGTTTTGTTGTTTTGTATTTTTTTATTTTTTTTTGCTGTAACTTGTTTGAAGATGTTTATAGGATGCTGTTGGTTCGAGATGGAGTATTGGTAATCGCAAATTGGATGCTAAATCTGTTGCCAATACCAATTCTGGTCATGCTTTTGGACCTAGGAGTGCGCCTCCATTGTCTTCAGCAACTAAACCCGCTAGAGGTAATAACTGTGGTGGCTCAAGTTCAGACATGGACATTGCTTCTTATTCAGATGAAGATACATTCGAGAGGCATCACTCACCTCTACGCTCTCCTCAAGATTATAAAAAAATTCACGTCTATAATATGGCAGCTCATAATGGACTCGGACGTAATGGTGCGAAGGTCTTTGGTGCTGATGAGTTATCAGACTCAGCTACGAGCACCGAAGTTTCATATGTACTTACTTTTACTCCCCCTTCTGTCTTGTTTTCCTTCTGCTTCACAAAGATTATGAAACTGTTGTTTTAGAACCTTAAAGAGTCCTGTTCTGATTTTATTATAACTTTTACAGGAAGCAGAATCTTGTGGTGTGCGGAACAATATATCTTCGCATAATGATTGTGAAAGAAGAAATGTTGAGGCTGGAACTTCAGGAAGGACCCAGAACGGGACAATCACTTCAACCAGTTCGTTGCCTCGTTTCCCCACCTTTCATGCCAGGTTGAGTTTCATTTCTGATTTATATATTTTGTCGTCTTTGTTTTTTTTTTTCCTTTTTCTCTCTGTAGTTTATTCATTTCCTTCATTTTTTTTGTGTGTGGTTTGAATGCAGTGAGCAAGGTCCATGGTCTGCGATGATTGCCTATGAAGCATGTGTGCGGCTATGTCTTCATTCATGGTCAACAGATAGTGTCAGCGAAGCTTCTTACTTCCTGAACAATGAATGCACGACAATGAGGAATGCATTTAGTTTGCAGAGATTTTTTCTTCAATCTGAAGAAGAGTTACTCGGAAAGGGACCTTCTGAGTTGGTTACCGAGACATCTGCTCCAAAATCTAAGAAAACTATTGGAAAAATTAGACTTCAGGGTATAAACATTTGTATCTTCTTTCCCTCTCGCTGCATTTGACCACTTGCAGTAGTTGTGCTTACAATAGTATGATTTTTACAGTTCGTAGAATTAAAATGGGACTAGACCCACCACCTGGCTGTAACATTGCAACACTAAAGGTCTCTAAGGAAAAGCGCGAAGTTGTTCGTCAGCATATTGTGGAGCTGAATTTGACTTTATCTTCTGGTTGGAAAGCAGCGAGGAAAGTTCATGTCACTCCCCAAGTTCCTCTTAATGGTTCACTTTCTCGTCAAAGTTTGGCTTACCTGCAGGCTGCTGCTCGGTACCTTAAGCAGGTCTCAAAGGCTGTTAAAACCGAAATTGTTACATCTCATACTGGACCGCAGACTTATGAAGCAGTTCAAGGTACGGCATCATACTTTGAACATAACTTATTGTCGTCTTATACTGGTCATCGGTATTTGATTCGTTATGTTTTCAGAAACATATTCATGTTCATTGAGGTTAAAGAGCTCTGCTGAAGAGGATCAAATTAAGACGCAACCTGGATCTGGCGAGACATTTATTTTGTATGTGCCCTTGTTTACTCACTTGATCTTCACGGATCATTCTTTCTACTCCTTTTAAGCTGGATCTTAATATTCTTTTCTCTTGTAGCTTACCAGATAGTCTTGGTGATGATTTGATAATTGAAGTTCGAGACTCCAAGGGGCAACTCCTTGGTCGTGTCGTAGCTCAGCTAGCAGCTATAGCTGATGATCCTGTAAGATTCTCTTGCTGTCACACACGCATTATATATCATATTACTGATTCCGTTAGACGATGAAGCTGAACATCTTATGTTTTCTTTCTTTTCTTTCTGAAGCAGAGTGAAAAACTGCGATGGTTGCCAATATATCATGAACCAGAGCATGAACTAATTGGAAGAATCCAACTTCAGTTTAGTTACTCGAGTAGTTTAGATGAAAAAACTAAGTGTGGGTTGGTGGCAGAAACTTCGGCGTATGATCTTGTCCTAGAGGTGGCTATGAAAGCGGAACGGTTTCAGCGAAGAAATCTATTGTTTAAGGGACCATGGCATTGGATGATAACTCGATTTGCATCCTATTATGGCGTTTCAGATGCATACACTAGATTAAGGTATTCATTGAGTGACTAAGAATGATGTGTCATAATTTCTCTATGTGGTAATTAAGCAATGTTTTTGTGAGAACTTGCAGATATCTTTCTTATGTCATGGATGTCGCATCGCCTACCAAGGATTGTCTTGATCTGATTTATGATTTTCTATTCCCTATTATAATGAAAAGCAACCACAAGGCTGTATTGAGTCATCAAGAGGTGAGTTAGCTTTGATCATCGAATTGTTTTCTTCAGTATTCAAGTAGCTAACTTCAACTTTTGGTCCTTTGGTCAGAATCGATTACTTGGAGAAATTGATGAACAAATTCAACAGATTCTCGCTTCAGCATTTGAGAATTATAAATCACTTGATGAAATGTCTTTTTCCGGGATGAAAGATGTTTTTGAATCTGCTTCAGGAATTCCAGCACCTGCTATAGAATCAGCTGTCAAGCTCTATGGTCTTCTCAACGATGTATTAACCCCCGAGGCACAGTTGAAACTCTGCAGATATTTTCAGGTATTAATCAAACATCTATCTATTTCTTAACCATCTTTTCTTAAGTTGTACATGTGATTCATCACGTATGAACACCACTACAGGCTGCTTCAAAGAAGAGGTCAAGAAGACACTTACTGGAAACAAACGATTTACTTAACAACCGTAGTGAAGGTGCACCAGTTGACCCCATGGCGCTTCCAGCTTCTTATCAGAAGATGAAGTCTCTAATCTTGAGCCTTAAAAATGAAATATCCACTGACATAGCGATCCATAACTGCAATGTGCTCCCAAGGTTTGTTTAAGACTTAAGTCAATGATATGCAACATATATGTTAAGTGTTTAACTCAGATATGAAGGGTTTGCTTCTCAATTTATCTTTCTAATGAATTCTCTCTGTCAACTATCAAACAGTTTTATAGACCTTCCAAATCATTCAGCTGCAATATATAGTGTTGATCTCTGCAATAGGCTCCGGGAATTTCTTCTCGTATGGCCTCCTCCTGGACCATCACCTGCGGTTGTTGACCTAGTTATTTCAACTGCTGACTTTCAGAGAGATATCTCTAGCTGGAACATAAAGTAAGTTCACTGGTATCTGCTAACTAATTTAAACTTACAATTTCATTTGTAATACATTCCTGTAACCTAAAGGCACCTATATATTGTCTTGTCTTGTCGCAGTCCTATCAAAGGTGGTGTTAATGCCAAGGAGCTTTTCTATTCATATATCACAACCTGGATTGAAGAGAAAAGACGAGTTTTATATGAACTCTGCAAGCTAGAGACGGTACTAATAATGCAACTGTGTTATTCCAAGTTTAATCATATACTGCAGAAAGTAGAACATTTCAAGCCCTTCCTCCATGCAATTCAATTACATTCTATCTGCTTTCACTTTTCAGTCAAAAGCATGTGGCGAGATTCCGGGATTGACTTCTCCTTTTGTCGATGAGATGTATGAGAGACTCAATGGGACACTTGATGAATATGATATCATTATTAGGCGCTGGCCAGAATACGCAATATCCTTGGAGAAAGTAAGTGAAACAGCAAAGAATCCTTTCAAGTCCAATCACATGTAATGTTGTTGTTTAAATGGATCATAATCTAAGTGTTGCTGTTGTTCCATGGAAAAAGGTTGTAGCAGACTCAGAAAAGGCAATAGTTGAAGCCATGGAGAAACAATTTGCTGACATATTATCTCCGTTAAAGGAAAGTAAAATATTTGGTCTGAAAATTGTCCAGAAATTTACAAAAGGCACACCTAACCCTTATTGTGTTCCAAAAGAGGTACGTTGCTTATATAAATTTGCAAGTTTTTTTTTTCTGGATGTAAGAGGAGAAGACATTGACGCCATTTTGGTAAAATTTCAGCTTGGAGTTCTTCTCAACTCACTAAAAAGAGTGCTTGACATTTTACGCCCGAGTATAGAGAACCGATTCAAAATGTGGAATTCATATATCCCTGATGGAGAAAACAGAGTCTTGGGAGAGAGGTTAAGTGAGGTGACAGTATTGTTAAGAGCCAAGTTCAGAAGTTATATGCAAGCGCTTGTGGAGAAACTCGCAGAGAATGTATGTGCTCTCTCTATTTATCTTCCAAAATTTTGATTTTCTTCTAGTTTTTGTTCTCACCGCCACCTTTGTTGAAATCAATTTCTTGATCTTGTTATGCTAACAGACGAGGATACAAAATCACATGAAACTAAAGACCATCATCCACGACTTAAGGGAAACCACAGCAGAACCGGATGTTAGAAACAGAATGACGGCATTGAAGGATTTGCTAGACAAGACCATCGATCATCTACACGGTCTTTTCTTACCCGATGTGTTTGTGACAATCTGTAGAGGAATCTGGGACCGAATGGGACAGGTTAGTGACATCGCTACATTTTATTACACTGGAAACTGGTTGTTTTAGTCATCTGCATTTACCTTCAATGTTCTGTTCTTTTTTTTCCAGGATGTGCTTCGTCTTTTGGAAGATAGGAAAGATAATGTGACTTGGCACAAAGGACCGAGAATCGCAGTGTCTGTAAGTTTTGTTTGAAACCCTTTCGGGAGCTGTAATAATAATAAAAAATCCGTCACCCTTGTATCTGATCTTATATTTTGATAACTATATAGGTTTTAGATGAAATATTCGCGACACAAATGCAAAGCTTGCTTGGAAACGCATTAAAGCCGGAGCACTTAGAGCCACCAAGATCAATGATGGAACTCAGGTCTATGCTGTGCAAAGATTCTACTGATTACAGGGAAGGAGGCTACCACTATTAATACCAGACATAATGAGCCGGTGAAGAATCTGGTTCTTTTTGTTTTACTATGTTTGGTTCATTGGTATGATATGGTATGGCATGGAGAAGTTTTGGGCATTGCCAAGCAAATGTAGTTAAAAAAAAGATAGAGGAGGTAAACAGAGAGTTTAATTGTACTGTATGTAGTAAAGTAAAAAGTTGAAAAAAAAAAAAAAAAAAAAAAAACTCACATTTTGTTACAACTTACAACTGTGCAAGTCGTTGAAGACGGTTAGACAACGCGCGTGTTAACGTCTCTAAGAGAAAAAAATCGTCGCCTGAGAGATTCGAACTCTCGCGGGGGAACCCCACTCGCTTAGCAGGCAAGCGCCTTAACCACTCGACCAAAGCGAAGTGTACGTATATAATAATAAAATAATCATTTCCTAGTTAAAATAAATTAACGGCAGACCCAACTACAAATATTTTTACAAGTACAGTGTACTAATCTTTGAACTAACACGGTTTGGTTCCGACTTTAGTTTTTTTTTTTTTTTTTTCCGGTTGAGAATAATGTGGGCAAGCGTCGAATAATATTAGATTAGTGTTGAAGATTCCAAAACGATAGAAGCAGAGCAGCAAACTCTTTTTTTAAAAAAGAACCGAGAGAAAAGGACCAAAAACAAAAAGAAGAAAGAAAAACAAAATTCGTAAACGACAAAAGAAGAACAAGTGCACGTTTATTCCCTCCTTTCTCTTCTTCTCTTCTTCACTTTCTCTCTCTATCAAAACACAAATACCATTTCCCTGATTTCTTCTTCTTTCTCTCTCTCTCTAGCTTTAGTCTCTCCAGATGCCCAACTCCTTTACACGCCGTCGCTTCTCTAATCTCCGCCGTCTTAGATTCCACATTTACTCTTACTCTCACCATCACCCACCTCCTCTGCATCATCATCATCATTAATCTCTCTTTGTCTTTTTTTTGTAAACAATGTTAGTTATTATTGTAGCCTCCTACGATTCCTCTCTTCCAGATTGATTTCTGGGCTCTCTTTTGCTTGATAATGCCGGTTCCTCCTGAGAGCGGAGTCCTAGGGTTTCGTTTTCTCTTGATTGGGTTTGTCATGTTGGTCTTTCTTCTCATTCGCCGGCAATGGAGATCTGCTGCTCTCAAGAGAGAGCAAGTTATTCGCCTCATTGCTTTAGCCACCGAGGAATCCTATCTGGCTGATGAGGAGGTTCGAGCCACTGTTGCTGATTACGACGGTGGTGACTCGGATGTTTATCGTTGCGCTGTTTGTCTTCACCCAACCTCTACTCGTTGCGCCAAGTGCAAATCTGTTCGTTACTGGTTCGTTTTCTCTCCTCCTTTTTTATATAATTATGAATCCTGAGAGATTTGAAGATGTCTGCTTTTAGTATCCCATCACCAAGTAAAGTTTAGATTTTTAATTGTTTTTTTATTTATTTGTTGGTGTTGGCAGTTCAAGCAAGTGTCAAATTCTTCATTGGCGACGAGGTCACAAGGAAGAATGTCGATCGCCTTCTCTTCCTGATTACCATGAAGAAATGGACGATTCTGTTCAATCTGATGGTAATTAAATAACTTGAGATTTAGCATTTAATCTATAAAAAGACTTCACATTTTGGTGGTTCATGATTTTGTGATCTGCAGATGCAAAAGAGTCTAATAATGAACTTCCATCTCGAGTGAAACCATCATCAGAGATACTCTCCGATGGGATGATTAATGGAATATCTGATGATGTTCCCTCTACAACTAGGCCTAGTATTCATAATGTGCAACCGAGATCTCAAGCTGTGGATTTCACTACTTCTTTGAACAAAATGGATCATCTCTATGAGGCCAGGCCACTAAGTAGGAAGAAATCACGTTATCGTACAGAGAAGGTTGAATCAGCGAGAAGTTATTCCAAAGGAAAGACTGATGCAAAACCGCGGAAACTTGGCAATCAAAATTCACGTAAGTCATGTGATTCGGCTGAAATGTCAATTTCAGATCAATTTTTGTCAGTTGGGTATGAAGAAGAAGTGAATGCTCTTGGACATGGAAGAGTTACATCTGAACTATCTAGTGCTTCTGCTGCAATATCATCTTCAACTCTTCTCCTATCTTCTAAACCTAATACTAAGCCAAAAGTGTCACAATGTTCAAGTAGTGGATTGAAAACATCGGTGCACAAAGTTGTTCAGCAATTTAGACCCCTGAAATTGTCAAAAATATCTCAACCTTCCAGATCTATTGATGAGGTTACTAGAAAATATGATTGCAAGTTTAAGTTTTTAAACCATGATTATATCTACTGCCATTATCCCATTAATGTTTCTGTTTTTTTTTCTTTTCGTGTGTGCGCAGATGAGCTTCTCTTATGAGTTGTTTGTGAAACTCTACTGTGACAGAGTAGAATTACAGCCCTTTGGCCTTGTGAACTTAGGGAATAGGTACGTATCGATCCATCTTTAACTTTTCTTTCTTTTAGCACGATGATATTTAGCAAAAGTAGTTTGAGAGAAACACAAGTACAATTAACTATTAAGTTGTGGACTGACCATCTTTAATGTAGTTCTATTAATGCTTATCACTTATATTATTACTTTTGTAGTTGTTATGCAAATACTGTCCTTCAGTGCTTGGCATTCACTCGGCCACTTATATCATACCTTATTCGGGGATTACACTCTAAAACATGTAAGACGCACACCAAAATGATTATCACTGCTTTTTTTGGAAGTATGTGGAATCTCATCTTGATAGTTGGATTTTCAGGTAGAAAGAAGAGTTGGTGTTTTGTTTGTGAGTTTGAATATTTAATTTTAAAGGCAAGGGGTGGAGAATCTCCTCTATCACCTATTAAGATCTTATCAAAATTACAAAAGATCGGGAAGCACCTTGGGCCTGGAAAGGAAGAAGATGCACACGAGTTTTTAAGGTGAATCATATGCGTTATGCTTTTAGTAGCTTTTATTTATTTTTCTTTAGTTCAATATTTTCGCAAAGGTGATTACACTGTTCTTTCATAAGAATGGCAGGTGTGCTGTTGATACAATGCAATCTGTTTTTCTCAAAGAGGCTGATGCAGCTGCTCCGTTTGCTGAAGAAACTACTTTAGTAGGCCTTACGTTTAGTGGATACCTTCACTCCAAGGTTATATTGTTAGCAATTGTATATTGCCTTTAGTACCAATTACAGCATTGTCTGTTGCGTTGTATCATTCAAGTAATCCCCTTTATTACACAGATTAAATGCATGAAATGCCTCCACAAATCTGAGCGATCAGAGCTGATGATGGATCTAACTGTTGAGATTGATGGGGATATAGGAAGCCTCGAAGAAGCATTTGCGCAATTTACAGCCTACGAAATCCTAGATGGAGAGAACCGTTATTTCTGTGGGAGGTAGTAGAAATTTTCTATTGGAAACTTAATATATACGTTAAAAAAAAATACTACTAATTCTTTTGCCTTTTTGTTTCCTTTAAAACAACCACAGATGTAAATCTTACCAGAAAGCCAAAAAGAAATTGATGATATTGGAAGGACCCAATATTCTTACTGTCGTGCTGAAACGTTTTCAGGTGAGTCTTCATCCTCGTTAGTTTGATGGTGTCTACTATTTCTTGGGTTTACTCGGAGTAATCATTTCTTTTTCATGCAGTCTGATAACTTTGGGAAGCTGAGCAAACCCATCCATTTTCCCGAGCTTCTTGATATTAGCCCGTATATGAGTGACCCAAATCACGGGGAGCATCCCGTGTATAGTCTCTACGCAGTGGTGGTCCATTTGGATGCTATGAGCACTTCATTTTCAGGTCATTATGTTTGCTACATAAAAACCCTTCATGGAGATTGGTTCAAAATTGATGACAGCAATGTAGGTCTCAATATATCATATTTATATTATACCAATGAATATATTATCTATTTCTCGAATCTTGATTTTGATTCTGGATTCGCAGGTTTTCCCGGTTCAGTTAGAGACTGTATTACTAGAAGGAGCTTACATGCTTCTTTATGCAAGGTGAATACAAAGAGAGGACACATATCATTAAAAAAATCTCAACTCTTGGTTCATTTATTAATATCTGAAGAAATCCTCTTCTTTGACAGAGACTCTCCAAGACCGCTGAGCAAGAACGGTGGTCGGAGATCAAAGGAAAGAAGAAATTTGGCGGCAATTCCGTCAAGACATGGCAACAAACAGAGATACGGTGATAACAGTTCGTTGCCGCGTGTGGACTCGTCAAGTGGAAGTCTATCGTCACTGTTTAGCTCATCGGACACAACAAGCTCATGTAGCACAAAAGACTCATCAGGTATTGAGAATTTATCAGATTACCTGTTTGGTGGACTTGAACCGGTTTGGAAACGGGATCGTCGTGACACATCTGCTCAAACGTTTTATTGAGGTTTAATTTTTGAGTCTGATGGCCATTGGCCACCAATTTTTTACTTTGAACAAATAAGCAAAAAAAGGAAGAAACCGTTCATTTTTTGAATTCAATCAATTGGAGCTGACGTGTACAGTTTTGACAATCCCATACATAAAGATTAAATTGACCATGCCTATATTTTTTGTAAACTGGAATCGAAGAGAACTCCATAGAAGATATTTTTTGTAAGAGCTTCTGATAACTGAAATGGCTCTTACACACTACCACCATTGGTGGCCGCAAAATACAGAGTACTACACACAAAATACAGAAAAGTCCAAACTATAAAAGCCTCACAGTTAAACAAACAAACAAAAAAAAAAAATACTTGTACAAAATGTAACTTCTGTTTTGATCATGTTTCAAGTCGATTTGGTATCTTTTAATACTCCTCCTTTCTCAAGCTCTCCAACGAGTTCCCTAAGAGAGGGAACCTTCATGGCTAGAGTTCTGTAGACTCTAGAGTATCGGGCCCGTGTGCCATCAGCTGTTCTAGCTAAGGCCAGTGAACTAAGAGCATCGGGCAACTGACCAAACACTTGTTTCATTTCCTCTAAGCTCATGTCTTCTAAAACCGAAGGTCTTGGCATAACTCTCAGGATTTCGCCTCCTTTAGGTTCTTGAATACGAGCATCCGCTTTGATCACAAGCTCCGAGTTGGAATTAGCTCCGCATTTTACAATGAATGGAGCTGAAGAACCTCCCGTGTTGAATTGCAAAACATTCCATTGAGACACATCAGTTTCAGTTGAAGATATCGAATCTAATGAAGGTCTCTTTTCGTCTTGAAGATTGTCCTCTTGTTCTGGAATTGTCTGCAGTCCAATAAATAAAACCAGCAAGTAATAAGTTATCAAGTTATCAAACTTCTCATGATTTTTGGATCGATCTTTTTTCTCGACTTTTATTCATCACTTACCTCGATCAAATTCTGAGCCGTATCAATTTCTCTCTGTGCACATGGATGATCAACATCAAGGAGAGAAGGCATTCGTTCTTTAAGTTCATCAAGAGACTCAAGCAATGCTTTCTTCTTGCTTTTACTCACAACGTGGACAGAGGCTTGTCTTGTTATTTCCTTCAAGAAGCAAACCGGTTTTATTTCTTCTCGTAGTTAATCATAACTAAGATAAAGACAGACCGTAATGGTTTCAAACGATAAAAGTTATAAATACCTTGACTTGCTTTAGTATGGCATCTAGAGAAATGAGGGAGGCTAATCTTGAGTCTTCGGCTGCTGTAGAAGGATTTTGAACAGGAGAACTGCCTTCTTCCAAGGTAAACAAAGCTGCATCACTTCTCATCTGTTGCAAAATCTGATACAGAATGAAAGTGGAATTAAGGTACAAGAAAAACTCTTAGGAGATAACAAGAGTGAGATTAACGGTATGACAGCATACGGTTCTTTTTCTGGGTTTACCTTTCTTCTTTTGTGGTCAACAGACTCGAGAGCTGATCGAAGCTTCGCGACTTGACCAGCATCTTCTGCCTCTTCTGAAGCCAAAGTACCAGCAATATCCTAATAAAAAATTCCCATATCAGATCTCACATGGCAAACAAGTTCTTTAACTGCCAAGACCGAGATCTCAACATAATCCCTTAACAGATATCTTGTTTACAAATCAGTTACTGCTGAAATCATCATTCCGAAATTTTCAGCAAAAAAACACATCAAGTTCACCTCTGATATGGCATATATACCTTTAGATGCTGCATCTGAGAAGTGTAGACTCGTTTTGCATACTCAGACAAAAGCTGTCCTAAAGCGTCCGTGTGAGGTGGCACTGCAGCTCCAACTCCAGCCATCCAGCCATCCATAATTGCCGTGGAAAGAAGCTCTAATTGGCCAGTGGTTCCTCCAGAAACATCATCTACTGTAACAGTAAGAAACTCAAAATTTTCTACAAGCCATGACCTAATTTGTCTTTGCAGTTCACCAGCCGGAGTGTGAACAAATAAAGCAGCTAAGGGTTTGTTCCCAATGGCAAAACTTTTGGCTTCATCTTGTATCTCCCTCAGCTTTCCTCCAGTCACTTGCTGCCTCCCAGTATCCTAAGACAAATTTGAAACAAGAGAATCACGTATGATTGTATCTTTGATTCTCAGTTATAAGGTTAAAATAAAGCATCTATGGGAATCTTAGATCTTACCTGGTCGTATCCACGAATTCTTGAAACTACAGATACCAACTTACTCTTCTTTTCTGGCTTTAAGTTTACTTTAAAGCCATGAATCTGCTCATCATAATATCGAACTGGTGATCTACCTGGGCTGCTACTTCCACTGGAGCTTCTAGATCGACCAGTATATGGCCTCTCCAAAAAGCGTTCAACAGGAGAAACCTAAAAGAAGTGGGTTACATGAGACTGGGCTTTTCTGGGAGAAGAGACTTAGAGTCACACACCAGCAGGAAGAGCTAAAGAGAAAGTAGCTAACCAAATCCGGTTATGCTCACCTTGATCGATTGAAGCTCAGGTGATCGTGCAAGTAAGGACCTTATGTACAATATCCTGACTCGAGAAACAAGCATTGTATCCATTACTCTTCTTGGTTCCATTTTCCGGATAAATGAAAAGACAGCATCTCTGATCTCAGCAAGAATTTCATGCTCTCTGGAAGCACCAGCCTTTATGACAGCTGCCAAGACCTGCAAGTCAACAACAATAACAATCATAAATTTCTCGAAACATATAAACCTATGAATATTTGAAGACCTATCACTAACAGCGATGTATGTATAGTGACAAACAGAATTTACTGTAGTTTTATCTTCAAATTGTTGTAGAATAAATTGAGTTATTTACATCCGTGAAAATCTAAAAGGGTACTCCACATCAAACTATTAACACGGTGGCAGTACCAGCATCAAAAGCTTGTTTGCGCCATCAGCAATGGCTGCAAGACCTTCATATTGTTCGGGATCAAAATCATTCAATGCAGCTGTTAAGTATTCTCCAGCTGGAGTGGTTTTTACTAATTCAGAGCTGGGTTTTACTAATGTAATTGCGCCCTCATTTTTATCCATAGAAGATGCTAAAGATCCCGCACTATTTTTCCTGAAGAAAAACACAGATCAGATGCTAGGAAAGCAAATAAAATAGAGAACAGAATTTTGGATTAAATGGTTCCAAGTGATCAAATAACGACCTGTCAACATCTGCAGGCTGCACTGTTGGTGAAGCTTTTGATGAGGGGCTTGATACCTATATACAACAATGGATCAGAAAGCTTAAGCCAATAGCTAGCTGGTGCAGGAAAATCTCCATGTGTATGGCAATTAGTAACATTTAATAAAGATAAGAGACAAAAAAGGAAAAAATAAAAATTCCAACAGCTCCAAAAAGAGAAGTGTCTATGATGTGATACTGATACATGCGTAGTGTAGGATAAATTCACCTGAGTCGAGCTAGCCACTGACTTTTCCGTTAATCTGTCAAACAATTTTTCATTTTCTTCATGCAACCTCTGCAGAAATCAACTACTCTCTTCAGAAAAATGTTCAGGTCAAATCATTTGGGTAATTCAAAATTATGGAAGTCGCTAATTAAAATTTGCTCAATAGGAAGACAACGCAGAACCTCAATCAGTGCGTCACGTTTTTTCAGTTCTTCCTCAAGTTTCTTGGTAACTGCAGAAGAATCGACTGTGTTCTCAGCTGCTCTGGGCTTAGATTCCAATGGATCTCTTGATCTTGTCATGTCAGACTTCAGGGCTTCACTTAGTTGTGATTCTAAGTCTTTCACTTTAGACTGCACAAAATTTATGTAAGGAAAGGGAAGGTGAATGTCACGGCTATCATACTCAGAGGAGGCTACTTGAAAGCTATTTCACCATCTATTTTCTGTTATGTTGATGTTTAAGATAAAAGGCGAGGAGACATGTGCCAAAGTTTAAAAAGTAGATAATAATGAAGTACTAACCTGGAGATTTTGAATGGTGGAATCTTGTTGTTGCACCTGCAGCTTGTGTTCCTGTTCGAACTGTAAAAGTTGAGCTATTTGATTTCTTAACTGAGAATTCTGCTCCTTTTCTATTTTATGTTTGTCTGCAACCATCGTATTCTCTGACTGCAAAAACAAACAAGTAAATCGTTAGCAGAAAGGAATCTTAAGGAATAACTGAAATAAGGAGACACTATCCCAGTCAGCATTGAAGACCTTTAGATCTGATTGCAGTGTGAATGAAACTCTCCACGCTCTCTGTACTTCATTATAGAGCAGTACACATTGGTCATTTGCCTCTTTAAGTGCTTGTTTTAAACCTGTAACCTCTTGTTTTAGACGCTGAGTTTCCCTGTCTTTCTCCAATAACTCCTTCCGAGCATCATTTGCCTGCAGGAAGAATGATATTTTCAAACTACGTGACATATATAAAACGAATACCATCTTAGAATTAAAAATTCTCAAATCTGTTCTCTAAAGAAACGAACTAAAATCCGAAAAGAGAAAGAAATCAAACCAGCAAACTAATTAAGTCAAATCCTAAATGAAGTGCTAAATGTCTGTCAGCTAATTACTTTCATGCTCTAATTTACTTTAGCTATAGAAACTTAATCTTTGTTCTTCATCCTTGAGGTATTATTGAAGTTCCAGAAAATGTAATAAAAATTATAATTTGAAATTTTATAAAACTGACTGAGTCAAAACCTATGAACCGATAATTTCTTTTTAATAATACCATCTGTTAAATGTATCAAAGCCAAGAGACGGGAGAGGAAGTTGGATGGCATTTGTCTAATTCCACTTACCACGTCTCTCCATTTCTTAATTGTGTCTCGATTCCCAAGGCTAGGTACAGTATTCCGAGCTCTAGCGGCATAATTGAGACATGACATTATCTCAGACAAGTTCCGCGCATTTGGACAAATATTGACGATCATCAATGTTTTGGAGCTCCCCCCTGTACGTTACAGAATATTGTTCTCATATAAACAGAGCTTCAAGCACAAAGAAAAAGTAGAGGCACATGCACTGGATAGCAGAAGCATTTACCTAATGAATCTGCAAGTATTCTTGTAAGAAATGAATTCTCATAAGGAATCATATCTTTTTTTGACGTCAAAGAGGATAAAACATCTCCCAGCCTACAGAACTCGAGTTGTGT